ATGGTGAAATTTTATTTTTAACCCTTCCCCTACCCCAAACCAATTTCATCTCATAGCTTGCGTCGCCCTACACAAAAATTGTCCGTTCGCGGGGACCTTGTAACTAGGGATGTAAGTTTTAGAATTTCGAAGCGATTCGAATTAACTTCAATTCGAGTTAATTCGAAGCAATTTAGAAAAAAACGTCTTGATTCTATTTAAAAAGAATGATAATTTAGATAACATGCGGTGATTGCACAGTGGAGCCAAGAGTCCAGCGTTTCCAAGTCGTAACACTCAGGGGTGTTATATTTCGTCTCATCATCGACCGAAAGCGTTTATTTCCCCTACGTTTACAGCGTTCACAAATCGTAACATTTCGAGTATTCCATTCGGGTTAGAGCTGTAAAGGAACCAATGGATTTTTTTAAGACTATTCGAGATGTTATGAAGTTTTACAAATATGACATTATATAAACGTTTTTTTTAATTACCTATGTAACGTCATTATAATAACAACATTATTACTCATTTAAAATATAGGTCTGCGATTTTTCCCTTGCTATCATTTGCTTTTCTTAAGATCACTATACATCCGGTATTGGTTACGAACATAAATTTATGTAATAAGTAAATATAACTGACTGTACCTCTATATAACAAAAATGTTTTTTTTCTTATATATTATGTAGTTAATGCATTCATTCAATGTGTTTTTCTATTAACCTGACTCATTCTTCAAGTTCATTATTGATATTTTATCACACTTTATGGTATAGTCTTTCCAAATTTAAAGAAAGTTAGCGATAATGTGATGTTATACTAAATAGAATCAGATTAGGAAATATTTGAATTGGAACATTTCGATTCGAATATAAAATATTCGAAACTTACATTCCTACTTGTAACTCACCGATTCAAACGTCGAATCGACAATGAAGCTGGTAAACGTTTGATACAAAAGACGATCAAGCTGTTCTGCGGATTAGGGCTAATATCAGACATTACGTTCGGGTCGGGGTTCTCTATCGTTGACTTTTTTTTTATTGAGGCGTTTCGGCTGTGTTAGGGCCACGAGAGACCGCGGTCTGCAAAAAAACAGAAGTTGCCTCATCAACACGACACATACTGTACTAAACTCTTGAACTGAAAATTTAAAGAACGATGAAAATATGAAATTTCGGGTTTTCTTCGGGCTCGGGCCTGCAAATCCAGTTTATTAGTCGGGCTCGGTTCGGGTCGGGTTTAATACCCACGGGCCTGGGTCGGGCCGGGCTGGAATTTTTGGGCCCGATCTTACCTCTACTGCAGATGGTAAGACATTTTTCATTGGTTATCAGTTATGAGTTATTTTTTTTTTCGATCACGTTGCTATCGACTAAGTTTTAAAGTCATCCGTATTTGCTGTGATTTGCCATTAGATGTAGCACAACCTATTATATTGATGGTAGGGTTTGTTGTGGTAAACACAACGCTTGTACTGGATTCATTTGTGATATGAACAACCAGTCCTCCGAGGAGAAAACAATACTCTCCTGGAGTAGAATTTGCCAAACGGTTGATGCTGTTTGGCCCTCAATGAATTTAGTGATGTATATCAAACTAGAAAATTAGTGTTGCTTGTTATGATGTGGTCCTGAATCATCTGGTCAACATTGTTAAACTCTATTCAAGTTGTTCGATGTTCAAGCAGGATTTTATGTTGTCAATATATAGTTGAATACCTAACTCAGGGTGGTCCAAACCCAGGCCCGCGGGCCACATGTGTCTCGCCGCTTCATTATCTGTGGCCCGCGTCGCATTTGCGCGAGGGTAAACAAAAATCGCTTTTGGTTATGTTTTGTCATATAAATAACCAGAAAAATCTTTTGACATATTGTTACATTACTATAATGAATGTCACTGTATTGACCAGTGTTAGGGCTAGCTGAAGCAACTAGCGAAGTGGAACAATGTGTTTGGCTAATCTAAATTGTTAATTGATTACCCATTTTTTGGTCGGGAATATATGTTAACAAAATAGGCTTAATAGAAAACTAAAAATCGAATGAGGAAGCTATTAATTAGCCTAGGTTGGCTATGCCTGATAACTTATTAATGCAATTGCCGAAAAATTTAACTCCTGTCGAGTGTTTTTTTTACAACTATCCCAAACAGTAGTAAATGCTGCCTATATGTCAGAAAATTGAGTAATTACCCTCCGGTATCTCAAATTTGGTAAAATTTAGTATAATCAACCAATCTGCAGTTATTTTGTAATGAGTTTGAAAGAAAGCTGACCGATTCAAACAGATATTTAACGGGATATCGGAGGGAAAATGCTATTCTTCGCACTATTGTGGCCCGCGAACAATACCAAAATAATAGTGTGGCCCGCGAGACCGTCAACCTTGGACCACCATGACCTAACTAATGCATATTAGATTTTAACTCTTTTACTGCTTATGCCGAACTTGTTTTTTTATTTCATAGATCTCAGCTCTTGTAAATATTCCGATCATCAAGTGACTACTGTCCCATATTGAACAGTGACTGACTGTTTAAAGCCTTTTTTGGTCGAAAGTTAAAAAAAAAAAGTAGATCCTCGTGACTCAGTGATTCAAATACCGAAAAGTAGTAGTTAAGTATCACTGACTTCATGTTCGCGCAGAGCCACGTTCGAAGCTTTATTCAGAGTCAAGTTGTGGAAGTAGATTTGTAAGTATCAGTAACTGCTTTTAATAGCCTCGTTCGGAGAGAATAATATGTAAAATCTAGCATCCTACGCATCAGTGCTTATTACAGGCATGTTAGCAACATAATAAAAAGTACAGATACATACGCAACAGTGGCGGATTGAGGGCTTATTTGAAAAATAGATCTTACGAAGCAGTTGAAAGTCTAATCTGACTAAACACAAAGCGTTCAGTGAGAAACAAGAAGTTGCATTTTTATTAGCTTCAGAACCCCCGGTGCCCATTCAACCATTTGCTGTAATTTGTAAGTAGAGCATTCCGTATTTATACCTCGGCCGAGGATTTGGAGTTTGGGGTTTCTTACTTTACTTTACGGAGTCGCTTTTAAAATACTAATTATTCTGGGTCGGAAATATAAAGTGCTGCATAAATCTATAAACGTTCTGGAGTTGTAATTAAATGAACTGTGGGCGACGCATTCGTAGTACATAGTTAGATATTTAAAAGTTATTATACAATACACATGTTCGTATGGACGTATAAAAATGCTAATGCTGTTTCATATTCGCCTGAAACTTCTAGCATGACCCGAATGCAAAGCTTACAAAGTCATCAAATAATATTGTTGGAGGTTATTTTATTATTTCATATTTAGCAAATGTATAAACTTATAGCATCTTCTATAACATGGCGAATATAGCTTACTGCGGCTGCAGTTGCTCTAGTTTGGTTTTCATATAATAAGTTGTTATCTATATGTTGTTCTAAATCTAATCACTAATGTATAGATATATTCTGGCCAGAGAGAAAATCTGTGGATGAACACAACTGTTTTCAGAAGTTGCCTGTGCGAAACATGTTTCTTAGCTAATGCGTTGGTTAACTGATCCCCACAGTCAATGTTTGTTCACTATCTTGTTTTTAGCAGATGCTTTCAATGTGCCTAGTTTTGAGGGATTTGTTAATGAACACTAACCTAAATGTGGTATAATATATAGTTGCTTATACAGATGCCAGTTCATATATAAAGATATTCAAAAGGGAGTAGTCACGTCCACAGACCCTAATCTATAGGCGAACATTATAATAAACATCACATACATTTTATTAGTTACTTTTAGTTCCTGGTTCAAAGTAATCCGGAATCGCACATAATAAATTGCGTGTAAACCTTATGCAGCCGATTGGGAACACAGTGCTTGTATTTAAATTGGCTTTGATACCATGCTTCGTGATACAATATGTATAAAACCTAAGGTGATTTATTAACGGGCTTATAACATCAGAATCATGGAAGTTCGATGGTCCACGCTTAAGGTTTCATCTATGCTTTTCAGTACTAGCCAATAAAGAGCCCAGTTCAAAACTTCCTTCATTCGTATAAGCTGGTATGGCTTGTCTGTTGACCGCAAATATAGTTTCGCTATAGCGAATTCAGACAGTTTTCACGTTCAATACACTTCACTGCGTGGATGACATATCCAAAGCGGACCCCATGGTTTTTTACATGCTACATTTTTTTTCAATATATCGTTGAGTAAATCAAGGGCATTTATTGATCTTGGGGAGTCCGCGATCCAGACTCAGTCGTACAACTCGTACACACAGTATTATGATTAAGTATGAATGAAATCTAGGATGATTTAATCATTCAAGTTTGAGCTATCCTTGCTGAGAAGACTGACTGCTAGAACAATTTTACGAAGCTATATTCATGATTGAGGAAAACTATTATCTAGCTAGACTTTGTTGAAATTAATTTTATGATAGCATTATTAACAGCATCACGTTTGCTATGAAAAGGTCGCACGTGAACTGACACATGATGTATTTTCTATTTTCGCGAACACAAGGCACGTCAGAAACTGATCGATTTTTTATATTTGTACAAGCATGGTCTATTGCAGAAAACGCTCGCTTCAACCACCTATTTTACTCGGCAGTTTGCACCAAATTTCTAATTTTATTGTACTTCAAACTGGTAAAAGTCTTCAGTATGTCGTAGCATTTGGACGATTAATATAAATACTTGGCACATTGTCAAAAATAGTTCAAAGTAGAAGCGCCGATCTTGAAAGCCACCATTTGAGACTTAACTTAGAGTTTTAGAAGGATTGAATGTAAATTAATTTCTCAAAGAATTTGTTTACATTTGTACAATATGTATGCTATAAATTTGGCTTCTACTTGCTATATTTTTATATGGAAATGTGTATTGATATTTTCAATCGAATTTCCTCGAAATAGGTGACACCTGGACAGTAACACTGGTTTTGCACTACAGACGATTTATCAAGTACAGATTCAGTTGTCAATTTTCAGACGAGTGTGGTGGTCTATCAATACTTTGAGCGAAACGACCATTTTTGGTGAATGGTACAAACCGCAAACAGGATTGTGTTAGATTGGCGATGCAATCTAATTCAATTAGTAATGACCTGAAGAGGAGTTGAAAATAAGATCTGAAAATATTTAGCTAAACAGAAATTATTTATGACAGAATTGAAGGATGTAAAACATCACTAAATGAGTTTAATTTTATTAGTCATCCGGGTATGTTTTTTCCAAGTGGAGAAGATTATCTTAAGAAATTGAAATTATTTTTATTTTCATTTTAACGGCATGAATTTTAAAATTAAGAAGCAGCACACAAACCTTTTGATTGATATTAATTTGTTAAAATTTTATGTCAATGCAATTTTACCTAATTGTGATTGTTGTTAATATTTAATAAAAGACCCATATATGTTTTTTAGAGAATAACAAATGGAGCGGTTAACAGTAGCATATTTTGTTATTGCCATATTAGAAGGTAAGCAGAGTGTTTGCAATTCCTACTAGAAGCGATTTGAAATACCTGAGAGTTAATTAAATAAAATTGTTAGACCGAAACTGTTTCTCTACACATTTAGCACATATAACGATATTTTAATTTCATTTTGTTCAATAAAATTTAATGCTTTATAATGATAGAACAAATGCCAAGACTCACATCAACTGATTATAGCAATGTCGCATCTGTTAATTAAAATTTTCAAGTGTTTATAATTATATCATTTAATATTAACAAATTATGAACGCGCACAAAGTTGTAATTAATGTATGATGTCATTTAAAACATACCCAAGTATGTCAACGATGACAATTTATGTCTTGTTGCAGAGTACAATATATTATCTATTTATATAAAACGTGGAATATGTAATAAAAATGTTGCATGAACGGTGCTATCTGTAATCACCACAGTTTTTAAGAAGTGAATGAAATACAACATAATATGCCGTAATAACATATTCGCAACTTATGACATTAATTTGCGATTGCGCGTGTAAGATTACGCACGATCATTTTTGTAAATTGATAAATTTCCTCGAATATATTTGCATGAATCTTTATTGAATTACACAAATTCGTCATTGACTTTAATAGTAAAACTTTACGACTAATTTGTTCTAATGTTGAACTTTGACATTAAGCATTTCATTAAAAAGCTGTCGTACTTGATATCTGAAATATATACACAAACTTTCAACTTGAAAAATACACATTTGTAACGGTGTTTCAGCCAATTTTTGAAACTTCCCCGGTTGAATCTAAAAATAGCGACGAATGTAATCGGTAAAATTGGTTTTAACGCAGTATGTAGGCTTGTGCAAGTCAGCAGTCATTTACACTTTCAGCGGAGGAAATTCTCATGTAGTTGTGGACATATGGCTTAAAACAAATATTTATTAAAAAAGGGCATTTCTAAAAGCCAATACAGTATGATATATTTTGATCAGAACCATGTTTATCCATTTCAGGCACTGTTTTTGACGTAACATCCGGAATATGTCGAGAACTTAGTCAAAATCCATCCATACTACGTGAAAACGAAGGGAAAATTGCGTTGTCTGTTTCATCAACCGGAGAAGAATGCACTTGGAAATTACCAAGTACGACCAGCAATGATCATGCCTTGATCTTATATGTTCGTAGTATTGAAATGAAAACAAGAGCTGGAAACCGTTGTACCGGAAGTTTGAGCTTACCACGTAAGGAAGTGTTCTGAATTTTGTTTTTTTTACCTAAAATTGTATTTCAAATTTTGTTCGCAATCAAGTTGTACTATTTGCCTAATAAAAAGGATATTTCATTGATATTTCATGGCAGTTTGTGGAATTTAGCTTTCTTATAAATCAATATAGCAATATACGTTGCACAAATTATCACACTATATAAAAATATTTCTTTTTAAAATTAGATATTGGGTCATCGTGTCGACATTCTCCAACATGTAGAATATACGTGCACCAAAACTCATCTTGTAGGATAAGCAATATATCACCAAACTCGTATCGTGGCTGCACTAAGAGTGTGGTTTACTTTGACGATAGACCACAAAAAGAAGTTAAATTTCGTTCGGAGAAGCAGGGAGAAAAATCTTTCACACTCTTATATAAATATATAGACTGTGGTAAAACTCTAAAAGGTGAGTCATGTATATGGTTTAATAAATCGTCGTCATTTTTGTTCAACTTTGCTGTGCAAAACGCCATTGATTATATTGGACAACTTACTGTGTCACGATTAATACCATTTTTGCATCATCGTATTTTCATAGAATACTTGGCTGTGGAAAAACGTCTTCCGCTTTCTTGGATTTCATTCTTTGGCAAGTAACCAAAGAATGAAAATAGATTTACTCGTTTAACGCCCGTTTAACTACTCAGAAGCTATTTTGTTTTATCCACTAAACACAGGGGTGTGCAACCTTTGATACAAGAGGGCCAGATAGAAATAACTGGGTGAAAACCGCGGGCCGCACCTTTATTTAACATAGGTTTTCTAGTAGTTGAGCACAAAAAATTTGGTTATTGATCTCATGATATGCGTTGTTCGCTTCGCACAAGATAGCTGTTAGGACATTGTAAAGTCATAAGCATAGATGATACATTGGACTCGGGTATATGGATTGGAATTACCAAATTAAAAACTCGTTTTGCGGGTCGCACATCATTCAAAATTGGCACTTCTTCGCGGGACACACAATTTTTCTATGAGGGCCGCATTTGGCCCACGAGCCGCAGGTTGAACACCCCTGCTCTAAAGCATAAAAGAGATAAAACTCGTCAGCGTGATATGCCTCAACAGTAACTGCGTTTACAGCACTTTGGTATGCTATGTTAGCGATTGTGTGATCTCAGTGTTTTCACCTGACAATGACAGGATTAAAAAATGAATTCTATGAGAATGTCTTTATGCGATTAATCACGTTAGGGAAAGAAGTACTTTGATTCGTGATCTCACTTCCTTAACGTGACGCTGACTATGACACTGAAATCGCATACCAAAGGATTTGAATACGGCCAATTTGTTACATATATCTTTAAAATTCGAAACATACGACCAAATTCTATTTGCATTTTTTGTGTTTAAAACCACATTTACATTTTGGCAAGAAAAAGGTGTGATAGTTTAACGGACACAAAGCAAATTAATCGAGTCAATGCAATTTACCTCGTTTTTATTGTGATCGATCATCTAACTAGTCGACTTACAATGTCGCACTATTTCAGTTTTCGATACTGTGAACCATTACTATATATAAAGTCTATTGAAACTAACTTGGCATTCGTGCAGAATTGTAACTGCAATAAACCAAACAAAATTAAAACTATTTAATAAGGGTTTGATTTGATCAATCATCACTAACAGATTTAACGATGCAAAAGTTGAATCTAATTTGCTATAGATACCAGTTAACGCAATCATATCTATTTTAATCACATCATAATCGTCAATCATGTTCCGAAATAAACTCTCATAATTTTCTATGAACAATAAATTTGTTTTTAATTCAGTAACATTTAATTAGTATAGTTTTTATTGCGACTTGCAGAAAATAATTCTTTAAAATAGCAGCTAAACTACTTTGGGTTTTGGGGTCCAAGGAATGCGTTCCTCAAGTCCAATTTCCGTTTATTTATTCTCCAATTCATGCTTGTCTCAGATCAACGTGTACTTGGAGAGAGTCAGCGACAGGTTCATCAAACCACAAGTTATTCAAATTCATTCACGAATAAGATAGAGTCCACTACACAAAAGAATAGCTCAGGTGATCTCAACTAAAATCTGAATAGCACATATAATATATATAGACATAGAGAATATTCACATATTAAAATTAAAGAGTCCAAAATTAGGCTCCCGTTGCAGGAAGTTGTGAGTGAAAGTAGAAATGTGCACGATACAAAAAATTTGTGTAACTGATTGCTGGCCATGAGCATGTTTCGCCTTGTGAAAATTGTCGCTGACAAAATTATACATTAGCATTGCTTGTCATAAATTTCTTAGTCGTAACCAACGAGTTTTATCAGGACAACTGTTTATGCCATGTTAGAAATTTCAAAAGGTAACAATCGAATTATGGTTTAATCAATTTTGTCTGCGTTTTTTATGCATTGCCATTCATTCCCCATGGCTGGTTGCCAAAATGTAGCGTCGCCCGGAAGGAAGTGAATGCCTACCTAAAACATTTTGAGATATGACCTTTTGCGATTCAGACATTTAAATACACGAGTTCTTACGTTATTACAATGCGATGTCAAAAAATACATTCAACTATAATTTGCAACAAGAATAGTATGATTTGATTTTAAAAATTCCTAATTAATCATTTTATTTTAAGGATTTACAAATGAAAAATTAGAAAAACAAGGAGACCTTTTCAAACCGACATTTGCAGCGATTGTATCAATAATTGTCATTCTTGCAATACTTCTGTCTGCAACATGCATTATGCTATTCCTTATGTATAAGAGGTAAGAAAATAGGTATTTTGGAAAATTTAAACCTGCTACAGTTCTGTCATTGCAGAAAATATTGCACAAAAAGATATGATATTTGTAGAAAGTGAGAAGTGAGGTCAATATTTCTTGTTGAATCATATAGAACTAATATCAGCGTTCACATAACTTCAAACATGAAGTATCCAAATTGTGATTATTAATTTTTTTTTGGTATGTCTTGAATTTATACCTGACACGGGCAAACTCCGGCCCGCGGGGTAATTAAATTTAATTTTGATGTTTTAGCAAAAATATAACTGAAGGAAATTGTTGAAACTGCGATTAAATTTAGTTTCGGCACGGGGCTTATTGTTTCCCACTTTTGCTTTCGTCACACTGTGGATATCGATCATGAAATGAAACTTTTACGTCACACTTAGGCCTACATGGCCCGCCAGTCTAGATGGGCGAAATTTCCGTCCCCCGGTCCAAAAACCTTGCCCACCCCTGATTTATATTTTTGTGAGGTCATGAAATAAAACTCAAACAATTTTGGGTGAACTTGCTCAAATTGAAAAAGTCTTAACATTAATGAAACGTTCTGTCGGACAAAACTAAGCACTCGTATTCGTTAATTATATATATATCATATATTCTTGTGTACACAAAAATATTCAGAAAAGAGTCTAGAAAAGAGATATCTAGTCCTTATACGACAATGGAAATAACAAAACCAGTTAGTCATTATTTCAAATGTTTTGATTTGTTCTAATTATTATTATTTTTAGAAAAGAGAAAGCCAATACGTTTCAAAACCCCGCTGTTGTTGCATATGTGCATGATCGAACTGATGAAGATGGATTTAGTTCAACTCAAATAACTCCTGAATATCTTGAATTTCCAACGCCGACGGGAGTTGGATCCGAATCTCCCGAAGAACCTAAAAATTTGTACGCTGAAATCGGACGAGATGCTGTTTCTTCTGATGAATTTTTTACCGTTAACGTGAGAAGTAGGCATTATGAAAACATTGATGAAACTCAGTCTAATCACACAGCATCGACGGGACATATCGATTTAGACTTAGAGGAACTACCAACAAGTTACACATATGCTACGGTGAACAAAATTAGGAATCCACATCCCGACGTGTCACTGTGAAAGCGGAACAAGCTGATAATTTCGCCATTCGATAGCTAGCACAACATGTGCAATAAATTGATGTCAAACTGCTAAGGGCACGTTTACGGCTATTATCGAGGCAAAAATGTTGTTATTCAGAACAAAGTCTTGAAACCAGTTTACTCGACCACTGATTAGGCTAATTCTGACGAAAGAATAGCTGTGTACATCCGTATAAAAAGTCACGAAAAAAACCCAGAGGAAACAAAACATATTTTAATCACGTAAGAAAGACAACGTTTGTTCGACAGAAACGGTATTTCAGAATACGATATTGACATGGCGGATGCGAGTTATATTTATGGTTTTATTTTTTGTTACCGTAAATTATTTTTTCATCTTGCTTTATTTGAATATATCTTTATAATGCCAAAAATATAAAGAATGTCTCCGAGTAAGGAGCAAGACTTTCTTTTTTCGGAGAAAATTATTCATATCGAATGTAAAGGATTGCATTATACGTCCCGGGTAAATAGCTCTCACTTCAGGTATATTTGTCCTGTTTTTTAGTTATTTATTGTTGTATGTCCCATTTTATCGAATTATCTAAGCAAGACACAAAAACAAAAACTTGCTTCAAGTAAATAGGCTGAATTCGGATAATAATGAATAAACAAAAACTTTCCTAATCAGTATGACATCAGTGAAATTTCCAAATATTGTAAGAGCTTTGAGTTCCTCAAATATTTCTCGGTTTTATAAGCTGACCAATCTGTCACTAAGTAATAGGTATCAGCTAACACCGCTTACAAAAAATATTCACTCTTTATTGCTAATTTTAATTTCTGTAAACGTTGGTCAGCCATATTTCAAGGACAATTTAAGCAAATAAATCACACAGACTCTCACTTTACCAAAACATACAATGTTATGATGAACTAAATCTCCATCATTTTAGATTTTTAAAATACAACATCCAATACATATTAAAGACGTCAATTGTTAAGTTTATAACGATCAGAAATGCATTGACCCAACATAAAAATACGATTACAATAAAACAATTTGCCAACTTTCGGAATTCCATACCTATTAAAATCAGAATTAATATCGTTTAAATTCAAACACTGGAAGTCCCGAAGACCTATTTATTTTGTAAGATCAAGGGTTGCGATATTCTGCGAAACTAGTAGGGTTAACTTATTTTTTTGACTTCAAGGCGGGACGCCTCCAAAGACACGACCACTTATCTGTAATCCTGTAATTTTACAGTTTTCGATTTTACTACATAGGCCTACATTTAAAGAAAGGAAAATGAATCGAAAAATAGAAAGGAATAGACGCTACCGATACAAATGATCCTAATTTAATTTTTTTTTTATGTAAAGCAAGAGGAATAAAGAATAATGAAATAGTCTGCTGTTTTCAAGCATTGAGATCAACTTATTAGTCCAAGCATGCTTTTCCGTAGATAACACCTTCAAATAGACTTCGTTCAATGCGAAATAATAAAAAAAATAACGCATTCACCGTCAGTATAGGCTAGCGTTGGGCTACACAGCAACAACAGTAACGAGAACATGTTCGTGTATGAAGCTGGATGGCTGAACGCCAAAGCGGGACTTTTGGCTAACTTGTCGGGACGGCGGGACAAGACGCTAAAAAGCGGGCGGTCTGAGATAAATATTATTAATTATCTTAAGCCACATGCATTAAATATCCTCGCATATTAATTCTGTGTATTGCACTGGGGACGCGGGGACTAATTCAACTATCCACATCGGTGTTTCTCAAATTGTGTGCCGCGGCACCCTAGCGTGCCGTGAAAGATTCTCAAGTGTGCCGCGGAGCTTTTTGGAATTCTAGAAATTAAGCTGTTTGTATTACATATTGACATGCATGCAACTTATGAGATTTGAATATCCATAATTAATTAGACTGATAATATTATTGCATTTGCCTTGTCGTTGTAGTAAGGCAGGGATGGGCAACTTCTCTAGTTGGCGGGCCAGATGTGGGGCAATGAAGTCCTCGGCGGGCCGAATTATTACAAAAAATACTTCGGTTTCCAATCTTTGTTAAATGCTCGACACTCTCAGTCAACTTTACGTTTCTTGGGATATTCCATGGTTAATAAAACTTAATATAAAATCTAATTTTTAAAATCTATTTATATTTAGAATCTAAATATACCTGATAACAGTAGTTGGGAATGCTTACAACGCTCTCTGCTTTGACCTTATATTGATTATTTAACAAAAGTGCTAACGCAATTGTTTGTTTACTAAGGCAATTGTACATTTCACCAGCTCGCACTGACAGTGCGGTGAGAATAGAGCGATCAGCAACTTTCAAGAATGATTTGTCGGACCACATTACAAAGTGTGGTTGGATACAGTCAGCGGGCCGGTCAAAATCTCGTCGCGGGCCGGACCCGGCCCGCGGGCCGTATGTTGCCCACCCCTGTAGTAAGGGATATTGTTCCAGTATACTTGCATTGTGATGTCATAATGTTTTGTGTAAAAATGAGATCCACCTTCCACTATGTTCACTTGCGCGTTGAGTTAGGCCAGTGGTCGGCAAAATTTGTGTGCTTGCGGGCCGAATATGCACATTTCTTCCGCTTACGAACAATCGCCACAATTAATATATTATCCAACAATATATTGTTTTTATTTACTTATTCTCAATACGAAATGATGTGGTTATGACAACTTGGTTGCCAGCGGTACGTCGTTCAAATGACGATCTGTCAAGCGAGTACGAAGTTTGCCGATCCCTGAGTTAGGCTAACAGGAAAGCAAGTTTGGTCGAGTTTTGGCTATCTGCTTACAAATTCTATTCAATCATCGGTGCAAAAGCCATCAAAATAATCTTATCCATTTGCATCTAGATTGCTCTATTAACCCGTATTTTCTGCTCTGGCTGTAATCAAAAGCAAAAAAGGGAGCGACGGACCCTCGTTTCTCAAAACAGGCACACACATCGCATTAACATTTGTATAATAATTTGCCCAAGTCTAGCTCAAATTTTTCACAAGCGTGCCGCGAGATTTTTCTTATTTGCTTAGTGTGCCGCGAGCAAAAAAAGTTTGAGAACCACTGATCTACATCGTTGATTACTCAAAAAAACAAAAATAAAATGTGGAATAACTTACTCACTCATTCATCCAAGCTTAATAGTTCTCCCAATTCGCGGTTTATATGAATTAAAAGTTACTCAAAGCGATACACATATATATATTGGAAATTAAAATAATTATTTGTTACACATTTGAAAATGAAATCCGCTGTATAAATGCAAAGCTCTTCTATCGATCTACCATGAGTATTGGTGCAACAGGGACAAATTGCGAAATATATGGTTGGTAGTTTAGGTTATTGATAATAGCCTATGATGTTCTTGCGAATTTGCGAATTTATGCACGCACTCACGAAGTTATAAACAATAATCTATATTAAATTGTAAATTCAAACATCGAATTTGATAATTTCCTATATTGCATTCTTGCAAGGCAAGCAAGAAGTATTTGTCTTGACTTACAGTTCAATTGTAATTCATTTATGTGGCTGACGCATAAGTGTAAACCACCTTAAATTGCTGTGGTGATTTCAAAATTAGATAAATGGGGATTAAAACAAATTGTTTTGAGAACAAACAGTGAAGAGATCAACATACCTTTCGCATCATGTAATGTAATGCAATATTTAAAAAAAAAAATAAAGTATTTCGTTGCGTTTATTGTAATGTATAAGCTATGGCATAGATATATTTATATCAAATTCTACATGATTACATTAAAAAAATGGTTTGTGGAAGTTAAAAATATTTTTGTTTGATTGTGTCAAATAATTTGGCAACCACTTTGACACATGATATGAAAGAATAAAAAAAAATATGTATAATCGTTGCTATTTTTGTTCAATTGTACTTAGGTATAACAAGTAAACTTCAACAGATCAGTACTCTTCCAAACATACCCATAAAAGATAGGAAATTAGATCGCACCTCAAATTGCTCTCATACTTGACTGAAAAGGTCACGTATACCACAATATTGTAGAAAATTTGATGTGAGTACATTAAAGTCAAGATCAGCGATAAAACTAATGTTTGACTATTATAGGATAAAATTTATCAAATTACAAAATCTTTTTCTTCTTAGCATGGTTTGTAAATATCTGAACCTTGCCCAAAAATTTATTCACAAACATTGATAAAAGCACACCCATACACGGTATAGTTGGCGTTTGGATTAAATTTTTTGCCAATTGCCTTTACTTCGTCAATAATTTAAATAAAAAATTTTGAAGATTTTAAAAAAAAAGTCAAAATTTTCCATCTCTTGTATTTTTAAAACATGCACACGTATTGGCATAAATCAAGGAAACCCAAACCAAAATTTTAGTTGATGTAAATGATCTTTTATCGCGTATACATTATTCAAAAAAAATATTTTGATCGTGCAATACTCGACTCTAATAATATGCCCGTCACGTTCGCCCAAGTATGTGGGTGCATTGGCGAAAATTTTTCAAGAGCGTAGTCCACTATAGCCCTAATTGTTATAGTATCGTGAAAGTATTCAATTTGGGTGAAATACCATCGCAAGTTCAAACCACCACACTTAAAAATGTTATTGAATAGTCAAGACGTTGTCGGTCGTTATGATCTCTGCGAAAGTATTCAATAATAGAAATAATTGAATTACACAAAGCAAAGATTATGAGAAATGCGTAGCAAAGAACTAAAGCTTGTGAAAAGCTCGGCACGTATGTTGAACTGCATATACTCGATTCCACACGTTATCTACATGAAATTGAAACAGAAAACTTTGCTGATCCAGGCCAAATTACAAAGGTGAGACCACACATCTCACTGATAATCATGTGTATGTGAGTTTGTACGAATGCGATTTACGTGGCCCATCCAGTCCATTGAATTTCAGTTTGATAAGCATCAAAAAGATATTTGTTTAGGAAAATTGAATATCTAAAATGGTATTTGTTGAATAATACTTGTCCGATAAACATTAATAAAAATATTTCAAAAACTAATAACATATATATAAGACATACATGTCATGAGATGATCGTATTTCTGAAATGATTCTAAAGAGTTCAAGTTTTGTAAAAAAACCTATTCAATTACAGGTTAGAATATTATTTTCACTTACCCAACATTCACGTGATAATGAAAGTTGATAATTATTTAAGATCATATTTTAAACTAACAATATTGCGTGTATTTTTTGGACGAAATAATAATATCAAGCGACAGTAAACAAGTTGTCATAAATATAAATATTAAAAATATTCATATGTTTTACTTGATTAGACTCTTTTTATTCCTGACAACACAAAATGTTTATTGCCAAATCTTGGTAAAACCCTAGGTCGGTGATGAAGAAGGGTAAACGCATGACAAAGTTTTGCAAAGAAGCCTGTTCTTTCGGGGTTTATGTCGGTCTTTCCAATACTTCGACATTCTGAACGTTTGTCATTGGACTTTTCACACTTGAGAAGTGAAGAATTTACGTCCTTCTCTGTAATTCTGCTGCAATAATGTTTGAGTTGACGTGGAAATATGACGTAGTGCATAGCTGAAAGTCCAGATGTGTCGTGTGAAGAATAAGGTACGCAAAACATAAGTTTGCACTTCGGCACCTCTGACTTGAGTAGGTGTCTTTTATATTCTTGTTCTTCATATCTGATAAAATCAAATGCAATATTTAAAGTTGCAAGGCGTTTCATTTAATCAAATTGACCAATTGTTCACACTATACGTTTCACGTATTTAGTATGTTTGCAAAACTTTATTAAACTGAATAAAAATATAGTATGTGATAACAACAGTCATAAATTTGCGATAGCTTTCAAGGTTAGACAAATTTGATTTACGGTTGATTTACATTTTTACATTTTACTGAACTAAAAGTTTCTTGATTAATCTCTGAAATTGAAAAACAGTTTGTTTATTAAAATTTCCAATTGACTCATAATCGTTATATTTGTAAATCAAACTACGTTTCCTGAATTTAGTTTCAAAAGTTAACTATTATTGACTTAAAGTACAGTATCGAATGTCACCAATCTTGAGCTGTTTTGAAATTGTATTTGATAGGTAATTTGTAGCAATGACGAACATTGTGGTCTGAATATTTTTCAAATATTTTTTAAAATTTTATGTGAAGGAATCACCTCCGTTAACATTATATATACGTACATGGATAGAAAACATGATATCTTTCTTGGAAAGTACTCAACAGGCGTTGAGCTAGAATAAAAGTTTAGAATATAAAATGGTTCCATATTGACCGAACCGTGAAAATTATTGTAGTCTTTACAACCATTTGCAAAATCAGCACATAAAAATAGGAAGGCCATACCCACAATCCAACAATATATTATCAAACTCCGCGGCTCGAAACTTTTTGCTAACTTCCATGAAGTCTTCATATTGTACATATTTCCTCTCTTTTAATGTTAATGATGGCATTAACATCATTCCACCAATGATCCGACCTTCAATTACTGAATTCTCCTTGAAGAATAAAAATACGTCCCGCTAAATACATAGGCTACATTCTCATATCATTTAATATATCAATCAATAAACAACTATGGTAAACAATTTTTGCACAATTTTCTGTCGTTCCTACGACCTAAGCAGCTTCGGCCTGCGGTCATCAATTGATTCTAAGCCCAATAATTGCGAGAAAAGTGTTTCTTCTATGGTGTATTCGAATAATTTATTACAAACTAATAATATTATAGTAGTTCCAAAACGCATTAGATCATTGCATATAAGTAGCATCTTCAGAGTATTTTATTCGGGATAAATTTAGCACATAAAACAAAATTTCAATAACAGGATTTTTCTTTGGTTGCTTCATCTGTGAACTTACCCGATACTTGATTAAAATCAGTAGCGTGATTCATCGTATTCGTCCAAAAAGTTAACGAAATATAAGGTAAATAATGATGATATTTATATAACTTACAATTTTAATTTTGTACCAATCTTTCTCACATAAAATCATACAAAACAAAACAGAATTTTCACTCCACGTCATGACGCCATGAATTGTGTCCAAAAGTCTTTTCAAAAATTCAATTCCATCGCGAACAATGGGCTTGCAGTGAAGACATGCCTGGAGTGCTCTAACATAACTCTCTCTAACTTCAATCCAGTGCAATTTTCTGCGACTCAGCTGAACGCGTGTTTCCCTTAAAAATATGCAACATATACACCGTGGTGAATGGTTGATATCATTGAATATAAAGCATTTTTACTGTCGTTAATCGCCTCTAGTCACTAATCTGAAAATAAGTGATTTTCACTTACCAATTGTCCATTTGCAGCGTCACAAATTTATATGTTTATTCTCGAAATCGTGTTCGTTACTGATATTATATAAGAAATCTCATTTAATCATCTCTGTATAATATAATATACCAACAGTACCAAGCATAAGGTATATTATAACTTCATTGTTGTGAATTTTCGCACCACATCGCTGCAACGTACTGGCGGAGACTATGTGAAACACATTACCTGGTAAGATGAAATGAGAGTCTGCTTTATCTGCCGTTAAAAATGTTTTTCTTTTTCCCTCTCGAAAACATTCATGCACTGAATTATTGTGTTTTCGAGTGTTCTTCGGAATGTTAGTTTATTATTTATTATTCTGATTTGAGATTCAATTCAGGTAAGTTTGTGTTAAATGGCAATCAAGCTATTCAATTCCGATACCTCAAGGGTTTGCCGCCAATCTGGCCTTAACCAATGCGCTTACTACGCTGAGTAATTATAATTTATATTCAGATATGTATGCCAAATCTTACTCCACTAGAATCTTAACTAACCGCAAGTCAATGAATAAAATGATTATTATAATGTACTGAAGTTCACTTTCTGTGGTTAGGTGCAATGCAAAAAAATACAATGGCCTTCAACCTGAATGTCAGTAAGTAAGTACCCTTGCAAGCGCGGAGAACGACCCGGATATGACAATCAAAGCGCGGATACGACAAAAAACTTTATGAGATTTGACAGATTAGATAGAGATTTGTAATATATTCGAAAATGTTATGTTTTTACAAATTGAATATTGAATATATATGGTATATTTATTTATATCGATAAAAAAATATTTATGAAAAGATCACTTCCGAGAAGGTATCTTGTTTCAGGTAAACGACGTTATTATTTGGCAAATTATGTTATTATTTTGTCATCTTTTTACATTAAGATCAAAATGTGCTTCTACATGTTTTTCACAATTTTTGTGGTTAATATTTAGTGCGTTGGTGAACAATATAAGACGTCATATTTATATATTATTAAAGTCACCCGCTGCACATTATGGCGTACCGTTTTTTTTACTCATGTTTCGGCCTATCCTTTAAAACAATTGTAAAATCCCGAAGAAAACAAAAATACCCTGTTAATGTCTAGATAAGCATTATAATTAAATAATTTATATTTTATAAGACCATTCTTTCCAAATTTGAAAATATTGTTAATATTTTGGAATTGATTTTCATCCATTGAAACCTTTTATCAGCTCATTCTCTAAATAAGAAATCGCCGTAAGTGAGTACAACTTATACGATTCTATCCCTCTCAGAGCTACAGTGCAGTGAAAATAAAACTGATTTTTCGAACTGATACATTTAATTCAAATGAAACAATAAGCAAGCGATATAAAGTTCAACAAAATGCGATCAAGGCCTGGACGATTCGAATGAGCATAGTAATAATTTATTTTTTAGCTGTTCTTTCTATCATTATAGGCATTACGCAAGTGCAACCAGTAACGACCGTGTATCTTGCGATTGTGCCATTGTAGTAGTAGACATTTATGTCAGCTGTGACTTCTTTTGATACCAAACTCAAATTCTCTCTTCTTGTCTTCATATCAATGCACCCTTTACAAAGGCATCGATATTGAAAGATCTTCTTGGGAAACCTAGAAATATTACCGACTGATTTATACTTTGATATTAATGACAATATATTCTTTGTAACAAATGTCATTATTTTTACCATAGTCACAACGATTTGGTAGTCGTCTTCAACTGACTTCCTACATGAGTACAAAATGAATAATCTCGTATTTCACCAAGGGGACGTTAGAGAGCTGACTAGTTGGTCAGTCGAAGTCTGGAAGACCACCGTACCGGCACTGTGAAAGATTAGATACCGGTACCCGTACTACTTCGTTTTGGCTTTCGTGTCCATATATTTGAGCATGGCTCTCTTCTCTGCATTATCGCATAACGGCCAATCGCAATGCTCGACATCAGTGCAATTTGGAAAATCAAATTACGATTTCAACGTGAGGTGAGTGAACAAAGAATAAACTTAACTACCCGCTGATCAAAAAACTCAATCTCATTTTAGCATATTTGGATGGTACGCTGTGGTATTATCGTTAGTATGAAGTTGTCTATTTTACATCTATATTACATCTACTGTTGATCAAGCCATAGTTATTGAAATTCGGTATTTATCCAATTACAGTCTATTGAACTCGGGTGTGAAAAATCAGTAGATTATACCAAGTTGAAAAAATTACTGTCAGTACGCATATAATAATAATGTTTAATATACTTCAGATGATTCATTTACGAGAAAATTGACCAACCTCATGGGGTCGTAGTCCAGTACAATGTCATATGGAGAAATACTTCTTGCTCCATTAACGTTCTCATGTTCTACTAAGTATTTTTCCGTCATTTCTGGGCATGTTTTTTCGGAATATTCTCCCATCACTCGCTGTCTTTCGGCGTACGTTATATTGAGACTAATACCTGTTGTGCCCATAACATGCTGACAATTTTGAATGAAATCGGAGCATTCTTTCCTGTAGAACACATTAGTAATTATTTATTAGCCTTTTTATACGACAAAAATGAAAAGAAAGGGAATAGCAAGGACAAAAACAATGAGTGGAAAAACGAAATAGGAAACTCACATCTTTCTTCTCACATTGTTTTGACGTATGTTACAATATTCTTCTGATATTGCTCTATTTCGATTATGTTTCCTAGCATTGCTATGGAGTGGATAACTCGAAAGTATGACGACCAAGAGAATAATTAAAATTTGCCTCATTTTCAATAAAACAAATGTTGAAACTGGTAAGTCGACGGTACTGTTCCAGTAATTGAGTCACTGATATCTTCTAAAAGACAAGATAATGATATTTTTCTGGATAAAGAGTGCGTTTATATAGCTTTGTATTTGTGAATATTCAAACCTATTAAAAATGAGGGCATTTTCTATCTAAAATTACCCGCCCCCACGCCATGGCGCGTAAGTGTGTATTTGAGCAAAAGTTTGGTATTTCCCAATATGTAAAAGTAACTAATGCAATTGCCACAATGTCTTTTTAATCAGTCGCATGCTGCTAATACAATCAGTTAAAAATGAAATGCTATTAAAACGAAATTTAATTTTAATTTCTATAGATGCTATACCTTCATATTTTTGAATGTAATGCTCACTTCTCAGTGGCCCTGTTCTGATAATAAATGACCAAACTTTTCCATAACTTTTTTATTACTTAATTATTAATTTATTGTTTATTTATAATTGACCAAACTATAAATGTAAATAATTAAAACTGAAAATACGATTTCAGATGCATTTTAAATCTGAGTTCAATTTTGGACGGAATTTCAAAATTTGAATAAAAGACGAATAATATTAAATAAAATATATTTTTTCGGAAGTTTCAAAAATGTCAAAAAATTTTCTTCGCAAATAACACTAAAATACATTGCAATTAACTCAAGTCTAATATAATTTAAAAATTTTCGGCTCTAGTTTTTATTATGGTTAAAAAATTACTTTCATAAAATGTTCGGAGATTTCTAAGTTTTGCGTTGGCGGCTGAAAATAATTTTGTGCATTTGAATATTGATCTTGTGCTCGAGCTTCTCTTTGATTTTTTTTTATACAGTTTATGTTTGCAAGATTTGAGAAAATAAGGCAATAATGCACCAAATTTACAATTTCCCCGTTTGTTACAAATTCTCCCCGTATGCAAATTACTTAATCTGGAATTATATTTCGAAAGGTAGTCTGCCGTAAAATGCATTTCGATCTACATACTGGAATATTTTCTGGTACCGCGATGCCGAACATGAAAGCGCAATGCATAACAATTGATCATGTAATGGGTGATAATTTAATTTACAAATTCAAACCATGCGTGACCAAAGATGGAACGTCAGTAAGATGGTAAGTAATAAAACTTGTTTACTGAAAATGAGGTCCGCTTTTCTCTCTCGTTTATGATGTAATACAGTTGCCCTCAGAAGACAGAATTACCGATAAAGGTAGAGCGCTACCGCAGATTTCTATCGGTCAATTTACGCTGAAATTGTATAAATTTTATTAAAACTGTACTGTGTAATATATATTGAAACTAGTTGTTAAATCTCACCTCTAATTGTCTCTCAAAAATGAATTTCGCGAAGGCATACCACTATATGAGTGTATTGATTTATTGAATTTAAATCTCTATTCGTTGTGGTATCAAATATTCAGGGTTTGCGTCAATTACGTCTTTCTCAGTCATTTATTTAAAAAACTGATAAAATGCCCAATAATTGGATAGTGACTTTTATACAGGAAACATCCTCTTGAAATTCCCCTCACCTGTCTACAAATTAAAACGGATTTTTGTACAATAGCTATGGAATCATCCTGATAAAAAAAATGATATATACAGCAGTCAGTTTTGCTACATTGTGTACTTATTTTATATCTGGCTACGTCTGATAGCACTGACAGACTGATTTTCGTTTCAGTATGCTGTATTGCAGAAACTTGTATTTGTTATTCAAAACATTACACACAGATTATATTGGATACGGAAACACGTATGACGCAAACTGAACATAGGAACTCTAATCAACTCTGTGATGACCTTTGACGCTAACTCATAGTTGCCATACATTACAAGGATTTTGTTTCCATGTAGATTTTTCAGATTCTCGAATTGTTTTAATAAAGCGTATTAGAATTCGTACACAGTTAATCTGTGGCAAATATGCAAGTCCTTGGTGAGTTAAAGTAATCTTATGTAATATATTTGTTTTGTATTTAGCCAAAAGTTTAATTTATTTCCTATTTTTAGGAAAAACATATTACAAATAAAAATAATTTTACAAAAATATACCAAAACTATCGGGCAGTCATTCTATAATATATGACGCGATAGCGGTTTTGAAATAGTTACACAATTTTTTCTGGATCACCCTTTTTTCTGGAATGGCAAACTGATCGGAGTTTCTGGGATATTTTTTATCGATTCATATTCATTCATTCACAAAGAGACTTGCCAATTGCCAAAACCATTATCAGTTATCTATAGGTGCGCTACCTTTCTTGTTTAAAAATAGGTAATTGCTCGAAATAATTTCAGTAACGATTCGGTCGCGTAGAAGCATTTCTGGACTATGTGCGGCTCACGTGATGTAAATTGTAGCTTATTAACTGAAGCTGTATTCACACTAGGCTTGCACGTAATTTACGGATTTACGGAATTACGGAATTATTTCGAGTTACGGAAGCGAAGTTACGAATTACGTAAATTCGTAATTATTGGTGGAGCGCTTTCGCGATTCAAACGAGCTCTCTTTAGAGCAGTCAATTCCGTCGATTGTAAAAAATTAAAGTTTAATAAGTAGAAGAAGTTAGAGTTCCGGTATTCGCAGCCGTTTTTCTCTCTCTTGTTACGCAGATGGAGAAGGCATAACGCGTTGCCATTTACTAACCTATTATCAACTTGTCTAGCATGGCAAATGTACATATTGAGCGTAGATATGGGATAGAATTGTGTTGAGACCGATGAACGCCAACACACCTGGTTTCAACTTCTTCGGGTGAAATGACTAAAGAATGTGAGAGATCAACTTACCAAACATGGTCTACTTGTAAATGCCGTGATAATTATTATCGCGCTTATCAAACAGCAATATGATGACGGAAGAGAAATTGCGTAATGAACCAACGCAACTTAGTCTTTTCGGCATCGGTAAAGCGATTCAGACGGCAGAGAAACAACAAAAAGACGGGATTTCCCATGTTCATTCTGCGCGAGATCCATTTTCTATTACAAAATCTTGATGTTCTGTTACCGGTTTTATCGTTATATATCTGTCCGGCCTTGGCCTTGTTTTCACAATGCCTCGCACTATTTCGGCCAAATATGTCTTTACCAAATGCGGCAACTTATTTTGATTTATCGTCGACTCAAATACCACCGGCACTCGACCAAACTTGTGTCAATCTTAGCCGATAGGATTGTCGACTTGAGTTAGAAAAGTAAGTTAATATTTTCGTGAGTGCAAAATAAATGTCACCAAATGCATTGTTTTGCGATATAACTTTGTATTTTCGGAGAAGGCATGTCATATAAGTACGGTATTTAAATTATGCGCAAATAATTAACATTTGATCTAAATTTATCGCAAATAATGTCATAACATTTAGGCCGCGAAATGATTTAATGTAAAATGAAGCATGGTAATCGGAATATCGTCAATAACGCATGATTGCCACCAGGTATATTCATGTCAAAGATAAATAAAGCACAACCGGTGTATAGCAAAACGATTTTTTTTTTTCAGTTTTTAATGCCGTTTAATTTTTACTATCTTTTTATTTTTCTACTCTATATATATATACGATAGTGTACTCTTCATATCATGCTCTGATGAAGTTTTTCTGAATAGAAATTCGAAACGTCGGCAAATTATATCGTTTTGCTATACACCGGTTGTGCTTTATTTATCTTTGACATATCGTCAATAAGTCGGCATCAGTAATTATTATAACATGCTAACTAGGTAGTAAAGTCGGATAATGTAAAAAAAACGGTACAATAACAAGTCTTCGTCGCGAGGCAAGCGCAAGTATAATCAAACGAGAGAATACGCTCGTCGTTGATTTATAAATTAGAAACCCGGAATTTTTATTTAATACGAAACTCGTATTAATACGTTGATACGATTTAAAAAAAGTCAACTATCGTTTCATAAATATATTACCACTTACCAGTGCTGGTAATGATAAAATTGATCGCATAAAATTGGGTGATAAAGTTGATAAAGGAAAATCAAAGCTAACACAAAAGATAAAAATCAGAATAAAATTAATTTGAATTCACTCCTTGATATTTGTCTTTAGCATCTGTCGCCGGCGTGTAGTACTGGCGGAAATATGGAAACCAAAAATATCGCAATTACGGGGTCATTACGTAATCGATTTGGCCGTAATTACGGAATTGATTTTTGTCAATTACGTGCAAGCCTAATTCACACATAGGAAAATAAAAACCTAAATTTCATCGTGATTCTTAACAAAATTTTATAAACATGGGTGTTCCTAGATCTTAAACATAAAACTACTTGAATAATAAATAATTGGAAATATATGCAACCTAAATGTAATAATTTCCTGAACAAAAATGCGCCTCATTTAAACTCTTGCACGTATTAAAAATTGTTTGTCAGAAATTTTAAACTAAAGAATTCGACTGAACATAGTTTTCCATTTATTTTGTTGGTCACGAACATCAATTTACTAAACGAGCTTTCAGCGTAAAATATGATATACTATACAAAATACATATGTAAAAGTATTTTTCCAAGAAAAATGCGACAGTTTCTGACGATTAGCAAAATTTGAATAGTTTTCAAGATCTCATCTGTTTACATTGAAATTGTCCGCGCTTCGGGTAGTAGTTCTCTCTTGTGCTAGATTACTTTCGTTTCCACAAGAATCATGTGTTCCGGCTCCTATTAATTGACGTAATAAATATTATGCATTCGTTAACAGGAAGCCAAACCTTCATTTTAAATCAAATACATATACGTCTATACTGTTGAAGATTACTAAATTTCTCAAAAAAAACCATATTATATAATTGTTTTTTATTTAATTGATTCATTTGTTATTAAATTTTTATTATTTATATTACGCAAATTGTTTCAATAAGTAACGATCCCATATAAACGTTGTCGTTATACTCTGTATGAAAAGATTGGAGCAAATGTTCTATTTAAAAATATCCATATTCAGTGCTCAACTGCATTCATTACGTGAGATTTGAATATTTTCAAAATAATTCAATACTCGTGACGTAGAGAACATGACATTTTTTGGTATTTTCTCATTACACACAAGCACACTTGAAACATCTAATTTGTTCAACATCCGGCTATAAATATGTTTTTAAATTGAGTTTTGATAATCCTTTCACACTGAGAGAAAACAAACTAATTAAAGCAATAAATTAACTATATATATATTTTATTGTTTTCATTTATTCGAGAATGACGTCAAAGAACAAGTTACATATTTATAGCACATGTCATAGTTTCTCTGGTTTCGATAAATTTCAAATCTTATATAAATGAAAGAAATAAATGAATATCTCTAAAATAGGAACACATAGTCTTACAAGAAAATTAAAAAAAACCAACGTTTATTGAGGTATTTATATCCGGATTTCACATATTTATATCCAGAACAAATATAGAATTAAAATTTTTGAAAAAATTAAAACATTTTTGAGGTCGACCAGGTTCCGAAAAAATGTTACCAAAGATCAGAGAAAAGTTTAACAGTGTAAGTCAGCTGGTTCGGCCGATGGCAAACTGCTTGGTTCATTTGAATAACAAACACGTTACTGGGTGAGCGGAGTAAAATTTTAGTATGCGTAGTATGTACATGAATAAATAGAAATCATTCGGATTGTGGCTGTGAATGGGGCCATTATTTATAACAAGTAAATCCGACGATTTAAATCAGGGGTGTATAATATTTAATACAGGCGGGCCAGATAGAAATAAGTGGGTGAAACCGCGGGTCGCACCTTTATTTAACATACGCTATCTAGTAGCATGCATAAAAAAATTGGGTATTGATACGTTGTTTGCACATGCTAGCTGTTCCAAATTCCAAATGGATTGGAATTATTTACTCTCTCGTACCAAATTGAATTAAAAACTCGTTTCGCCGGCCTCACATTATTCAAAATTGGCACTTCTCCGCGGGCAACACAATTTTTTCCTTGAGAACGGCAATTGGCCCGTGGGCCGCAGGTTGCACAACCCTGATTCAAGTCGTTAGCCATTTATATATAGTTGAGATGTACTTGGAAAAATAAATTATTTGGTTGGAGAAATGTTAGGTAAATCTTAGACTATGTTCCCAATTATTTTAATAAATTTAAAAACATTATAATACAATATTCTATTCATTACATAAATGAAACTTAATCAGTTTCACTTCGCGTTTAATATTATATTCTCAGAGAAATAAAAATTATTATTCTGATGTGATGACCAAACCAAGCAAACAATTATACGCGTTAAGTAGCCCTTAGTAAACTTTTGTGCGTTAAGGTTATTAAGGTTCATTATTTTAATAATTCCTGAGATGACTGCTTGTAACATATTACGCAGAGAATACCTGTTTCAGTAAGTGTTTATACGCACTAACTGCGTCATATTTGGCATAAATTTTTGTCAAATACTTTGAATTGTTGCATTCGGGTACAATATGAAAATTAAAAACGATATGATGTATTCAAATTAAAGAGTCAAAACAGTTCTACTACAGTTTTTCATTGTGTAAATTAACGACTATATATTCAAAACACGTAATTTCTTCTTTTTTAATACTTATTTTTATATTTTGCAATAACTCAAAAATAAATTCTAAAGATAGAAGATTGAAGTGCTTTTCTTCGGCTTGTTGTTGTTTGATAAAAAAAATCGCTATTAGCGTGTAGGAAGGAAATTTAATTGCCCGTGGCGCCCACCACGTACAGATATCTAACGAAAATCTATTTTTTTCGAATAACGTGACGATGACAAATCAAAATTTAAGTATAAATTTTGGAACAGTGCCTATTTTTTGCTTCGAGACATTGTTATAAATCGAATCGTTCCGACATATAAACCATTCGTGGCGAGTTGCAATACTGCTTGCACAATACTGCTTTGCTCTGATGCTTCGGTGAGCGATTCTTGACAATTCCTTCGCCTCGCATTATATACTGTCGAAGAAACAAGAAGAATATCGTATAAGCCGCTTGTGAATAGGCCATTGGTGCAAATATACATCATGTTAGTCTTAAGTATTATTACCACTATTTCTATGTGAGCGTAAAATGAACGAAACATATATAAAGTGATACAATAAAATTTGTGCAGTCTCCACAATAAAACATTTGTAATATGATATTTTTTGTTTCATCATTACAGACAATTAAAATAAATATCACCTACATCATGGTTCAATACTTCACATTCGTTTTGAGTACGCTCTTCTGTGTTATTTCGTTTTCATCTGCATTTGACGGTGAGTTTTTTTTTAAATTTTGTGTAAAAACTACTTTAAAAGTAGCTGAAAAATCCAATTTTCAAGGTAATACATAATGTTCACAGTTTTGCTACAATTCAAGCGTCGTATTCAATGAACTGCTAAACTATTAATTCATCTCTTATTAAAATGATTGATTACTTTGCGGAGTAAAATCATTATGCAATATATGACAGCAGGTGATAATGTAGATACTGGGGTTAAGGTATAGGAATATTATTTGCTTCTCATTAGATACTAAGTAGACATATGGATCGTTTCGTAGTTATGTTGTTTTTGTTGAAATTCTTCTTCTTTATCTTGTTTTAATATAAAAATCCCCTTTCCCATAACTACTTGATCAATTAATTTGAAATTTTCAATGGTTCGAGATTGTATTTTTTGCTAGATGGTTAATATTTATATTTGCATGAAAAAGTTCTGTGGAATCTATGAGTTTCGTTTTTTTTTTTTGGTCGTCTTCGATGATGTGATCGCTATTAAAAATTGCGCATATTTTCGCGTTCGCGATCCGATGGTCAAGCGAGGTTGTAAAGACTGCGGTACCGATAGTTTACTGAAACAGATTTCATACCTATACTACTTCGTTTCGACTTTCGTACCCATATACTTAAGCATTGCTAACTTGTAGTTATCATTGTCCTGCAAGATCGAATATTTCAAGAGATGAGACAAAATTTGTTTGCTTCAAAGAATGTATATATAATGGTATAATGTACAATGAATAAATCAATATTAAAATTAATCAAGTGTAATTATTTATCAAGTTTCCGAAGCTTCAATTTCCTGGTTTTTGAAAATGTGATATTACTCAATTTATTCTACTATTGTGCTAATTCCACCTTGATTTCTAAAATTAGAATCAACTTTCCGCTTTTGTAATATTTCACATTCCAGAGGAAAATTCTTTAAATTATTATGGCACATTATTAAATTATAGCGTTGAGGAATTTAAAAATTATTAGTTTTTTTTAATAACTAGAACATTTTGCAATTTTAAAATTTCTTTGTTAGTATAGGAAATATTTGATATAACTCAAAATATTCAGTTGATTTATACATTCTACAAAATTTATAAAAAAAAAAAAATTGTAACAGAATTCAATTGGAAATAAATTAAATTATTCTTTCCCTATTTGAATTGCATTAAATCTATAATTTATGAATTTTAATTCTATTTTTATTCAATACCTGCAGCAGAGTAATTTAATTGTTTTCAACGAATAAATCAATATTACCTAATTTAAAGCGGAAACACATAAATTTTGCAAGACAGCCAACATAATGATGATGACATGCAATATTAAACACAATACAAGTTATTTATGAAAGGGCAATTGACGTCAAAGTAATTTAGAATACAAAAGGCAAATATATTCTAGTGACGATGGAATGGAAAATAGATTGAAAATGCCATTGGCTAATTAGAAATATATGTTGCTGAATGAGTAGCAGTCTACACAAAAATTAAATCTGTTAAACTTTACAAAATAATTTTTCTATAAGTTACAAATCTCAATCTCATTTTTCCAAATATCGATGGCACAGAAGAAATAAATTATTGCATTTGTCATTTAGCAGATTTGAAAAGATTTATATTACTATTTATTTAACACTATTATAGCCATAAATGACATGAAAAAATTCACCGGAAATCTCACTAGCCAAGTAATAACAATTATAGATTGATTTTAGCTACTTATGAAAGTGCAAAGCCATTTTTTATATTATGTTTACGTTTCAACACAATGAATTGCGCCATTGCCGGATCTATTTCATAGGTATTCAGGTCATAATTCAATCAATAACAATTAACATGTAAGTTACATATTTTTCATTCAACAAGACGTGACCTTAACGTATTGTGATAGACTTTCACAAAAAATCATGTGATGTGACTTAAAAATATCTGACCTTATAAAAGTTTCATAGCCAATAATTTATCAAGGTACGATTTATCTCGTATGTCTCCAACAATGATATACATACGTGTTAAAAATTAACATTAACTTCCGTATTTTATTACACCATGTGGCAAACCAGATTAATTATGAAGCCAACATGAAACAACTGCCAAATTTTGCAAACGGAAAAGAATCCATCTGCAAATTTTTCAGAAAAATATTTTTATCGTTATCAAAATATAACGACCTTTGATTTCAGTTACACGGGGAATTTTTCTATTAGATATAGTTGATTTTACGTGAAGTTGCCATTAAAATTTATCATATTTTTTTTCAATGGTTTCCTTGCTATATAATTGCTTTGCATGACAAGACTATTGATTATGAGGTAATCACGATTAACATTAGTGTGGTTACATTATTTCCAGATTTCCGGACACTCCCATCTAACGGAATCCGATTAGACAACATATTTTGAGACACTGTTACGAAATTAGATAGTAAAATTACTTATTTTTAATTTGTGCTATTAATATTAGACACACATGACTGTGTGGGCAAAAATGCAACATAATAAAATTAAGTCACGATAATATAAAGACCACGAATGTGCGAGGCCCGGCATACAATTGCCCGTAGACAAAATGAATAAGAGAATAGTGTCATATGAATGTAAAGTATGGCTTTAACTATTTTTTACGCTCAAGTTTTTAATATCTTGAAACACTATAATGTTTTATTTGTTTTGTGGGGATTTGCTTAATATGTATAATCAATATTTATTTCACTATAAAAATTTGACGATATACACAATATTTTAACATTTGAAAAACCAACCTGATTGCTCAGCTTTGACTGACATGTGAAAGCTCCCTCAACACCACCAAAATATATTTAATCAATATGAATTTATTAAATTTTTCGTGTTTTTCAATATCAAATTTTTTTCACAGGTGGCGTATGTTACCGACAGACTGATCGCGACACATATAAAGTATCTTGCACATGTTTTGGAAAAAAAGCAACGTGGGAGGCTTGCACGGTATTTCTATTGATAATTATTATATGCCAAAGGGCATGTGTGATTAAACAGAGTATATTATTATTATTTCCTTTGCGTTTAAAATATAAATGAAACTAAAAGATTTTAATCGTAAAGTTTCAATTTGAACGGAGTTTGACATTTACAAGTTCATTTGGTTAGGAATATAAAACTTTATAAGATAACGTGTCACCAAAACTAGGCCATCGACGAGCTAATCAAACCGCGCTCTAATTTCCTTTGTCATCAGTTTTCAACTAGACTAGACGACGAAAGGGGTTAGGAGGAAAACTATTTTCCTTACTTTTGATCATTATTATAATGCAATTGATGATCTTGGTTTCAAAAAGCTATAAATTCGTTTAAGAACATTAGGAAAAAAAACTCTTTTCGTACGTTGAAAACTGTTGACGAAAAAGTAAGTTCAACAAACACTCTTTAGTAAATCACATGTAAAAAGAGTTGCAATTAAAAATTGAAATCATATTCCGAAAGATGTCCGATTTGACGTTCATCGCGTTTCAATTTCCTGTGTTTAATTACTTTGCTTAAATTTATTTATTTTGCGTTCAGGAAACAACCAACGAACTTAAAGTTGAACCGAATGGTAAGTAAATATTTATCATACTTTGAAATGCGTAGTAATTGTGATGAGTCATTCAGTTGATGATAAAACGTAATGAAATTTATAAGCCTTGGGATACATTGACTTGTATTTATTACAACATAATTGATTGAATTCAATTTGACCTATTCAATCCTGGGAAATAAAATTAAATATGTTCTGAACACATTTCATTCGTGATGGCAAAAATATACTTTGTATATATAATTAGTTACATTTTTTTAGGTGAGATATGCTTTGAGTACTCAAATAATGAAGCTAATATGATGGGATGCCGCTGTCCACCTAAAGGACTTACTCTATACAGCGATTACAAGGTAATATTTATAGTATTTATTTATGATTTTTAAAATCGATTTCATATTTCAATTATATAATAAACTTCTATCCAATCCATTACGGCACAATATTGAAACTACTGTCAGAATAACGAATATAAAAGTGTGACATAAAAAAAAATCATACTTCTATTGCATTATAATTGTCCATTTACAAAGGTTCTTTCAAATTATTAAAATGATTAAACTTTTTAGGCAACAACAGTCAGTCTGCAAAAGCGACCTTCTGGTGAGTTCCGTTTTATTACTTAATTCAGGTTTCTCAGAAATATTTGAAATGGAATAAATTAGTGACAATTTGTAAACTTTGTTTTCCATTGTATATTATATTATCATAATTTAGATTTTAAAATATTTTCAAAGGAGGAACGTGTCTTGCTTTTTTCAATGACGTCAGAAAAAGGATGGAATGCAATTGTGACTTAGAGGGTGTAGATCCTTCTCGATTCAAGGTGAGTAATATTTGCAACGATTGGTATGCTTTATAGTAACTCGATTGCTTTTATAAGTAAACAATTCTATACTTTAATTTTCACAACAGAAGTCTACATTAGAAGTCATCACTGGCCCTCCACAAAGATCGGGTTTCTTACCCGGAGAAGCAATGGAAGGCGGGCAAGGTATAGTAACTAATTTAAAGTTTTATACCAATAACATTGTATGCCTTAACTTGGGTTATGCGGTGTTATCTAAATAACTAAAAAAGTTTAGCAAGCGAATAACTTCTCAGGAAACATACTTACTAATAAATAAATTATCATGATTATTGCACGACACATGTCTCATAATCAATCTTAGGCATTGTATAAGTATTATATCATGCATTGAGCTAAATTGAATATAATATTTATATAAATGTCATACACTGACTAAATAAATGTATACCAACATTGGAATCCAATTTTATATCTTGTTTCAGCAACCGGACTCTGCTTTCGTGAAAAGAATAGAAACACCGGAAAACAAATTTGCATTTGCTACGGTATTGCAGCTTCAGCTTCAACTTGTGGAGTGAGTGACTTTTTTAATGGTTTTTATTGGGATTTATTTTATCAAAAACTGATTACATTACTTTCATATTTTTTGCTCAGTTGGACATCATGGAAATGCTGCTTAAACCACCAGGTGAAATATTATTTCGTTATTTATGTTTCTGTTAACGCTAATAAATATATATACGTACATATTATGGCGCTTTGGGAATTGAATTTTTTTCTTTGGATTATAATCATTTTAAAGTATTTCCAAGATTTTTTGAATATGAAAGTATATTTTAAACTTTTAATAAAATTAATTTGGACATCATGTTTTGAGTATTTAATATAATTCGTTTTACTCTTGATCATTTTTGTATTAAATGCAAAGTAATACAATGAATGTGGTTTGCTGTTGAGCTAAATTCAGTATTTCAATTTCAGGTGGGGTATGCTTCGAGCAAACGAATTTTCTTACAAGAAAAGCAGAGTGCATTTGTCCATTGTTTGGAATTTCATTTGACAGTTGTAAGGTAGGTCATATTAATTTTGATTGTTTATTTTATTACTCACTTACCTGATATCTTTTGATGATTACAACTGATGTCTTATACCCAAACCTTCACAGAGAACAACGCTGATTATAGGAGAGCCAATACCGCCTGCGGTTCCTACAAGAGGACCGACAATTCCAAGTATTACTGTTCGACAAAGGCCAAAGTTTGTGGTATGTATCTAACAAATATATTCATCATTTTAGCTTCACAATTTAGACGTAAAAGGCCATCGTCTGGTACTAAGAAATAATTCATAAATTTATAACTGTGAATTTTAATTATTCAAAAGAGCAAATTAAATTATTTTATACAGCTTGGAAATATACAATGCAATCCCGATCCATGTAAGAACAATGGGGAGTGCAATCCCGTCCCAAATTCGAACGATTTCTTCTGTCGATGCCGAGAACGCTTTCATGGAAAATACTGTGAAGTGAGTATTCATTCAGCTGTAGATATTCGTAGCGGTTCAGAAAAAAAGATTAAAATATCAGTCAACGAAACAATATTTAAGAATCAATGATAGTTGTGTAAATAATAAATAATCTCAGTCAATAACATATGTGCCTAACTTTCTCATTTACAACCTTAAAATATAAATTTAGGAGACACTAGCATTTCACAGTGGGAGTTAAAATTGAAGCCAGGTTCTTTTCGACTTGACGGGTACTGAAAAGAACTCATTATATATATATGTTTATCGAAGTTATCTTCAAATATAAAATGGTATAGGACTTGAAACTGGGGTATTCAATATTAAGTTTTGGGAAATTTTATATATATTTAAATAATTCAATCTATGTTTTTTAGAAATCCGATTTTCTTCTGCCAATTACTATGGTAAGTACACACATTTTATAAATTACCTTATATATATATAATACACTGCAGTTGAGAATTGTTCATAAAAAAGAATTCCATAAATCAACACCCAGATGCCTTGAATATAAAATAGTAACTGTTTCAAATTAATTTTATTGCGGTTTCATTTGAAAAAATCTCAAAATAGCTCAGTGTATTCAGTTGATATCTACCTGGACAGTAAGCAAGTCAAAAAAACTTGTTTACATCCAAATAGTATGTGTTGAAAACGCTTATTTTATTTGCGTAATTACTTTATTTAACCTATGCTATTTTCAACTCTAGTACTGAAAGTTTTTACATATCCGCAATAAATTTGTGTAATCGATTTTTAATATCAAAATGACGAGTTTAATAATAAAACTACATTATTATCACCTCAACAGAGAAATCCTTGTTTACCAAACCCATGCCGAAACCAAGGCACATGCTCAAGAGTTGTAGGATCTCAAAAGCACACTTGTACATGCAAAAGAGGATACGGTGGTGTGAAATGTGAGGTAATGATTGCAAAATTGATACCATTGTTGTGCTCAAACATTATAGAACGTTGATAAATTTTTAGATAGATCATTTTATATTATATATACGACTATTATACGCGCAACGACTAATTGAAACTTTCTTTTTAGAAAACTATTTCAACTTCACAACTATTTGCGAATGGTCGAACACTCTTCACACGGCCCAAAAAAGTAAGTTTAGCAAAACTGTTTCAAATGCTTTATGTTTTTAAATAAAATAATGATATCTATGACGTGACCATTTCATTTCGAGACGCTCGGTTTAGATGCATATCAAATAGACATGTATTTCTCTATTTAAGATGCAAATCATGGTTGTAATTTTTTCTACCAATATTTCAACAATAATACATAGACCGGCCTTTTGAAGTTATTTTAATGATTTATTCGTATTTATTTATAATGATAACGATTTATTCGTAATTTCAGGGACAATATTTATGTTTCCCGAATCCATGCCAAAATAGTGGTATTTGCTATAGACAAAGATCAGCACAAGGAAAATACAACAAGTTGTTTTGTAAATGTAGAAATGCATATGTTGGAGAATATTGTGAAGTAAGTCACTAAATATATCCAAAGCCAGAACGATAACAAAATTGCCTGCTGTAAAGCATGAACTACGTCGTATGATAATTCCCAACAAAAAATATAGTTACAACTAGAATATTTATCATAAAATTTATTACATTATTGCAATGGTGATCTTGTGATAACAACCAAACAAGAAAGCGATCGGAGACCGCCGACTTATCGAACTAGCGGCGTGTATCCTTCGCTATGACTCAATAGTGACACCGCGTGTCCCATCACTAATTAATTAATAACTCGCTAATTATACGAAATAATTCATCCAAAATCAATAGGCTTCTGGTCCAAGATTTGATGAATGCAGATTTGTGAGATATTGCGTAACATTCGAAAGTGTCCAGCAGACAGAAAGACAGACAAATACCTATCAACATACTTACCGATCAAGATCGATAAGTAATAACTTCATGACAGACAGCAAACACATAATTGTGAAACATACAGTCTACCACTTTCACACTATTGACAATCACTTGATTACCGTAAAGTTATTGAATTATTAATAAAATGCCTTAATACCATTTTTTCAGTTCAGAAAAAGTCTAGCAAATCCATGTAGACCTAATCCATGTAAAAATCGCGGAACGTGTGTCAGAAAAGCTGATGGCAAATACAAATGTAAATGCAAGAATAATTTCAAAGGAAAACATTGTCGTGTAAGTGTGTATTCTTTATATTACTAATTTTGTCATTTTGGCAGTGTGATTAAGCCGTAATACTTCGTTTTCAACAGGCAAGACCCGATCCATGTGTTCCCAACCCTTGTTCAAGTAAAACATTATGTGTACCACTACAAAAAGGACATCTCTGTATCTCAACAAAACAATTGCAATCTATCGGCTGAACGGGTAAGGTGGATAAAAATATATTTTAGGTATAGAATTTATGTGCTAAATTTGATGATACGATAAAATTAATCTTTGAATTCGGAAAGAGGCATCATAATTTAATTCAATTTATTTTGCTAACTTTTGTCCGGGTTGAAGATATAAAATCGCAGATTTAAAATAATATATATATTATTCTTTTAAGATTGATGCCAGTGACGTTCAACAGTTGATCGAACAAGATGTTGTATTTTTTTTTTATTCATATAAACTGCCTTTTAGATTGACTCTTTTCTTTTGAATGTTGTTCATGTTTAAACAATAAAAGTTCGAAAAACTATGTTATGAATTTTTTTCATTTGTTTATTACTTAGGTACATGGAGTAGATACTTGAAGTTACTTTTTAAAGTTATAGGAAAACAATTGACATAATACTGTATTTGACCACATATTTTCAACTATATCATAGTACGAATGAATTATCCCCGCAAACTTTTTAATTTATTGCGATTTTACCAGAAAACGTCCGTTACGTTAATTAATTATTGAATTGCAAATAAGTAGGCTATCATCGTTATTTACGTACAATTTTAACATCAACACCATGCATTTAGCTATGTTTGAAACACAGCAGGGTTCTGTGTCAAATTTAACTTTAGAACATTTGCAAAACTGACCCGTCAAACTGAACACTAAATGTAATAGAATTTCTGATGACCTGTACTGACAGCAACTAAAACGTTTTGCGTATAGTGGATTCTCCGAGAATCGGCTCAAAACAAAAGCAAGCGTGCTGACTTATAGGCAAAGTCTGTTCGCCAGAATAACGATATCCAGGCTGTCTGGGTGATAATCATCTTTAAAAAGATCAAAGAATCCATTTCACATCAAATGTAGTAAACAAATGTGCATTGCTTTATTATCAGATAGTATTTTTATGAGTATGTTTTAAATATGAAAGGCTTTGGTTTCCGCTCTGTGGCCTCCCAGACACATCTCTCTTTTTCGTAATCTATCATTCCATAAATGACATAGCGACGTTCGAATTAAATCGTATATACAAATCATCTTGATAAAACTATTAATGAATATTATAACATGTATCTTTATTCTGGTACAAGCGTATCAGTTCAATCGCTTTTGCGTCGCAAAGAATGTATCTTCGAGGCTATGAAACTCGTTTGATGCCACCCACGTCAAGGCCTCCACTCTGCCTTAGTGTGTACTTTCATATTAGGATGTGAGACTGAGAACAAGAGTGAAAGACATCTTTCAATTTAAACGAATATATTTTCAACATAAACTAATTGAAAAAGAAACTATAATTGTTCGAATCTAATTTAATAAATTCCAACATCAGGTGCATTGCCTACCCTGATACCGAACTAACATGGCTGCTACGTACACATAAAAACATAAAAAGACGAAAAGAAATAAACCAAAAAACCCATCGCTGGAATCAGAATTTTTTTCGTCTTCCACCAACATGAAAGTACAGTTCGTTGAATTTGATAGCTTCTTGTTTTCTGAATTCCAATCGAAAGCTTCTGTGAGGTTGGTACAGTTGGGGGTTTTCACTATCATCGCTTTGTTAGAAGCTGAAGTCTGCTTCACATCAAAGATTACACTCTCTTTTCTTCGTTATGTTTTCTACACATGAAGAAGAGTTGCTTGAATGAAACTCACAGTTTTTCGTAACAGCAAGAGACAGTAATTCTACCCAATAGTCCTCGAGGGACAAATTTCTTCAAAATGTGGCAAACAGATTGTGCAACCTAGGACTGAATAATACATCTCAAAACAATTACCATATATATATATATCATATTTTAACTATGTTTGTGCCTCTCTATTAACTATTGACCTATTTATTATTCATCACGCTATAGAAAACAAGCAAGGATTGTCAGGCCATTATAATATCATAGTTTACTATATAAGCTTATTGATCAGTAAAATAATTACACGTACAATTCTCAATCATATTATTTTTCTGTGGTCGAAGCAAACAAATACTTATGTATAATGATACCAACGCTTTTAAACAAAATTATTTTCAGGGAGTCATAAATAATGCACACGTAAACCAAAACCCTGTGACGTTTAATGGACGAAATGAACAGAAGGTAAATCTCCTAGTAGCTCTGTTTTGAGTACAATAAATACCTACACGCCTTATTGTTACTTCATATTGGTTAACGACTAAATATCGAGTTTGGCTTAGCATCATAGCTATTCTGGAAGAAGATATTCGAATTCAATTGATCCATGCTCATGTGAAGCGATATCGATAGTCATAAACTCTGTTCGGCCGTTTTCAAACCATTATCCATGTATATTTCCAATAACGAATTTAAAAGCATTGCTTCTTTCAAAAAAGAGAATTTGATTGTTAATATTTCTTCTTTCGGATACCAATTCCAATATATATTTTTATCGAATACAATCAATGCGCATTAATAAACAATAAATAAATCAATAAAAATTATGGAGTAAAACAAAAGAAATATTTATAACAGCCGGCAAATTTCTAAATTCTGTGGAGCAATTTAGTGAGCGACTCCTTGCTGCATAAAATATAACGTTATTTATAAGCCTAATTATATTTATTCAATTCCAACAAAACATATGTAAATTACAAACAGAATACAGTAAAATGTAGAAACAGAATGATTAATGGAATATCTAAGACTGTAGCCAGCTCCATTTTTTTTTGCTCAACGACGTAATACGACGCTCACTCATGCTTTTTGCTCCAAACAAAGTCAGATAAAAGTAACCCCCGATATCTAACAATATCTTTAAGAATCGCCCTACAGGCATACTTCGATGTGTAGAAATTATCTAAGACATATAAGCGCTCATTTGTATCTAGTTGGTTTGGTTCATTTGGTGAATAGATTATTGTTAGCAAGACAGAAAAAGTCCGATTTACAGTAAATCGTTCAAGAATAGAGCAAAATAGCGAAATTGAAAAATGTTGGCTTCTTTCGCTTATCTGGATACCAAATGTCACAATACCATATTGCGACCATTAGAATGTGGTGTGAATGAAAAAAAATCACAACAAGGTATTGCCGAAAAGCTTGAAATATTTACAATTAGCCTACAACAAAACAAGGATTTCAAGGGGCGCTATCGCACATAGTAGATATTTCCATGCTCGTGATCTTAATTGGCTCGAATACCTTGTGGGGAGTAGACAAAGATATCATGTTATTATCTTAAACAAATAAGTAGGAAAACAACATTACTTAACAATACCAAGCGAAACACATCACAGATACAACTGACAATAGTACAGCGACAACATATGATTTTAATATACATAACACACTATTGAAGCAAGTTGATTTGTGAGCTGAAGTAATATTTCAACTTAGAATATCGCTTCAAGAGTTTCTATACGCAGCGCAATACTTTCGTTTTGTGATATATCTAGGATTGATTCTGAAATAAATAGAATCATAAAGAAGTATTTCTCTTTGCAATCAAAGGAGAACTTTTTTCCGAACTTAGTGAATACTTATCAAATAACAAATAAATAAGAAATGGACCATTTAATAAAATAATATGTAAATAACTAAATAAAAAGACATGGAAAGGACGTGTGTGTGTGTGGTATGAGAGTATATGGAGCTTTCAACAATTTAAGTCTTTTGCGCCAGACAATTTAAATCAAACTTTGTATATGCCTATAGTATTTTCTTGGTGGACTTCATAAAATCAACAAGAGCGGAGAAAATGCTAGGGTTGATTAAGATAGTTTTGAGTTGAAAATCAATGCCATAATTTCGGCATTTCATCTTTAGTAGCCTATGCGTCTTTCTATCTTCTAATGAGAAGATACTTGAAAGACGACTGCCTACTCTGAAAAAAGACTATTTGGTTGGCCAACAATAGAAATTTCAACAATTTCAATAACAAAGACAAGGTACATTAATTGAATCGCAGTATGTGTAGTGTGTACCTAGTAAGGTCTATCCCCAAACGATATTCCGACCTTCCTTATCTTGGTTCCATCACGAGCTCGAGACTGCCCATGTCAGCCAAGCGAATACGTCCCCTGCCAACTGGCCTCGGTCTTCCTCACATTCGTTTCCTGTCAGTGTACGTACTTGCTTGAGATATAAAAGTGTGGTATGACGCATGATCGACATCCATATCTTTGCAAAGCTTGCGGAAGAGTCTAGTGCTGAGTACTGATCGTTCTATCGTTATGTGATAAATTCCGTAACAGTTGTTGTACATATCGGTATAATGGAACTACAACAGTTGTTAGTATGTTTTTAATTAATGTATACGAGTGCATCTCAATGTTTTTTTTTTAATTTTCTTCATTGGATTTTTATAAAATAAAACAATATTGCAATAAACAGTATCGATCAAAATAAAAAAAACAATAAATAACTATGACATTTCAGATCACTCTATACGTTGAATTGCAATGAACCATTTTCTCAGCCAGAATGTTTGCAACAGCAGTTTCAATCTAAATATGATACAAGAAAATCTCACATTATATATATATATATACCGTAGCATATAAGGATAATAAATAGACAAATAATATAAGAAAAACAAAAACGCAGTAGTCAGTTTACAGCAAAAAATCATATAAACTAAGGTTATATAAACAAATGCCATTTTCTTTTGCGTATAAGAATTTTACCATTTTTTTATTGCTATATATTTCTCATCGTCACAAATGTCACAGATAAATTTATAAAAAAACGTCAAAAACCGGTTCACGTTTATGGACCCGGTATCTATATATATACAGTATAAAGAACCGTGCACTCAATAGTATACAATTGAGAAGTAGTAGGGTTACCATATTTTTTTACTTCAAAGCGGGACGCCTCTAGAGACACGACCCCTTAGCTGCAATCCTGTATCTTTACAGTTTTCAATTTTACTACATAGGCCTGAAGTTAAAGCCATCCCGGCTGTCTGCATTGACCATATTGTCATCGAGAGTTCATGCGCATATTCTTTGTCTAAATACCGGGTTTAGTTCGAAAAATAGAAAGGAATAGACCCTAACGATACAAATGATCCTGCTTCAGATTTTTTTTATGTACAGCAAAAGGATTAAAGAATAATGAAATAGTCTGCTGTTTTCAAGCATTGAGAATTAACTTTTTCGCCCAAGCATGCTTTTCTGTAGATAACATCTTCAAATAGGCGTTGTTCAATGTTGCATTCGCGTGAACGTCCGAACAGGACCAATTAGAATTGATTTTACATGTGATACGTTCGCTAACAATGTTAGCGAGAAACAACGAAACAAACAAAATAACGCATTCACCTCCAGTAAGTAGGCTAGCGTTGCGCTACACAGCAACAACGGTAGCGAGAACATGTTCGTGTATTATGCTGGATGACTGAATGCCAAAGCGGGACTTTTGGCTGACTTGTCGGGACAAAACGCTAAAAAGTGGGACTTCTGGCTGACTTGTCGGGACGGCGGGACAAAACGCTAAAAAGCGGGACTGTCCCGCCTAAAGCGGGACGTATGGTAAGCCTATATATCAGGAATGCTATCAAAGCCAATAAAACATTCATTGAGGAAAAGGTCAAAATCGAAGGTTTCAGTCTTAAACACAATCCACTGGTCTATCTCAGGTCAAAATTTACTAGTTACTCCACAATAAGAAAATAAATGTAGGATAGGATAGGATAGGATTTACAAATTTATCCCGGGGGAGAGGAAAGCCGATAAGACGGCTTATTCATATGGCGAACCACGGCCTCTCGTCCGGTTACCATTCCAAGTCGGGTATGGGATTAGTTTTACTGTATTGTTTGTTTTCGGAAGCATGGACTTGGTGGTGGAGGAAGCCGTAACCGTCCAGCGGTTACGTGAACCACCCAAACGGGTAAACATGTAAACGGGTTTCAATATGTAATTTACAAATATCACTTAAGCTTGTTTCTACTAATCCAAATCCACATAAAACATTATTTTTCAGAACTACAGCTTTATAAAAAAAGTTTTTCGGCATTGCTGTGGTAACGATTTTTACGCCCACTCGTGGATTATTCTTGAAATATCACAAATTAGAGCACATTCCTGCATTCTGACATTAGTATAAGTATAAGTTTATTTCGACTCCATAATCAGCAATAGACGATAAAAAAATAGATAAAAACAAAAGTAAAAGTAACTGATTATAGAATCGGGAAAGCGAACAAAACCTAGAGTAAGGTTTGAAACGTACAGATTTTAGATGGAAAGGTACCGGTACCGGTATTGATAAAAGAAGTAGGCCTAGTACCGGTACGGTACGTGTTCGCCCACCCATCGATTAGCGAAAACGAGAACAGTTAAAGTACGGTATAGCCTACAGGTAAGTTATATGCAATTTTACCATGACAGAACAGTAGCAGCGTAAATTCTGAATGTACCGTACGGCCAGGTACTGGTACCGTACGGTACGGTAGACTACTAGGACATTATTACTGTATTATGGTATGGTATTTTTGATACAGTATTAGCCTTACCCTTCTGCCCTTACAGCCTTAGGGTTGTCAGCTATGAAAAGTTTCAATAAAGGACATAGATTACCGTCATCACTTATTTTGTAACTTAACAATATAAAGCTATGAAATAAAAATTATATAGGCCTATTAAATAAATCTTCATGTATTTTTCATTTAATGCCGTACCTAATGTTTATCAAACATTGACCCAAACTAGCCTAGCTCTAGTTTTGCAGTTGCATAAGTTTATAATCCTTAAAGTTATATTTCTGCTGACTCTTTGTTGACTTCAGCAATTGTGGACACGTTACGCATTGTGGGATTGTCACGATTGTGGATGTCATAGAGACCAAGCGAAATTAAAAAGAATAATTAAAAGCTTGCAAATACATAAACGGGGACGATTTTTTAAGAACGGAACAATATCAAACACAGTACTTACTATATATATCGGGCAAAACAACGCTGGAAAGGATAAAGGACAATTAGCATATTTTTTAAATGCTAAAAAGGACAAGGACCAAAAACGTAATTAAAGGATTGTCCTTTGAAATAAAGGACGGTTGGCAACCCTATACGGTATATTCGTCTTCAGTTCTTGTTTGATTTATTCGGGAAAATTCATATTCTAGATAGAGATTTAGTGCAAATGTCCACTTTCTGACTTTTTGTGGCCCATGATTTTGAATTCTCAAAGTTTATTGACACATTTCATGAGTCATGACTTCTCTATTTAAATCAATTGAGTGGTGGGGAATGCAAACGACTTCTGAAGAGGAATGTGATTTTGGATGTCTGTGTGTTGCAAATATAGATAATTCAGCCGATGGCACAGGTAAATTTTTATTTAATCAATTTCATCAGATAGATTCATTGATTTGTCAACCCAAAATAAATTTATTAATGAAAGCATACCTACAATAAACCTGTAAACAGACACAACGTTTTCCTTGGTAGAGACAGAGGAGGGAGCGATACGACCATAAGCGATTACCACCGGTCATCCAAGTGAGCTTCCCCCAGTCAGTATTTATGCAAAGTGAAGCAGCAATTATTCACTGCCTTAAAACTTAATCAAAATCATTCATTTTTACTGTATCTGCCCCAGGTTGCCAGGTGTAAACAACATGCTCCATTTCTTTGTTACTGAATGTAGCCACAGTATTATGTTTTTATAGAACAAATCTAGCCTATCTATTTTTTTATAATTGAAATTCAGATAAAATCATCGTTGGAAGTTATCATGGAATACTTCACATTTATTTACCAAGTGAGGGAGGAAAGAATCCACATGATATATTATTAGAATCACAACTTTCTGGTCCTATATTACAAGTTGCAGCTGGAAAATTTGTATCGTAAGCATCACTAGTGTTTGACAATTTCAATCTTTTTTGTGTAACAATAGTATGGACTATGGAATTCTAATCTTGCCAATTTGCCAGTGTTTTTTACATTTTTTTTTCACTTTCAAACTGAGGGTATCTGCCTGCATCAATAAAAATTAACTTGGCCTATATATTTCATCTGCTTCCTATAAAATTCATTCCAAAATAACCTAAAGTTTTCTAAAGGTATTTTTATAAATGGATGCATGTGATGTCTAGTGAAATCATGACATTTATAAAATAAAATTCAGGCATATATTATATATTTCTATAAGAAAATTTACTGTATTTTATGTCTTGGTTCATTATTTAACATCAAAATTTATATTTGCAGGGTTTCTTCAGACTTACATCTAGCAGTTTTGTTACCTCGCAGTCTCACAATATATGCAATCGCAGTTAAGGCAGGAGCTGTAGATCATGGTAATCAGTGTATCATAAACAAAATATATGAACACAGACTCGAAAGAACAGCTGCAAATATGACATATGGTCCATTTGGCGGCGTACAAGGTATTTATTTTATTTATATACAACATGCCGGGTAAAAGGTCATTAATTTGCTATCCTTATGTATTTAAAATTTTGATGATGCCAATCTCTATTTCGGTGCTTCTAACAATGTGATTAAAAATTGTATTCATATATGGAAGTGGTTTTGAAGTTCCAACCTTTTTTATCTTGGCCCCTCTCCGGAGGGTTCTAGTACTTATGACCTATTTGGGTCAAACAATTCATGCTCAACAAGGTGAAAACCCCCTGTGAAATGACATCAAGCAATGAAACTGGGAGAACGGGAGTTTTATCGTATAAGGAAAAGTAAAATCAGTTCTGTGCCTAGCATTGTGCCCTCTTGGGGGGCCACAGCCCTCAGTTGGGATCCGCTGATATGGGCCATTCCAAGCAAAAGTTGAATTCCATCAATTTTTTAAAAAGTGTAGTCAAAGTAATTTTTTTTTTATTTCTGATATCAAAAAACATTGGAATTTTATTGGACTGCATTCATTTCATCGAACAATTTAAAATTTCACCCAGGTTTTTGATGGTTTATAAAAAATGGCCTGAAATGTAGAAACTTTGGTATAATTGACATATTTTGTGATGATTCCTGACACAAAGTGTTTGATTGTGTGGTACAGTTATTTCATATGAAATTGACGCCTTGGATTTAAGGTGCTGTAGGACATTTCTTCACTCATGTAACGATTTATTACCAGAATTTTAAGAGATGGTAGAGGCCGCTGTTTCGAAGTGGAAAAATGTCCTGTAGTGTCACATACAATATGCACATTATTGGCATGGATTTACAGTGTTACATTAAGTAACTTGAGCAACACATAGAGGGGTTGTTCAGCTACTGCACCAGAAAATATTATGGGCTCCTGCTGTACCATCGCAAAAATTTACAGCACAACACAATGTACTGTTACTGCATGGTGGATTTGCCGTCCTGTAGTGTCACGCTATATTTTATTATATTTTTTTTAACTACTAAGTAAGTCTTGGGTGTAACTTTACATATTCAATAAAGCAACTGTTCGGACAATGAAACAAAACATGTAGCCGAAAATGTAAAAATATATTGCATCCAACAACTTGCAAAATTTCTGGAATTGTCCTGTAGTGTCACTTGGAATAGCCCATATATTGTTCAATATATGAGAATACCATTTAGTCTCCTCTGGTTCACTCCTTACATTCATTATGCTTGTTCTATATATTTTAGGCAAAGATTCACTATGTGTACAATCTATGGATGGAACATTATCAGTATTTGAAAGCGAGAACTTTGCCTTCACAAGGTTTATTCCAGGTTTTCTTACACCTGGTCCACTAGCATATAACGCAAGAATAGATTCTTTTATAACAATGTCTTCAAATAGATGCTTGGAAGCCTATAGGTAGGTAGATAATGGATTAAACTTAATAACTAGATTTGAAAATACAAGGGATATACTTTTTTCTATATACTTAAAACAATGTATTTGAAAGTAGAAAGTCTGATGCTATTACACTTGAATCTTGTAATATATTTATTCACTTTGTTCTAAATTGTTCAGCCATGTTAACTAATGTTAAGCGTATGAGTCAGAAAAAAAAAACTATTTTAATTGCAGTAGTTCTTTATTTTATTGTTGCAGTTATCAGGTACTTGCAGTTGCCGTGGACTCTAATACAAAAGAAGAAAGTCAAAGTGTTACAACTGGAAAACGAATCAATGTAATAAATTTTAGTGCGACTTTTATTTCTGCATTTGACAAAACATGCTCTTGTTTAATCCCTTTATGTTATTTTATAGGCTGATTGGAAACTCAATCTTGGGGAAGGTGCACTTGACATAAGTGTGATTAATATCCCAAACAGTCCTTCTGTGATAATGATTTTAGGTGAGGTTTTGTACATTCTCATGTCTTTCATTTCATATCGAATATTTCAATAGTACTGTTCTAATTTATATTGAGGATTGGATTATTTCATATTCAAAAAGTCGTTTTTATAGAAATCTATCATAGAATTATGGAATTCTCGCTGCTGTAGGGTGCTTTACATAACCGTTGGTCGATTTCGGCTTCCTTTGCCATCAAATCCATCTATATGGAATAATCGATTGGTCAACTACTAACATATCAGACATAGGATTGTAATCAGACAAGAAGTCGTGATTGGCAATACGATTAAGCATTTTAGCGCCTTTTCTCTCACCCCTACAGATGAATACGAAAATCGTATTTAGGTTCTAATCACAATGTTCTGATTTTTTGCGAGATGGGCTATAAATAGTTTCATCTTTTGAACGTGATTTGGATGGAAACAGTATTCCTTACTATAAAATGTTGAATATATGCATTTGCGAGTAATTTTGATAAAAAAAAATTTTATTCCACTTGACATTTTATCTGTTTAAATATTTTAATTACCTCTTGTTCTTGAAGGTGAGAGAAATCTATTTTGTGTACATGAAACTGGGCAGCTTGCTTATATGAAGAAGCTCGACTATAACCCTTCCTGTTTCTATCCATTCATCGTCAGAGGTATATTAAATTGTAGTATGATTCTTTCGTTTTTTGTTGTGAAACAACCAACCAATGTTAACAACTCTATTCACATCCTGTATTATATTTTTTCTTACTATATTTTTCAAAAAACTCTATGAAATCATTCCATTTGTTTGCAAAATAGCATGCAGGTTTCGATATCAATCCATCCACGTAATTCAGGAAGTTATTACACGTCCGTTATGATATTATAGATTTGAATAATGCTATCAATTAAGTTGCTTGCTTCTCATGTGTTTACTGTGGACAATAGTTACTAATTATCATAATAGTGTTTGTCTCGAATTTTCTACGCTATAAACTTCATTTCTCACACATACAATGATTATATACCATATTACTTCTTAGTTTAGTCTGAATTTAAATTGTATTCTCTTATTTCATATCCCAAAAATGTTAGTTCATAATGTTGTCAAAAATAGTAACTTTTTTCATCTCTGGCTGATGGATCAATATTTCTTTTGAGATATAACAGGTAGCCACATGGATGTATGCAACCACCGTGTCTCCACTGTGAATTTGTTATTGCCTACGAAATTCATGGAATATATGTTAATGAGTCATGCTCAGCAATTAAAACTAAACCTTCAATCTGTATGTTTAGATTATAAATATTGTGATAGTTGATGCTCTATTATGAGAATGGGAAATTGACATGGCATGTTTTTTTACAGAATCAAGCACAGTCAATTGCATAGTTTGCACTCACACCAAGCAACTACTACTTTATGAGGGAATCACATTAAAGTGGGCTTCCTTGCTCAGTGATACTCCAGTACAAGTTGCGGTTGGAACAATAGGGTGATTACATCTCTTCTTTTATATCTATCGTTATTATTTCTGATTATTTCACAATTCGTGAATTAAAAGTTATCTGTTCAAAATTATTTGAAAAGCGATAGCAATTGAGATATTTAAAATTTGCCATTATTTACAGTGGAATCCTAGTCTGTTTTAAAATAGTTCCATACAAATATGATCCTTGCTTTAATATATTGTTATCTATACTAACTTTATTGCACATGAAGTGGACCAATGGATTGTTTTGTTACAATGTTGTTGTTGTTCTTCTTGGTATTTTTCTTCCTATCATTATGAAAAATTGCCTTTCTCTTTAACTACTGGACCAATTGCTTTGAAATTTTCACTTGTTAAATATTGTATTTTTCCCTAGAAGGCTATTCCTTCTTCATTTTGTATATTTGAACATAGCTCTCTTGTTTCGATGAATATCTTTGTTCAACTTGATAGAAAAATGCCTGGAATGTTGATCACATTGACTGACCAATGTAATGCAGCTTGTTCATATCTTGGAACACATCCATCTGTTTTTAATCTTCCACAATCTGCTGCAAGAGAACCAGACTATGCAACTATTGACCAAGAAATGCAGAAAATAAATAATAAAATCAAAGAACTTCACATGAGCAAAGGTGGGTATTTGAATATTTGTACTTCTTATTCCTTTTAAGTCACAAACACTCAACTACCATATATCCTCGCATATAAGCGGAATTTGTAGTGTGATCAGAGTTATGCGTGTTCAAGCCGACCTCTCAGTTTGGCGATATGTGAGGATATACGATATGTCTAAAAATTATCATCTTGGAGAACTGATCTGGAATTGTTTACACCGATCAGTCTCTATAGATCTGAGAAATGTGTAACACTATGTCATATATCGCTATAGCAAATATCAAATTTCGTAATTGATAATTTCAAATCTTTTGTAAATCATTTTCTAAAACAAAAAGTCTCCATAACAATATAGGTAATTATGTAAAAAGCTGTTAATGTTTAAACAGTTGATACTTATATATCAACTATATAGCGGAAATATTCTTTACTTCAAAATATTCTTTACTTCAAAATACTTCAAAATTTGTTTTGGATGGTTTTTTTATGATTATTATCCAGGTGATGCCTTGTCACAAGCAAAAGAATCAGAAGATTTAACTGTAAAAGTAAATGTGCCTCCTGCAATCGACAAGGTTTCGGTATGTTAGAATGTTGTTTCATAAAATATTCCAATCATCATTAAAAAATTTCTTCATGTACTTCGTCAAATATAGAATTTCAATAATCTTCCTTGATTCTTTTCCAAAATGTAGACAACAACAACAAATTCTACTGTTCATTTTTCAAACTTCATGATTCTCCTTAAACCTCATAGAGACTGATGATAGTTTTCATTTTATCATATCAGGTTTCGTCTGAACATGCCACTATTTCATCAGAGGGAATTGTTCCTTCAATCACAGTACAGGTAAAAAAATGGTGACGCGCTTTGGTATGCGATCTCGGTTGTGTGATCTTGGTGATTTTAGTATTATTAACCTAACCCTAATGCAATGAAGAAAGGTTTATGGTCAGTAACTGAATTTTATGAGAATGTCTTATGCAATTGAGATCACATTAAAAAGTGAGATCAAAGTAGTTGTATGGCGGCAAGATTGCATACCAAAGTGGCACCAAATATAATGATTTAGGTCGCTGTTGTTCATAAGATAACCAACTATTCAAATGTTTTTGAAGTAATATTGGTTGGTTGTGGTGACTTTTTTATGAGATTGCTATTTTGTGTATTTCAGATTATTTTAAAAGCTACAAGGAGAGTCAAAGATGTATCTATCATGATTCACGTCGATCAGCCTCTAACATGCACTCAAAAACATATTGCAATACCTGCTATTTGTAAGTAGATGAACTATTGATTCAATTAATGTGCCAAGTATTCATTATTTTTCAATTACTTATGTTTTAATGTAATTGGTAAATTTACATTTTTGTGATTTGAATTTATTTGAAAATGTATTTTGATTTTAATAAAAGTACAAGGTTGTGAGCAAGTACAAGTAAAGCATAAAGAGAGAAAAGAATTTTGTCTGATGCGAATCTTGTATTTTAATGAGAAGAAACCATAAAATCTTGAGATAATATCATGTTAATGTGAATTTTGAACATTATCAACTTCTTTGATAACCAAACCCAGTTTTAATATATTTATATACATAAACTCTTAATTTTATTAGCTGAAAGTGATCCAACACCATGTGCAACTGTTTCGTTTTTTCTTTGCAACGAATTTTCTCCTTCTTCCTTAGAATTTGAAGTCGTTGTGTATTATCAGCAAAGTGTCACGGGTTAGTATTATATTTTTGATTTTGTTTTTCAATATAGTGAAATATTTTCAATCAGGGATGTGCAAAACTAAGGGTGTGCAAACTACGGCCCACAGGATAAATGTTGCCCACAAGGAATAATTGTGCGGCCCACTGCCCACATAGAAGTGCCAATTCGAACGGTGTGCGACCTGCAAAACTAGTTTTTAATTTAATTTGAATTTGTGTATGTGAGTAATTCCAATGTCTTTGCACTGCAATTTTTGTGCCTGCAACTTCTAGAAAGCTTTTGTTAAATAAAGGTGTGGCCCTGCGGCCTCACCCAGTTATTTGTATCTGCCCCCACCTCTCCCCCTGTATTTAAAGGTTGCACTGCACACCCCTGTTTTAAAGAATTTGCCATAATTATTGAAACTTAATTTTAGGTCACCCGAAGGTTGTAACAAAAAGTGCACAACTACCTTTGTCTCTTGTATCATGGCCGCATGACCCAATTAAAACTATGGATTCTAAAATTACACTGGAAAGCAACAAACCTTGCATGAATCTTCTAGAACTTTTTCCAGGCAAGTAATCCTATTACTATGAATAGGTAATAGGTACTCAGTTAATATGAATAGTTTTCATCTAAGTCAGTAATTGTGATTCTAACAGACAAGATTACCTTTAATACTTTTGTCATTTAAAATTTAGTTTTCTTTTATAATTTTATCACAATTTCAGAACTCGCTGCGGCAGATGCAGGCCCAAACTGTGTGGGATTGAGGCTGATTTATGGACCCAGAACTACTATATTGACGTCAAAGTCATCAAGTATGTTTATAGGATATTTTTATATAACATTTTCTACAAATTTAGGCTTCAAAATGACATGGAAACGTTAAATTTATTTTAAGAGCCCAGAGAATTTTGGCATGTTTTCATTCAATCTCAAGCTCACTGGAATCGGGAGCTAGAATCATATTTACAAGTTGTCTGATTCGGGAATCGAAATTTAAAATATGTGATATTCAAATTCAAAGTTACCATCAGCACTGGGTCGACTAAGCATTCTCAACAGTTAGCATGGTCAAAATTTGGGTCTCGGATAAATGGGAGCTGGATTTGAAGTTAAAACTTAATTCAATTTGGAAATTGTCTTAGTCGAAATTCCATCTAACCTAAAGTTGGATTTATGTTTGGAATCGTTCAGAATTAAAAGTCTGGTATAAATTTTTCAGGCTTCCCGGTCCTGGTTAGAAAGTGACTTGATTTTTAAATATGAAACATAAATTAATAAAAGAACAAATTGGCTTTATCATTTAACCCATCATTGTATAATGTATATTTTGTCAATTTGTTATTTAATTTATTCAGATCGGTACAGAGTGCAAAGCGAATCATATGCAGGATTATGGCTTGTTACTCGTGAATTGGTTAAAAGATTAGAAAGTTCAGCAACATGTAAACTGACTCATCCTCAGCCAGTAAATTTAGAAGAATTATCACCGATAATTGATAGACATTACCAGGTAGTTTATGATCTTTGTTTTATTTTTCGATTACTGGCAATTGCTATTTATTAATTGTTGTCTGCTCCAACATTATGAAAATACTGTTTTCCACATCTTATTTAGCTTTCAGTTGGGGTATAACTATCCTTTCTATACACCACTTCTCCCAGTATTCTTCAATTGTCCTTATTCTTTATCCTTTGTATCAGTTTTTTTCTCCATAGAAAACAAGGCTCATTATATGGTAACCAATATCAATGTGAGATTTCCCATGCAGTTCTTCTATGCCCTGGGTGTCTTTTTTGTTCAAAATAATTTAACTATGAAGGAATTGATAATCGTCATATAGCTTAACTGTTATATCAAAATAAACCATATTTTGTCGGATGGCCTAATAATACATACCTACATTTTCAACTGGATTTTTGATGCCGTTACTTGTTTTTGGTAATCCAAAATTAATTTTATTTTTAATTGTTTAGTTACGAGTATCGAAAGAGAGCGTTCGACAAATTTTAGATCTTAGAGCAAAACAATTTCGAGCGATTCAGAGGCGATTACTAACAAGATTTAAAGATAAAACACCAGCCCCATTGAATTGTTTGGATTCGTTATTGGAAGGAACCTACAGACAAGTATTCAGAATTTTTTTGTGGTAGATGTATATATGAATTTCTTACTGACTTTGATTGACTTTTTTCTTTTTTCTCCGAGATTAATCCTGTTATGAAAACAAATAAAAATTGTAATTATAAAGCAATGATTCCTGAAGTTGATTGACCAGGTGCCAAAATTCAAAGTGGAGGGATATTCGCGGGCTGGGAAAGGGGATTGATCGCCTGCAAGTGCACGGACTTGTATATATAATCCTCATTTTGATACATATAATTGAGATACCGGTATAATTGAATTGTTCCGAATAAACACATGCTTAAATTGTGATAGTGACATAACAATTGGCAGTATGTCAAACGCAAAATTTAAAACAAAGTGTTAAAAAAGTTCGGTGGGCCATATTAATATTACGAAGCACCATTTGATATTGTACTATATTCAGTTGATATTGAATACTCTTGTGATTATAAATAAAAACGGTGTTGTTTTCAGATTTTAGCACTTGCTGATGCTTGTGAAGAAAATGCTCAAACGTTACTCATGTCTAATATTGAACTCTCTTGCGTTTTGAGACTAACAATTTTACTCGCTCGTCTTTGGTTGGAACTCGGTTCTGAAGAGGTTTCACTCCTCGAATCTGTGTTCTGCGTTCACTTGAGGGACGCTGATATGGTGAGTTGAAGTGTAAACATGAATACTGATGTACCGATGTCATGTTTATATTTATTGAAAAAAATTAATAAATGGGTGCGCTAGATTCTGTTGCATTTGTAAGAATTGCATGTTAAAGGTTTTAAGCTTTTAAATTCAATATTTTTCACACTTTTCTGCCATTCACTTCAACAAAAGCACTGTGTGATGATAACAAACCAGTAATTTATTCAAATTTTCTCATAGGCAGTTTTCACAAGTACCAGTAATTTTGATTTTCATTAACTATATTCCAGAGCAGCGGTTCCCAAACTATGGGTCGCGACCCACTGGTGGGTCGCAAAAGGAATCTTAGTGGGTCGTGAAAAGATGTAGAAAGCTTTGGGTAATTATTAGGGATGGGACGAGTCCGACATTAAAGAGATTCGACGAATCCGAGTAATAGGTCAAGAACTCGAATCGAATCCTCCGAGTCCGTGACGTCACAATGTAAAAGTAGGAAAACACGTTTTTGACCATACTACAGCATCGCACGCTCACAAACATACGTCGTAGCTCATATTTTTTCCCTAATGGCAGATTTTTTTCCTAACCTGCAGATAGCTGTTGAATATATTTAAAAATATATTTTTCTGTTTTTCTGGCGGCCACAATACAATCGTAAACGTGGGTCAATGTGCGCCTTGGCTGTGAACTGGATATCCAGCCCACCACCTTGCGTCAATTCTGGGCGGCTATTTAGAAATTATTACATGTCAATATGAAAAATAAAAAGCTTTTGACTACAATGCTTTCCCATAATTCCAGATATTTCTAGCCTCAAATTTACTATGTCGCGTGCGCAAATGGTAAAGAGATGCCACTCGTCGTCAATACAATGCTTGCAATTTAGTAGTTCATGTAAACGTTCTAAAACGCTCCATGCTTCCCATTGCTTTCTTTTTAGAGAAAGGATTGCACGTAATAAACCCGATTTAAAGAGGTATTGATGAGATTCCCCCTTGAGTTGATCCTGCGCATGTTTCATTTTTATTTACGCGAATCAAAAACTCAAATATTGCGCTAACGAATATTTTATTGTGTACCACATGTATACCAAAAAAGATAGATAGTTTGAAGGCGACTGAAGCATCATTGTTATAAGCTATCAATAGTTTTTAACTTGCGTTATATTATCTGGATATCTGTCGAGAGATATTGTTACATATCTAATCTAGTGGTGAGATTTTTAGGGATGAAAGTACAAACATAGGCGTAAATTAGTAAAGACAGAATTGATTATAGACTCTGTAAAAACGACGTGGACTCGAAATCGAATCCGAGTCCAAAAAATGCCTGGAGTCCGGATTCGAATACCGGCCCATCCCTAGTAGGGCTATTCCAAGTGCCACTACAGAACAATTCCAGAAATTTTGCATGTTGTTGGATGCAATATATTTTCACATTTTCAGCTACATGTTTTGTTTCATTGTCCAATCAGTTGCTTTATTGAATATGTAAAGAATTGCACAAAAGTTACACCCAAGACTTGCTTAGTAGATAAAAAAAATATAGTAAAATATAGCGTGGCACTACAGGACGGCAAATCCACCATGCACTAACAGTACGTTGTGTCGTGCTGTAAATTTTTGCGATGGTACAGTAGGAGCCCATAATATTTTCTGGTGCAGTAGCTGAACTACCTCTCTATGTATTGCTCAAGTTACTTAATGTAACACTGTAAATCCATGCCAATAATGTGCATGTTGTATGTGACACTACAGGACGTGACACTACAGGACATTTTTCCACTTCGGAATAGCGGCCTCTATCATCTCTTAAAATTCTGGTAATAAATCGTTAAATGGGTGAAGAAATGTCCTACAGCACTCCAAACATTCAAACTTTATTAACTTAAATCCAGTGCGTCAATTCCATATGAAAAAACTGTACCACACAATCAAACACTTTGTGTCAGGAATCATCACAAAATATGTCAATTATACCAAAATTTCTACATTTCAGGCCATTTTTTATAAACCATCAAAAACCTGGGTGAAATTTTAAATTGTTCGATGAAATGAATGTAGTCCAATAAAATTCCAATGTCTTTTGGTATCGAAAATAAAAAAAAATTACTTTCACTACACTTTTTAAAAAATTGATGGAATTCAACTTTTCCTTGGAATGGCCCAGTAATTATACTGGTTATTAGGATCGGTGGCGACTCGCATGCATAAATCTTCAAAAAAAAAAAAAATCAAATTGAACTTAAATTCTAATCTGTGAAATTTTTCTTTTTATCATCTGCTCAAAGGAACGAAAATTTGCTACACAAAGAATATCCATGTGGCTTCTTTACGCATAGCAGTTTTGTACACTGTACAGCACTTCTTACCGCGTTTCCCCAAAATTTAGACAGGATTTAGATTCATTTTCTTTTGAAGAATAACACTGTTTGTTTTTTTTGGAAGAGGTTTTTTGTGTTCATTTATCAAAAATAAAATTACATTGTAGAAAATCACAAGATTTTTTACTAAACATATAAAAACCGACATCCATTGTTTTTATTTGTATTTCTTATACAAAAATCAAGTGACAAATATCATAATTGTGATATCACACAATCTTGAATAATGGTGTGATCTTCACCTTACCTCAGGCCAATGAACCTTTCCTATCCCACACATTTTAAATTTATTTTAAGGGTAGGGTTTAATTAAAATCCTTTTGAAAATTCAAATTAATATCTTATTTTCAGACCAGGTCTTATTTTCGAGGAAACACGGTAGTTTTGCGATGATTAGCCATTGCTGTCTTATGCCATAAAAAAAACAAAAGAAAATTAAAGTTAAGTGGGTCGCCATGCCCATAAGCTGTGGTAATAAATAGTGGGTCCCAACTCTAAAAAGTTTGGGAACCACTGTTCCAGAGCATTCTTTTTTCACAGGGATGGGAAGAAACAGTAGAGTGTTCAGTTTCTAAGTTGATTCGCACTGTTCTATCCAAAGGTGGTAAAGACTCTTTCAGTGCAAGTATGCCTCCGTCTAAAACAACATTGGAGCTACCTGATGACGTCAGTAAGGTGAATTATGACATCATATGAAACTCTTTTTAGTCTTGAGTCCTTCAGTATTACAAAAGTATTTTATTGAGAAATTGATGCTCCACTGAGCTTATTCTATAGAAGAAGTCATTTTATTTATTGAAAAATTCTTCCAAGAGTTTTTGATAATCATTGACTATTATTTAATGGCTAACACATACAGTGTAGGGGAAGTTCCTGCTTAAAATTTCTTTGCTAAGGTGTTTACCGAAAGCACTGCCCTCACCTAGCAATGTTGAACAAAATTATTTTAAATCAGCTGATATCATCTTTCATGAATACAAGCTTATAAATATATCATCTTTATATTCCTGCTGATTCGTGAATCTTCTACCACATATCTCTCTGCTTTTTAGTTATGGTATTATAGCCTTACTTTAAACAAAGTTGCATAAACAGATCCAAAATATTTTAATATCTTCATTTTAGATCAAAAAGTACATAGGAATCTTTTTTGATCATCTTTCCAAGGGAGCAAGATTAATCCCTCAATCCAGCTTTAAAAGTATAAACAGAAATACAGGCCCAATTTCTAACAGTGAGTGATTGTTTTATTTTTATGGAATGCATATTTGTGTTTATTTACATTTACTGACAATCGTTATCAAATGGAGATTCAAATTCTATTTTTGTAAATTTATCCAGTTTCTATAAGCAAATCAAAGGATAGTTCACCGCAGCCATTGATGTCTAAAAGGGGTCAACCTCCACCCATTGCAAGAGGTGTAAGTGATGATTATTCAGCAATATTGGAAGAAGATGAATCAGCAATAATTGATGACATTATGAAGTGAGATGCAGTAGTATATATCAATTGATAATCTGATAATTTAATCTTCAATTAATTCTAAATAATAATAGCTTGAAATTGTTTTGTAAAGTAAAATTATAATAGGTAATTTTAAATATCTAAGGCAGGCCACATCCGGCCCGCTGCAAATTTTCATCCGGCCTGCGAGCAGGCTTCTAGATTTAGACACTTTCTTTTTTCTTGATAATGAAGAAGTCAGTAATAACGTTCGACAAATTTTTTTTTAATTGCCGATGGTTTTCGTCAGCTCGAGGTGACTCCTCAAATCACAAATTTCCCTCAACATATATTTGTCTTGTATACGAGACTGTGGAACCATTGAGAAAAACGAGTTATTATTGATCATCGGCGACGAGATGCTAAAGATAAATAAAGGAGTGAATCGGCAAGCAACTTAAATCTAGATTTTAGAGCGCCAATATAAAATACTAAAAATTGAACAGAAACAAGTTTTGATTTAGAAGGCCCCTGACAGGTTAAAACGCTGTTGTAGAAATTGGAAACTGGAAAATTTCTGGTGCACACGACACAACATTTGATTGAGTGGCTTTCTTGCGCTCGATGTACCTTTTGAACAATTCCGAAACTGCCGACGGCGCCTGATATATTAGATAATTAATGTAAAGTAAATTCAATCGATTTTTACGGTACTAAAATGAATTTTACTCTGTGTGGTTTTATCGCAGACGTGGGGATTTTTAAAATGGTAAAATCTTTAAAACAGAGCTAAGTCAGTGTTGCAAGAACAGATCAGATTTGTCGAATTGACGAGATCGAATAAAAATAATCTGGCACTTTACCTCACATTTTTATATCCGCGGAATGCGGTGGTATTTTAGAGGGGTAATGCCTACATTTTGTCAAGTCTACAACGAGTTAAGTTGAAAACAATAAAGCAAGACATTTTAAATGTATCCGTATCGAAAATAGGTATTAAAACAAATTATATTCTGGCAGTTTATCTGACATTTTTTTATCCGCAGATAGTCGTGGTATTTTAGAGCAGTGCATCCCGAACTTTTAAGCTCGCAACGCCTTCCTGTTCACGGTAAAAATTCTATGATGATAGCAAAGTTATATGAATCACGATGTTTTGCCACCGAAGACATGGTCCTAATTCCGCATTGTTACTCACTCTTCAGCATTATTATGCAAGCGTGCCGTTTCTCTGATCCTATGTATTGTCACACAATTTATGTTTTATACTAGTTTTAGTTGTGCTTTGAATAAAAATTCTAACAAAAAGACAATAGATGTAGTACTTGTTTTATTTAAATGTGTAGAAAAATATAATAAAAAAGCACGATCGACTCTACTTAGTCCGGCCCGCCACTGCATTTTGAATATTCAATGTGGCCCGATACCAAAAATAATTGCCCAGCCCTGATCTAAGGCAATATCATTATATTGTACTTATACATTGTTTTTTGCCATATATGATATTTAATAAATATTCTGCCAGGTCCACTCCTGCTATGCCCAGTGTACTCAAACCACCTTCATTATTCAATTCTTCAATAAAGGAAGACAATACTGCGGAATCAATTGATGAAAAACCATATAAAGTTGAGCCTAAAAGTGAACATGAAAACGGAGTTGAAAGTAAGTTATTGCTTGAAATATATAAATTTTTCCAAAACACTTGTACAATTTCGGTCATAGGCAGGGAGTTTAATTTTAGGTAGTTGTCTTTACTGCTGCGATATAATCTCCGATTCATAAGTTTAGGCATTGTTTTTTGTTCTTAGGATAGGATATACATATTCATTTCTGGGGAGAGTAACGCAGATAAGACAGCTTAATCATATGGTGAACCACGGCCTCTGTTCCGGTTACTAAACCATGTCGGGTATGGGATTAGTCGGCCAGTTATTTATTTTGGATGCATGGACTTGATTCCTGGTTACCTAGGTACATAAAATGTAGAAAAATAGAATTTATGTCTGACAATTGAAAAAAAATTGCACTGACCATTATTAAGCCCATCTAGATACAGTTTTGAATATTCATTCAGATTTTGCTTATTGCAAGTTGGTCACTTTGTTTCATTTTCACAACATTCTTCACATTTTCTTTTCTTTTTTTACCTAGATCCTATTGGAATGGCAGTAAAACCATCTCCATCAAACAATAGCGATGATGCCTTTATGGCTGGTGATGACATAATTGAATCGCCTTCATTTTACGACAACACTGCAGATGATTTGTATGCAATGTAGCTGCTGATAGAGGTTGAAATAAATTTCATTTTGAATTGGCTATGCAAACTCTAGACTCAGATATACTTGTATGGCTGTCTTCGGAAGACTAATACAATGCATTGTTTCTTATTATTTATCAATAGCTATATTGAACTATCTCATGCCGTGGTAACTAAATTAATTGAAACTTTTTTATCTCTGTTTTTGATAACGCTGTATTCATACACTGTACTGCATGAAAAAAATTTAGGATTTGTTTTGCAGCCTATTCGGATGTGTAGTTAGAATTTACTGAATAGGAACAATATGCATATATAAGAAATCTTAATTTTTCAGATTCAGTCGTAATTGAAGCGATAGTATCTGAATCACTAGTATTGTTATTTTGTGTTATATGGCCTTTTCTAATTTATTTTAAGTCTTTGAAAATGTATATTGCAATCTTAACATTGTGAAATCGATAGAATACCTTATTATTTCATGTCAAAAACTGCAGGCGTGGGACTGCAGATGTGATTATTAAGTGATTAGTACACCATTCCACATTTTTAGACCGACAAAATTTATAAGTACATCTTGATTTATTTTCCTGGTTATGCAGTTGTATGTTCCTTCTCACAAAAATCAAGTTCTTATCTAATATTGTGTTTGCGAATAGAAATAGGTAAATGGTAAATTCTATAGTTCTTTTGCAGCTGATAATTTGCACAGTAGATGACACTGTATAATGCTTAGTACATCCTTTTTTTCATTTATGGCTTTTGTTTTAATTTGTTTTTGTACCTGTGTTCACGTTAGCAATAAAGTATTCTTTAATATAACTGATATCGACAAATTTGTTGAACAAGGTCTTCAGGAATACCTTGTGATGGGGGGTATCAAATTGCTCTCGTTCATTTCTACATGTAAGGTTGCCCATGTAAGGTTGATAGACGGGACATAAATAGACAGATAATTTATTACCAATTCCGCCAATGTACATATAATATGAATAGCAATACAAAGACCGGACGAAAAATTCAGGAAAGATGAAAAAAATTCAGATGAGGTTGCAAGTCATCGCCCGAATGCGTTGATCGTAAAACAAGTTAATTTAGAGCTGTTCGGCTCGCTAAGGGGGTTATTGCGCTTCATGGGAGTTTTTAGGTAACAAAAGTGTACAAAGAGATTTCGTTTTGCAATAGGGGGGCGGGGATGACAGTTCAAAAGTCTCATATCTTCTCATCCATTAATCAAGTAGCAATCCAAGGGTGTGCAGGTTATTGATCTATAGGAGACTAGTTGACCATATCTACGTGTCCGACTCCCATGTTATTGAGTCGACACACGTTATGGAGTGTAACCCCAATCTGGACTCCTTCATAGGTCAAACAGCACACATGTATTGAATGCCAAATGTCCGTATATTGTAAAGTTGCACAATGGGATACAGATATATTGGAATACACCCAAACCTGAGCGAGGAAAATATATCATAAAGTAATTGAATTGGAGCAACGACCTTGTTTTAGGCAAACAACATGCACTATTAACAGTACGTGGTGAAGAACATTAAATGCATAGTAACTATCCTTGTGTACTCGTTACAGATCACTAATATTGTAACAACGCATAAATCGAAAACCTTTGTTGTGGGATGAAAGGGTGAAACACTCACGAGAACAGCCCAATGTAATATCTAAGGCCTAAGCAGTCTAAGAGAATTCACATTTTGTCCATGGGAGAGACCTTGTAATGTCGGAATTCTCCATTTTGTCTGCATAAGTAAATCTTATGAAATAGTACGCTAGGTTTAGAGCTTGTGTACCGTGATTTTTGAATAAGTTTTTTTTTATTGTGTTCGATTGATTGATTTTATTGTGTTTGATTCACTTGTCGTGCGTTTAATACTCTGGGAACAACGCTGACCTTCCTTTTTTTGGTAGAATAAGGAACAGATTATGCTCGGGGAAACGCCGTTTTCTGGGAAATTATAATTGGACGCTAACTTGTCTATCGTTTCCCAGCCTGTTGCGAGATGTTGTACAATTTTCGTGTTGGCAAAATGCAGATTGTTGCGTCGATTCAACTTTGTTTTTCACATTTAAAATATCCGTCTTCAAAGTAGCTGATACGGTACCATCGCAACTCTAATCAAGGCGTGTGTTATCTATATTACTATATACAGCCAAATTACTTTTTAATTTTATGCGTTAATTAACTATTTTATATTTATTGGTAAAAAATAATAATTTATGCCACTGTTAGAGATTTGTAACATTCTGCCAAATGTATATTTTTTGAAAAATTCGAACAAGAATCGATTTATTTCGAATTTTCCAAGGTTCTGGGTATAAAAATTGTATTCACCAAAAAATTGAAACTTTTTCAAGTTCGATAATGATAATTTTGTAAAATTTCTATGTATGTTCGAGATTACTAAATTATTTCGAAGTTGTCCGGTCTTAAGTGCAAAATTTAATTCGCCCTTCTGAATGGATAATCACTATCAGAATTTATAGCAATTAAAATTTTTTTGAAGATATCCTGTGATGTTCAAACTTTTTGTGGTTCGGATATTGGTAATTTTGTAAACTTCAGCATTTTTCAAAGCGTTTTCATAAGATATCGATGTCGGATAAGAGCTTTGATTAAGCCAATACCGAATACTGCTGGCGACCAAAGTTGCACTCCAAAAGACGCGTAGGCTACTATCAGCAAAACTAGCAATGATAAAAAGTATTTCTAACTGTGAAAAAAATATTGCAACTAAATAATGTAAACTGTCGAACCACATAAAGAAGTGGAAAATTATATTGAATCCATTTTTTTAAGTGCAATTGCATTTAAGTGGTATCGTGTGTATAAAAAGTGATGTTTTTAATAAAAAAAATATAAAAAAAAATTGCATGTAAGTTATACCATGTAGCAGAATTTTGTCTTGAATATCGCCCCCCCCCCCCCATTTGGTTTCACTCTCAAAAAAATATTTAGAAAGATGAAAAAATAGTCTTCTAATATCCTCCTTCGTCTTTAATTACCAAAAAAAAAAAGAAATTGATAGATCCAGTAACATTTGCGGATAATAGCCTATTCACAGCGAAAATCCAAACAGTTCCAACAAAAATAAGAATATGGGAATATGATTCATAGGGCCTCTACTTGTTTCATAATACACACTTGTATTATAGATCCTGCTATCGATCATCATTATTCATTTATTTTAGGGTTTAGTACTAAATTAAGCACAGCAACAATAAGGGTACTTTTTTGTTCAAATGTAAGAGTTATTCATGTTATGGAATTTGACTCAAAATAAATAATTTCAGACAAACCGAAAATTTTTTGAGGCTAATTTGCATATTAAACCACCAAAAAAGTCTAGTTGGACACGTGGGCGGACCTATAGATCCATTTGATATTATGTTGTTGTTCTTGTTGGTATCATTCTTCTTCGTCGTCATTCAATTGATTTTCTCTTCGAATCCTGGACCAATTGCTTCGAAATTTTCAGGGGTTAAACAATGATTTTTTTCGCCATAAGGCTATCACTTCTACTTATTTCAAAAATTTCTGTGGACTTCCAGAGATTCGTTTTTTGTGTGTCAGAATAAAAAAGAGCGACACCTTGTGACTTGTCCATATATTTGAGCGTAGCTCTCTTGTTGGACACGTAGTGGACATAACGATCGTTTCAATATTATGTTGGTCTTGTTGTTGTTGTTGTTCTTTGACACTTTTTGGACATCTAGTGGAAAATCTAAAAAACCGCTTTTCTCTTTCATTACTGGACCGATTGCTTCGAAATTTTTACTGGTTAAAGATGAAATTTTAAAGATGAAATTTATTTCAAATATTTCTGTTAGCTCTGTGAGATTTGTTTTTGTTTGCTATGACGTCACCGAACGTTCTGCGGACGCATAGCCGACACTCCTCTTCTTTTTGATCACGTGCCATCGAACGTCGATGGTTCGTAACGAAGTCCTTACGGTACTTTGCTACGATTTTTTCCTTACGCTGATCGACGATACGGTAAACCGTACTGTACTGCGAACAGACGCGTCCATATATTTGGGCGTAGCTCTCATGTTCTTGTTGACATTCTTCTTCTTCGTCTCGATGAAATTGCTTTTCTTTTCGAATACCAGACCAATTGCTTTAAAATTTTCAGTGGTTAATTTTTTTTTTCAGAAGGCTATTACTTTTATTTTTTTCTGAATTTTCTATGATTCGCCAAGCGTGACGGCTGACTGCGAAAACTCTTGCGTCTGTAAACTCAAGATAAGGACTAGCTCGGCTCTGGTCCCTGTGTCCATATATTTGAGCGTTGCTCTCTTGTTTTCATCATCTGATAGGTATTTTATATTTCATCCAACTGTTGAAACTTATGCTTCACAGAAGAGCAGAATATAATAAAAAATTGCTGTTATATTTGAAAAAAGGTAGCTATGCTCAAATATATGGACACATAGCGCCACATAATTTTGATGACGCAAAAAATAAAAATTATAGCCTTCTGGAAAAAAATTCCATCTTTAACCACTAACAATTTCCAAGCAATTGGTCCAGTAATCAAAGAGAAAAGCTATTTTTCTCATAACGATACAAAGAACAACATAACAACAAAACGATCGTTATGTCCACTGCGTGTCCAATAAAAATACCCATTTCTGGCATTCTGTTATTTAATATTTTCAATCTTTAAAGGTTTTATGTACACTTGAAGATGATTTGGGAATTCCAAAAATGTTGTCTACACCAGTGATTCCCAAAGTGGTCGATATCGCCCCCCGGTGGGCGAAAACGATACAGAAGTGGGCGAAAAAGTCGAAGGGGGCGATTTCGCGAAACCTGTTTTTGTTCGGCGCATCGTGCACTTATTCTGTACTCTGTGTGAATTTGCATGCTTGAATCACGTGGGCGATTATCACACGCAAAAAGATTGCTTGACTCGTCTTCGCAGTAAGGTACGGTAGTTTGCGTATCCCAGTGGTGGGCAAAATACGGCTGAAGTAAAATAATCTGGCCCGGAACGATTCACTGAATGAACCTTTCCCCGACCTTGACTGCTTGAGTGCTTATTTTAAGAGTGGTTTCGCGAGTTGCTGCCTGTAAAATGGGGTATTTGTTTCAAACTATCATTCTAATTCACACCATCCAACAATCTGTTTTTAAAAAATACCGATGAAGAATTTTAGCCTAGTCTATCACAGCTATTTCTACACTAAATGTTGATTGCTGTATTTAAACTGAAACTCATAGGAAGACAAAGTAATCATTGACTTATTTGATTTATATATAAATTTCCGAAAAACAACCAAAAACTAACGAATATAATTCAAAAACGCGAAAATGTGGTAATGTTCATGACCACGCATGAAAATCTGTCTGAGAGAGTGCGTCTGAGCGGATGCGAAAGAGGGCATTGTTACGTTTAATTTTGCATCTTGCTGATTGGCCAATGTCCCGAAGTAAACAAGGAAGTCTATGCCCGTAGAAACATCCAAATGGCGGTTTTGACGATGAATTAATATTAACCATAATCTACGCTCGAGGAGTAAATTACATTTTTTTACGTAACAGAATTTATCGTGAGACACGTTTAGGCTAAATTTTAGTATATCCTGAAAATTCTGTAACGAGCCTACAATTTACTTAATTATAATTAGACAAATGGAGTCACGGAAAAAAGTTGATGCTGAGGGCAGGGTTCAATAGCGCAGTAAATATTCGAATATAATGCAATGCAATAAGGAAATAAAATTTATATTCTATTCGAGAGATTCACGATAGTTGGTCACGGCTCCCTCCACATCCGAGTCCGTGAATCCAAAAACAAAAGGCTGATTAATTCTATGGACTGGAGGCCGTGGTAGGATAAGGAATCGGGGATGATATTTACCGAAGTATTTTAGTGCAGGTCATCAGGCTGTAGGAATGAATAAGATGTACGAAAATCATTATTATAAGTTTGGGAAAACTACCTTTGTTTTCATTATTTTAATGTGAAGTGGGGTGAATTTAGGGAGTGAAATGCTATAAGGCAAGAGTACACGGCGGTTTTTGAGGAGGTAGAACCCTGGATTCTTTCAGTTCCTACCTATTATATGGTGAAAAAGGGGTTTTCAGCCGTGCTACTATTGCTATCAAAACAACGAAATCGCCGTTCCATCTGTATACGGGGTAATTTTAGAATTTTAGATATAATAAAAAACTCGCTGAAAGACACCAAGCTCATCCATCCTATTAAAAAACAAAATAAACTATGATTTGTCTTATTATTTGGTCTGTAATATATTCGTTTCTGACTTTACATTTTTTGTAGTGCCGGGGGACGATGAAGTTGTATAAGCTACTGTAGGGAGGCGATGGTCAAAAAAGTTTGGGAACCACTGGTCTACACATTACACTACAGTATTTCCATCGGTAAGCCTTGCTGATTCTCTTACTTCATTGTCGACATCTAGTGTTACAGGCCTATTTTGCTATTTTTGCAAGCAAGTCTTTTGTTAGAGCTTGTAGCCGTCTCGTAGCCCACAATATCAATTTCAAGCCGTATGTTACCGGCGGTGCTGGTATCGGTATGGATGTTTTCGTTCAATTCTAGTATTCTTGTATCGTGAAGTTCTGTTTAGAGCTTTGTTTTAGAATATCTAGAATGTGAAGAAAATTCATTCGGGATATTCTATTATAGCCAAGTAGATACAGGGGTATTTTGTTGTAAAGCCTGAAAGCCGGGTTGCGCCAGCCCAGGGACAGAAAAGCCGGGTTTCATCAGTTTACAGATTTAGCGGCCAGCACCTCTGATTGCGGGAATTGGTTTTGATGTTGAAGAAAACTGTAATATATTACATTATTCAGGTAGACTATTACCGGTATTTGTCCTTTAACTGAATTCATTAGGGAATGCTTTTCTCGATGGTGGTGTGGCGGTGTGGCTCAACGGGCTAAGCGTTAGGAATACGCTCGCCACCGCATCTCTAATTACTCTGCGTGGGTTCGCAGGTTCGAATCCCATGCAGGGATGGTTATGTGCGAGAGGATTGCTGGACTCCTCGCCGTCGTTGGGTGGTTCACGTAACCGCTGGTCGGTCACGGCTTCCTCCACCACCAAGTCCATGCTTCCGAAAAAAAAAAACAAAAAAAAAATACAGTAAAAAACTAATCCCATACCCGACTTGGAATGGTAACCGGACGAGAGGCCGTGGTTCGCCATATGGATAAGCCGTGTTATCGGCTTTCCTCTTCCCCGGGATAAATATGTAAATCCTATCCTATCCTATCGATGCAGTGCGGTACCGTAATACTGTAATAACAGAATACGGTACCGGTACCGGTAATGTTGTAATGAAAAGTTCTTGGTAAAAATAACATGATCTCTTTGAACGAAATAGTAAGTACTTTATATTTGTGAGCTTTCGTTAGATTCTGATCTAACGAAAGCTCACAAATATACTTACTATTTCTTTGAAAGAAATCATGTTATTTTTAATTATCACTTTAATACAGTAATACCGGTACTATCTTGCTCAAGCATCCTTGTAGTTCAATACACAATTACAGCAATATCCAAGTTCGAAAAGTTCTTGGTCAGTTGGTTGACTAATTCATTAGTCTGTTAGTTCTGTAGTCTGGTAGCCTAGTTAAACTTAATCTTGAATAATTGATTATTTTAATTCCATGAAGTCAAAGCTGGCCCTGGTAATACTTTGGGAATGGGTGGATGTTTCAAAAAGATATATAGACTGATAGACCAGTAGACAGGTTAATAAATCTGTAAATGCCCGAATGCCGTCTAGGCCTTCTGTCTGATCATTTCTTCATACTCCAGTGTACCTGTACTCAATAATACTGGTCTCAAAGTCAGTAAAGTCACTAATCACTAGATCACTGAATACAGCGCAAATACTGAAATACCAATAACAGCACGAAATATAGAAAAATATTGTGATACTGGGGAATACTGGAATATGGTGCGAAACAGTGCAAAACAAAGAAAATGTTGCAATACATAATATTGTTATGGCAGTTTTGTGATGATATTCTGATATTTTTTAACAAAAAGAAAGTTGTAAATAATATAAAATTATAGTTCTGTAGTTACACAAGTATTCTCAGTGAGGGATTTTAAAGTCAAAAGGATTCCTATGGTTGATTTGATGGTAAGCAGAAATCAGTGGGAACATTTTTACTTGTTGGGATTTTTCGTGATTCTTGTCATAAATCCATACCACAGTACCAATTATCATTTAGGAGCAATTGTACTACAATCTATACTTTGGTGGTGTTTTTTTAGAATAAATCATTAAATACATATCTATAACTTTATTACAGTATTAGCATATATAATAAAAAAGTATTATGTATTTGGCCTTTTTATGTTTTATGCTTCTTCTTGCACTGTATTTTTCTATGCTTATCGCTGTATTCAGTAAAAGTAGGACCTCAATAATATAAACAAATTTGTTTTTGTCTGTTCTTCGCTAATGCTGTAATGTTTTGTTCAAATTTATTGTATTTACAGAGTTGTTGACACGATTCTGTTCATTGAAGTTCAATTAAAATGTTCTGTGCCTTATTGCTTCCGACATAAACAGTTGAGGACTAATCATGGCATCACAAAAAGCTATTGCAATCTATTCATTGTTTAACCTGTTGTTACTAAAGTATGCTGTTTTGGGTTACAACATTTATACTTCACTTGACATTGAAGATGGTGCAATGATTTTTGATGCCTCTAATGGACAATTTGGCTGTCAGTATCAGATGAAACAAGATAAGTCATGTGTGAGCTCGCAACTGCAATTTTCTATTGGAAAAGACAATGGCCAGTTAATTGCTTCACATAAATTTGAGGATATTGAATTACATGATCCTTCTTTATGTTCCATAGTTATAACTGTATTGGGATGTCACCATATTACAAAATTGGAAATACCTTTATCAATACATGTACTGCCACCAACTGTGTTACTAACGGACATTCGAAATACCCCAATGGTAGTGACACCTCCCTTCAATATATCAGTTCACGTTTCATCAAAAAATCATATTGACAACACATCCCTAGTCCGTATTTTACCTACTGACAACTTAGCAGATATACTACCCACTTTACTGCGGGATTGTGATGTAAGAACTCATTTTATAAATAAAAACTTGAAATCTGATTTCAAGTTGAAGCATGGTGGTATATGGGGATCACAAGATTCCATGGTTTCTTATCATTCTCAAGTTATTTCTATGAGACAGACTATATCAAAATGCCCTGTCTTCGATTATCAGGAAACAATAATTCCAGATCAAAAAGCTGATATTAATCTTTACATCTCTATGGAGCATATGTCTGCAAGATCCAAAATGAGCAGGAAAATTCCACGGCGGCGGAAACGTAGTTTTGGAAGCTCAATTAGATTTGTGCCGAAAATGAAAATAGCAGAAATAATGGAAAATCAAAGATCGGATTCCGAAGTTGTAACTCTGAATCTCATTAATCCTTCAAAACTATCCGTCACCTTTACTTGGCATGCAACAACAGACAAGCGTAGTTTGGGAATGTTCAAACTTGATTCAAAGACAGGAGTTGTTAGAACAACTGGAGTTCTGGATAGGGAAAGCATGTCTTCTCACTCATTTAGAGTGACAGCAAGAAGTTCTTCTGGCCAGTCAGCTGATTGCAGTTTATTGATTAAAGTTGGTGATAAGAATGATAATGCTCCTAAGTTTGAAAAGGCCGAGTATTGTTTCAATTTGCGAGAGGATGAACTTTCAAGAGCGTATATCGGTAAAGTTACCGCTTCTGACAATGACGATGGCGTTAATCAGGAAATAAGATATTCCATACAAGGTCTACAACCAAGCGGTGTATTTGCAATCAGTACAGATGGAGAAATAACGCTGAATGGTAGGATTGACCGAGAAAAAACAGCCGAGTACTCTTTCACGGTACTTGCAACTGATAAGGGGGGCTTGCCACAAAGATCACAAACAAGAGTCGTAATTACTATTGATGATGTAAACGACAATACACCAAAGTTTTCTCAATCACAGTATCATGTGCAAATTGGTGAAGACACGAAACGCAATACTAATATCAAAACAGTCACTGCAGTCGACAATGATGCTGGGGAGAATGGAAAAATAACATACAGCCTCATGATGAGCAATGACAGAAATTTCTTTTCCATCGATAAAGATACCGGTGAAATTACTGTCATCGCAGATATTAATTTTGAAAATCACCCCACTGGATTTAGACTAAGAGTTCGAGCTCAAGATGGAGGAAGACCGCCAAAAGCCAGTACATGTGTTGTTGTGGTAACTTTGGTCGATGTAAATGATAACACACCAACTTTCCTGAGTTTATCATATTTAGCTGTCGTATCTGAAGATTTAAACATAGGTGCGGAAGTGACACAGGTGAAAGCAGTCGATTCTGATGCTGGTGAAAATGCACGGATATCTTATTCTTTCGTCAATCCCCCACCCTATATTCCTTTTCGTATCAACAATACATCAGGTAGAATCGTTCTTGCAACTCTATTAGATTATGAAAAGCAAAAAATGTACAGGTTTACAGTACAAGCGATGGATCATGGACAACCAAGGAAATCTTCGACTGCTTCTGTTGAAGTCAGGGTGAGAAATATCAATGATAATGCCCCCAAGTTCACATTACCAGTTTATCGGGTTCGTGTCGCGGAAAACATGCAGGTTGGCAGAGTAGTAATAAAAGTAATAGCCGAAGATGCCGATGAAGGATCTACACTTCATTACAGAATTATATCTGGAAACACATACAATAAATTTGGAATAATAACACAAAATAATATTGGTGTAATTTCGCTTGCACAATCATTGGATTTTAATCAGAAAAGATCGTATGTACTGATGGTCATGTGCTCGGATGGGTCGCGTACAAGCACTGCCCAGGTTCGTATCAACGTGACAGATGCAAATACCCATGTTCCTGAATTTGATAAGTCTTCTTACGAGATAACAGTCTCTGAAGATGTGGACATTGGAACTATGATACAACAAGTACATGCCACAGATAAGGATGTAGGTGAAAATGCAAAGATTACGTATGCACTGCAAGCACCTTCAAGGTAAGATTTGGTTGTTTTGTGATCTGTGTTTCAACGTTATTTTTCCGCAACTTTTAGTAATTACCGGTACTGTGTATCTTATTTTAAATATGCCATAATTATGTTTAAAATTGTTTCCCAAAGAAATTGTTTTTTTTTGATACTCAGACACAAAAGCACGTACAACTTAAAATCTTTTCACTAGAGAAGTCTCTTTAATAACGTCAAAACTAAACGTTTACAGAAAGTAGTTCCGTCTCATTCAGGATTTCCACCTTTTGTTATGCGATGTCAAGTGTCTCTTCAGTTAGAATGTTTTTACAAAGAAATGTAGTATTTCTTCAGACAGAGCTGGTGTCAAGGACCCTGTTCTGTAGCTTGTTAATAATAAGAAATGATGATAAAACCTTCACTTGTCTGATTCAGCAAGTGTTAATCTCAATTTTCAAGTTTGAGTCTTTGATTACTTCTGTCGATGTTGTTGGAATAAATTTTTCCAAAGTTTCATTACTCCAGCTGGCATTGTCTAATTGATTACCAGATTTGTTTTGTATTTGATTTATTCAATTTTCCTATATCTACCAAAATATTGGAAGCCAATATTCATTCTATTAAATAACTTTTTCTGACTCTGTGTTGTGATCAATTACAGTCATTATAATCTGGGTCATTGTTACATTATCTCCAACTGTCCTAATTTACTTTTTTTTTGCCAGACTTAGGAAATTTTTTTTAAATTACCTCTTGTTCCACAAATTTTCACACAAAAACAGAATAGAACTGTGAAAAAATTCGGAGTTCTTCACTTTTTTCTAGATTTTTCTCAATTATTCTGTATTTATATAGTCGATTTTGAGTTGTCATTAGTTTATGATAGTAAATAAATTGACACTACATAAATTGGGGTTTTTATTTGACTAGTGAGGTAAGATTCGTTTTGTAGTTTTCACCAATAAAAATTTTAGTACCAAGTCAACTTACGCTAATCCAACTGTAAATCTGGCAATTATGCCGAAAATTATATTTTTCCGTCATTTGGAATTTTGACTTCATAAATCTTAATATATTGGTAATTCTATAATAAGTAAAAAAAATCTTCATTGCGAACTCATGTCGAATCTCTCAATGATAACAGGATTAATATATTATTATTGTTGGAATGAGGGTTTTCTTTAATTCTCTTGTTCATATTACAGCTTATTTGAGGTATTTTTCTTGTTAAGTTTGTGTAGTATTACCACCTTTTTAATAGGAAACCATTTCCTCCACGCTAAATATCTCCCATGCAAAAGTGGATCATTTTGAATTTTTTTTAAATTAGATCATTTTTTTTGAGTGTCCAACGTCTATCATTACGTTAAGGCTCATTCTCATTCAATACACTGTCATTGCGACATTGCGTGCTCACTTTTTTACGGTTGAGTTAATTTCAAGAGTTTCAAGTTTTAAATTTCTTAAATCCATACTTAAATTCTCTGTTTGACCTATTTTTTGACCCTCAAGATAAGATTTATAGCATTTCTCATTATGTCTGGTGGTGTGTGCTTAGCATTATCATGATAAAAATATTACCCAAAGGAAGAGGCTTATTTTTATAAATACTTCTTGTCTAAAATAAATATCTTGAGAAATTCATAATTTATACAGAAATAATGAAAGTGGAATTTGGAAATATTGTATGGCATATACCTTTTATATATATTGATAAACATAAATTTGAACATCAATAAAAAATTATTTACGGTAACCGTTCACCACACAGACCTAAATTAAATATCGGCCTCGAAAACAAACGACTATTCTTTATTTCCTACGAGCATCAGGCATTAATTGAGTGTTATATCCAGTTGGTAATTTTTTATAATTACATGCTTCTGCTTAGTAATTGCTCTGACTGATGCTAAATTGTTTATGACAATTTAAATTAGGATGAATAAGATAAATCGAGGTGTAGCAGACAACTATTCTAATTACTATAGCCCTTAGGTTATTGTTATTAATTAATTTCTATGTGTTGGAAGATGTGAGACAATCTATGTAATGAATAAACTGTAAATCACTATAAAAAATTGAAAAATCTTTATTAGGTAATTCTTTATATGGAAATGCTGCTAAAATTCAGTAATGATTTGATGAGAATAGGTCAGATTAATAGAATAAAACATGGTTTCAAGATATATGATGTACACTGGGTCTCATTTATTCAATGTGGCATTTAATGCCATGATTACATTATTATTCCATACGATGCACCTTCAACATTCGAAAAGTACAATGTGATGCAAGATACCATTTCACTTGTTTAGTTAATTGAAGCTTCTGCTGAATTTTTATAATATTATCATTATATAGCTAAATGTCAGATGGTCGATAGTTTGAACGCATTTGATATTTAATGTAAAATATCATGAATTTGAAAAAAAAAAATTCATTTTTATTCATATGCTAATCTGTGCAATCCATGATAAATTGACATTGATAGGTTATCATCAAAAGCAATCTTCCTTTTAAGTCTACGAATCGGTGACATAATAATTTTATATTGCATAGCCTATGGCAGCAATTGATAACCTTCTATTATTTCCTGTATTACTTTTCCTAAATTATTCTAGCATAATTTTCTTAAACCGAAGACAATTTGTTTGTTTATTCAAACAAAGTACTTTGACATTTCATCGAAATTATTGAGATGAGAATATCAATAAATTACTGGAAATATGTTTTTTCATTGTGTCATTTTTAAAATAGATTGATCGGCCATACTTGAAAATGATACTTAAAACACTTACCGATACTTATAATTGAATAATGGAAACCATGAGTGAAATTTATAGAGGATTATAGTATATTTTTCATGGATAATTAATAATAGCAGTAGTCTGTCTTATTTCAACTTTTAATAAGGGCTAATCTAATGGTATCCCATATGGAAATAAACAAAATATCAAAAAAAAATTCCATTTGAATATTTCTAGTATTAACACATTTCAGCAACATTGGTTCGCTTCCGTTTGGTTTCACAATTGTCTAGTTTGCTAATGAAATGAAATTAGACCCTTGTATTTCTTTGTCTTTGAAGTCTCTTTCTAATAAAGGTATTCGTACTATTGTTGGTTACGGTTCAGTTTCATAGTGATGTCTGGCGCCCGATTTGTTACAAGATGTTGTAAAGAACAGGATTTTGTTACATTGATTCTATTCAACAAATGAAGTGTTTGGCATGATGCCTTATTGTTAAATCTGTTTCCTTTCTATGTCGTTTGATCTCCTTTTCAATTTAGAAAACACTTGTTAAAATGTATCGACTAAATTTGTAACAAACTAGTAAATTCAGATTACAAGGCTAATAACATTAGTTAATAATTTATATTTTATGCAATTTTTTAATCAAAATATCGTACTTATCGTAAGTTTTATATGAAAATTTATTTTTTATCAATTTAAAGTAACAATCATTTTATTCAAATACCACTGTATAGTGTATAGCCTATTTGTTTATTTTGTTTGTTTATGGCATGTTTCCAATTTTCAGAGCGTTTTCACTGAACCCAACCACTGGCGAGATCAAAACGAAAACGAAACTTGATTATGATACAATGAGTCAACTGTATCTTACTGTTATTGCAAAGGACAATGGAATCCCTCAACATCAAACTGAGGCTCTTGTTACAATTTATTTGCAAGATATCAATGACAATGCTCCTATATTTGATCAGCCAGAATATTCAGGTTGGAAATTGCATGATCACTTTTCATTTCTTTCTCTTTAATATTTGTCATAATTGTGATAGTCTGTTTCTCTCATTTGGGCTCTGTTCTGCTTTGCAATTAATATACGATAATTACCGTAGATATATATATCGTATCAAATGATATAAATCAAAGTAAAGCTGCATAACAAGCAAATTTCTACTACAAAAATAATTGCCAAATGCCGGTTATTCATTTCTTTGGTATTTTGAAATCAAACCTTAACTGAATATGGGATAACTATTTTTTTATCAATATTTTGCCTTCCTTTTCAGCTTCTGTGCTGGAGAATGTGAAGATTGGTACTAGTGTCACTCGTATTCGTGCTACAGATAGAGATTCTGGAAAAAATGGTCAAATATTTTACACCTTCCAAGGTGGAGATGATGGCAGTGGTTATTTTAAGATTGATCAATCAAGTGGAGTGATTCGTACTGCAGCTGGGTGTGTAGATATTGTTGATTTTCCCACTTTGTTTGGGACTGCAGTTGCCATAGGATGTAATATATAGCAGGGTTTCCCAAACTAGGTCCACAGACCCCTGGGGGTTCGCGATAACCGCACAGGGGGTTCACAACGGTATGAAAAGAGTCTGAAACATACAAATAGATCATAATCTTATCGAATTGCTATTTAACGTTAGAATATATCGATTCAGACTTTCATGAGTTTTATTTCTTCAAAGGAAAGAAACATCATCCTTCCTCCTTGGTTAAGCACAGAAATAAGATCCACAAACTGGGTTCCGAGGCCCAACAAAGTTGGGAAACCCCGATGTATAGTACAACAGTGTTGAATATAGCCAACTTTCTGATTTCGATTAGTTGCCTCAAATTTTTGATTTTTCAATAAATTATCATGTTAATTAATTAGTATCGCCTTGAAAAATTTCCATTATACATAATTATACTAACTATTCAAATTTACTCTAATTCAACATTTTGCAGAATTGATCGAGAGCACATTGCAGAGTATCGACTTGTTGCATATGCCACAGATCGTGGTTCACCCCCTAAACAAACTCCTGTAACTGTGGTTGTTACAGTCAAGGATGTTGATGATAATCCTCCGCAGTTTCCAAGCGATGAATTGACATTTGAAGTACGAGAAGATAGTCCCGTTGGTTCGATCGTCGCCAAGTTGGAAGCAATTGATCCAGATGAGGCGGGTCAATCAAAAGTATTGTATGAGTTAGCAATGGGTGTCGATGCGCTCACCCAATGGGATTTAAACTATGTTACTGGTGAACTGAGCCCTACTTTCCCTCTGGATTATGAAACGAAGACAAATTATACTTTGATTGTTTCAGCTTACTCAAATCAACTTCTGAGTCAGGTATGTTTAAATTGTTTATGACAAACTGTGAAATGTAGGTGAGGGGAAGAGGTTTTGGAACTGTTAGATTTTCTTTGATTTACTTCACAAATATGTCCTGCATATGACTTTTGCACTTAGCAACTATTGGAAATATTTCGGATTAAGCGATGAAGCTGTGTGGAAACTAGAAAAAGTTCTTTATGCAATATATTTTAGGAAGTTTTTGGTTGAAAGCATGATCCTATTCATTAAATCATTCATAGGTGTTTTCTGGCAAATATACGATTACCAGAGAGAGTGTAGTAAAGTTGCTATTTAAATATTTATTAAGCTTGATTATTTATCTCAAATTATCGAATAGATGTGCAAAATGCATCCTATAGCTGTACTGTGTATTTTAATTGTATCCCTAGTATATCTAAAAATCACTAATTTGTTAAGCCCACATGCACTTCTTTCATACTCTCTTCTATCTTCAGGTTTGTATATAGTCAAAACATCCTCCCATACTGTGGAATGTTATTGTCTTTTGTTTTTTGTCTTGCTGTGTTTGCGTTTGGTATAGAATGGGGGGAATTAAGGCATGAAAAAATAAGTGATCCGGAATAAAGTGACCCCATGCGGCACAATGTCATGAAAAAGTGTTACCATGAACTAAAATAAAACAGCAAAAATTAAAAAAAAATAGCAATAGCCATTTGGTTCTTCTATTATCTGAAAATTTGCAATTGACTAGTCCATTAGATGAAGAGAAAAGCGATTTTCCCAACAACAGTTTAGCGAAACGGCTTGTTATTCTGTTTCTTATCCGATATGCCACCTGTATATTTTCTGGTAGTGGCTACTACAACGAAGGCAGGAGTTCTAGTCTTCTACATTTTTCTGTTTGCTTCTAGATTTCTTTTCAATATTCACTTATATTTACAGGTAACAGTTCATATCAATCTGATTGACGTCAATGACAATCCACCTGTTCTCAATGATTTCCAAATCATATTCAACAACTATAGAACACGTAAACCTTATACATTCCCATTTGGACCTATAGGGAAAATTCCAGCTTATGATCCAGATGTTTCAAGTGTTCTAAAATACAAGTATGAAGATCTTTTTATTTACCGTAATAATGTGTTTCTTTCTTATTTCACTTTCAGTGGGATCTAGTTAATAGTTAATCTAGTTAACCTCTTCAGACAAAATGATTCTATTCACAATTCTACAATTGGAACAAAGTTTTTTCAATATACAGTTGAAATTTATGGGGAATTTATGGGTTTTTGAGCTATTTGTGTTACAAATTGTTTCTAAAAATACTCTACCTCGTTTGATTTAAAGTAAAACTCAAATTTCCGAGTTATACAGTTATAAATTTGAACTGTAGTTCTTTAAATAATATGTATAATGTTTTATATTTTTGCCATCTCAAATTTACATTTCATTACTCAGGTTCTCATCTGGAAACAACAACAGTCTGCTTATTTTAAACGAAACGACAGGTGAATTGAGACTTAGCTCGAAACTTGATAATGACAGAGAATTCACAGCTACTTTCGACGTAGAAGTTTCAGGTATAAGTTACTTAATTTTGACCCAAAAACAGACATCGATTATTCGATACTATAGCCTTTTAGCTACAGCTTAATTATATGCCATGCTTGGTTGTACTAATTTATTATATATTTTGCATTTACTAAATGAACAGCGTAGAGGCCAAACGATTGGGGTTACGAAATAAAATAGTCTGATTGAATTTAGAAGCTGCTCAATTTCTGGCTCACATCTGCCGTAATTGAGAATAGGATTTTATTTTCCTTATTTATTTACGACTATTAATAAGAGTTAAAATACCATCTCATATTTTCACTTCGCTCATAAATTGTACTTCACCATCATATTCACTTTTGTGATGATGATAAGTGAAGAAAATTTTACGGCAGTTCAGGTCTTCAGTTAGCTTGTCCTTTTTATTTGGGAACCTATTTAGTTCATGTGACCTGAATTTTTTCAAGTCTTTCCATCTAAAATACATATAGCCTATGAGTTGAAAAGTTATTTTGCAGTAGAATTTGCATATCTTGTTATTCTTTCACTTGTGCGGTGTTCAAATTTCATAATTGACAAAACATTGATTGTAACATTGACATATTTTTGAACAATATACACAGCTCCGTTCTTGGCCTTTTATGGTGTGGGTCCGCACTACTTTTATCCATTTTAATACCATCCTCATTTTGTCAATTAACCAATAAAATGTTAAACACTTCATACTAACACCACAAGTTTTTGCTCTGGAAGAATATATTTGACATAGTTTACCGTGAATGATATTCTATGGCTTTTAGTAATGGTCATGCTATTTGGTTTTGTTATGTTTTCTATTCAAACTCTGTCATTTATTATTCACACATCACTTGCTCTGATTGTAAAGTAGATACCATTCTCTTTTGTTTGCCCTTGTGACATTTTAGAGTTGCATCGAATGTATCATATTATGACTCATATAATGATTGTAGGGTTGTGACAGATTCGAAGATTATTTCTAAATAAATATTTTATTTTATCGAATTTCTCGTTGAAAGTTTTGATTTAATGATTCAGTGAATTGATTTGGTTTGTGATAACTGTATATACAGTCGTACTAGTAAACCGGAGATTATCAATGGTATTTGATAATTTATTCGCAACACTTGAATACCAAATTGACTACTTTTTCCATTACGTCTATAGCATTAAAAAATTATCCAATTTTTTTTAAATTGTTGAATCTATTTTCTGTGTCAATCTGTTTACGTAAGTGACTCGGACCTTGTCGTATGAATATTTCAAAAACATTAGCCTATTTTTGATTCATTTTGCATTCACTTTCATGTTATATTATACTGTTGATTATCAGTATTGCCTATTATTTACTAAAAACAATAATTTTTTTAGATGGAAAATACAATGTGTCGGGAAAATGTATTCTGAAGGTTGTCCCCATAACAGATGAAATGTTGACAAACAGCGTAACAGTGCGAGTTCAACAAATGTCCCAAGAAGATTTTCTTTCCAATGCAATGACACAATTTGTTCATGGTTTGGGACAAATCCTCAATGTTTCAGCACAGGTGGGAGTGAACTTCTCAATGTTGTTAATTTTATCTTATCAGGCTATGGTCTTCTAATGATTGATAGTTACTCCCGTAGTGGGTGTACCAGGTTAAGGTTAGGCCATAATTTCATTCCGATTTTTCTTATTTTAGTTCTATTACGAGTTCGGGGACTGTCTGTGTTAGCCAAGTGAATGTACTCCCTGCCCATCGGTTCCAGTTCATTTACACAACTTGGTCTGAATTAGGCAAACAAAATTAGTTACCTCCATATTGGTCCACACACTCCTGGAGCGCCTTATAAATAATAAGAAGTTATGTTAATCCCATAGCCATATTTCATTCCCATGTGAACAGAAGCCTTCAATTGTTAAATCTTATCCCTAGTTACACTGTTTTCTTTATATTTTTAGGATGTTTACATCTTCAATGTTCAAAATGATACAGATGTAACTCCACATGCTGTTGTAAATGTTAGTTTTTCAGCAAGGCATCAGGCTGGCTATTTTTTCACTACGCAACATCTACAAGAACAGGTATGCGACTAATTTTTACCATTCAAGTTTGTTTATTAGGTTTGCAATTTTAGAGATACAATTAATGATAATGCTGAATAATGGATACATAGGATTTCCTTTCATAGGCCTATTGCATTTTAGCAAATTTTTAATTTCTATAAAGTAGATAGAGATTCTGTATTATGTTAATTCTATATAAAGTTACCCTGACTTTTTTCACAACTATGACTATAACCCTGACATGGGCAAACTACGGCCCATGGGCCAAATTCAATCTGGCCCGCCTGATGCTGCCACAACCAAACTGAAACCAAATTTTGATGTTTTAGCTAAAAAATAGCTCAGGGAATTTGTTGAGATTGCTATTAAATTTAGTTTAGGCACGAGGATTATTGTTTTCCACTTTTGCTTGTGTAACACTGAAAATATTGTTCATAAATTGTAACTTTTGCGTCACACTTACATGGCCCTCAGTCTAGGTGAGCAAAATTTATGGCCCCTGGTCCCCTTTTGTTATCAAGTTTTTCAGCTTTCTCAATTTTCTATTTCAATAGGCTTATTTTTCATTGGTTGTAGTGTCTACAATGATTAATTTCAATAAATTTTAATAGACATAGTAAAGCTTTTATTATTGATATTGTAATTCGAAATGCTCAAATCTTGTCTGGAAAGTAAATCTACATGAGAGAATGGTTCGTCTCTGAAGTGCGCTACTTATATAAAATGACAAATGTTTTATTCTATTTGTCAAGTAATAAATGTTCCCTGAATAAAAATAACACAAATTTTTACTAAGCTGGTATTGTTTTGAAAGCAGTTTTTCTGGTTTTCAACTTTTTTTTCGAGATAGATTAAAATTTTATTTGTAAAATTCAATATTTTGTATTTATTAGACGGGATAAATTAGTGTTTATCCCACACATGTTATCACAATGTGAACACTGATTTCTGTTAACTGTCAACTTATCGCTATTTCAAATATTTGTTTTGCGAAGCCACCTCAGCCATTGTTGTTTAAACGTGCTAGCTCATCTTTTGGCAAGTCCGCTTCTTCTTAAATCAAGCGCTTGCTATTGATAAATTGTGAGATCGGGTCTAGATTTGGTTCTTTTTCGTATTTGAGAGAGCCAACATACAATTTTTTAAACAATGCATAAAGTCTGAATGAATCGCTGCGAAACATTTTATTAAATTCCCATAACTGCATTTACGTTTTTTTTTATTTCCAACTGCTGTGATATATTGCTACTTGCTAGTTAATTAAAAATTACTCAAATATGGTAGAAAATGCACAAAAACACGCCATATTGTCACGTCATATTTTTAAGTATAATATTTGAGCATATAGTAAATCTATCACCCAATAAATAGTAGTATTAATAAAGTGATAATAAGCATTGCTGGTATTTATAAAGATAGAAATGTACTTTTATGCTTTTCAAAATGTTTTTCAAATTAGGTTGGCATCTTTGATTTTGTAGCTTTTTTTAACAAGTATTATAAATCATGTTATTCAAAGATATGTATAGTAGGAACTGTAATTTGGTGCTGATAAAATACTCATTCTACTGTGAAAAGGGCAAATTTGCAGGAACAAACAATTTGTAAGGCAATTTTTATTAAGATTTCTGGGCTGAAATTTCGTAAGAGTCTGTAATAAAACAAAATTATTATCCAATTTTACATCTACCATGTCAAACTTATTATTCTGTAAAAGTTCGAATCAGGGAATCGAGCAAAACTACAGAGCATCATTGCAGCACAGAGTTCAAATTATTCTTGTGGTATCCTAGTTATCAATATACCATTACTATTATTTTCCAGACATGACTTTGAATACATTTATTTTATTTTTTGATATTCTGAACGGAAAATTAAATCAGGACTTAGCTAATGCAAGTACATATAATTCATGAAGTCATTTGTGCATTTTTTTGAAGATGTGCAAAATGTTGACATGTGAAACATTGCTGCCGCTGTCCCAACACTATGATAATTTGATCCTCTATAATTACCAAACTAAACAAAGTTTTTTAGCCTCCGGTATTTTAACTCTGTAATTTGATCTATCCAATTTTCGTCAACCATGACGATAATTTCTAAAAACAGCAAAATTTGCTCCTAGAAAGGGTTCTTGCTAAATATTTGAATAAATAATAAATATTAAAGTACTGAAAATTGAAAACTGTGTGACGAATGACAATGATTTATCAACTTATGAATTTTTCGTAGAGTGATAAAAAATTATGTTGAAACACCAATGTTGATATTTCATGTCCTGGAAACTCACTTTCTATTCGGGCTGATCTAAGGTCATTCAATTCATATACCGGTAGAATATATAATATAGGGTGTCCAAAAAGTCTTAAAATTTTCTAAAATTGCGAAGGAAATTTATTGATACCATAAATATTGTTTTGGCCCCCACAGATGCATTTCATGAAGTAAAAATACTCGAACAATAACTGATTAAAGTACAACGAACCTGGTTAAGAAATATCGAGAATTGATCTTATAATAACTAAATTCAAATTGTAAGGGTCTTTATGGACACCCTTTACTTTAAAATTTCTCATTTATTATCTCATTTGTAGTCATTTTTGTTTTCACAAGCATAAATCTAACTGATTTAATTTCAGTTTAATTAAGTGGGCCTAATATATTCACACATATGGTATAGAAGAAAATAATTATGACGGACCTTGAGGCATAATATGAAGTAATTAATTTGTCATTTAGTAAGTTAGATTTCATTATTTAGTATAAACATTTGGTTGATTAGATTCATCAAAGAAACCTAGTGGGGCTAAATAATCATTGATTGGTATTTGTGATAATACAACTGATACCAATAATATTTCAAAACAAATATGTACTTTTGGTGTGTAAGCAATTTGGCTCCACTAAAATATCCAACTATTTACAAATGTTTCAAAATTTTCGACTCTTCTGAAGAAAAATTGTTTCTTTACTTTAGTAAATGCGTCTTAAATATATTTACAAACTATTTACAGTTTGAGTTATTACTCCAGCGCCTTCACTCCTGAAATTATTATTTTGACAGATTATTTATGTCACGTAAGTATATATGGCTTAACATTGAAGTGTGTTTTTCGTTTCAAACTTTGTTTATTAGGGCACATTTTTTTGTTAAAATGGCCCATTTTTGTTTTTGCTCATTTTATTTTTCTACCTTCATTTTTGTATCGCTATCAAACAGCAAAAATTTGTATTTATCGATTGATATTTTATAGTACTTACAATAATATCTGTGGTTCAGACTACAAAGGTTGACTGTCATTGTGAATAATGATTCTTGGGGGCTCCAAAAGTGTGTGTACCAATATGGAGGTAACTGGTTTTGTTCGCCTACTTTTCATCAAGTTGTGTGAAAGGAAGCAGGGGCTATATTCACTTGGCTAACACAAACAGTCCCCGAACTCGTAATAGATCTAAAATATGAAAAATCGGAATAAATTTGTGGCCTAACCCTAACCTGGTACACTCATTACGGAGTACCGGTTCTCGAATAAATTGACTATCAAGACTACATAACATGTATAGCTAACACTCATAGTAATTGATGCTACATATATATTTGTGACTCATTTTTGCATCATGGAAATTTGTTTGATCATAGATATTTTCCATTAGTATTTTATCACTATCCTCATCACTCATTCGGAAGACTTTGTTCACTGTCGCCATACCCCATGACTTCTCACTCACCCTAATTTAATATTCTGTAAATACTGTTTGGCATAATGCCGCAAATTTTATGATAGAATTGTTGAATATATTGTTTGTATTTAACCAGGCATGGATAAAGGATAATCTGGGCTTTGTCACATATAGCTTGTTAGTGATCTGTGTATTATCATTCAAAGTCTTACATTCCAGTTTGGTAAATATTTGAATCTTACAAATATTGAGCACCATCTAGTTACATTCCTCACTAATTTGTCAAAATGCGCTTGAGTTAAATTATTAGATGTTAACCAATGGCTTTCGATTCGTATATAGCAGATCTGTTTTTCTATTCAAATCAATCATATTATCGAGTCAAAAATTGCAGACCTGATTTAGGTATACACTATATATCACAGGCCACCCAGTGCTATTATCTGTTGGTAAGAGTTCTGCGAGATTAAAATGCAGTTTACATCCCATCGAATCTAATATTACGGTATCTTTGAAGTGTTTGAATTTACATTTTCCACAAAACCAAGTTACAACTCATAGGTTGGAAACCGTTGACATCGTTATTTATAGCATCGTTATCAATGAATTTACAGTATATTTAAATAAAAATAATTTTTCCATGAAAAAGACATCGGTATGTATTCCATAACGCCAAATAAATAATATATATCACAAATTACTGTTCATACCTACAGATTAATTTAAAATTAATATGTTCATTGAGGTGTGAATTCTTGCGATTTCATTATTAATAATATTTACATAGTTTAATGACCACTTTGACCGACACCTGCACTTATTATTAATCCCAGATTATGGAACTAGTCATTAGAAATTAAAATGCTAGGAATGAGATTTAAGGTGGGACATTGCATCCTGCTTTGACAGCTGTGATAGATTTATGCCATTTCCATTGTGTGTAGTAATGTTGGTTTACATCATTAATAATCATTATAATTGTTCTCCAAATAAGAGTTATACAAAACATAATAGATGGCTGAAATATTTTTATTTCAGTAAAGTATGCAATATGTATTGAAACATAAAAATTTGAAAATCATGCATTTCGTACTGTTAGTTTTTTTCATCTTTTGCAATTTTGCATGAGTTTTATCTTTTACCATTGGCATATGATTTGTTAATTATTTATATTCTTTATTTTTATACTTTAGTTTTCCTGTTTTGTCTGTTTTTATAACTTTAACAGTGCCTTACGGAAAACTATATATCCTTTAATTTGACAAATCTGGAATATTGATAGTTTCATAGTTACTAAGTATGATAAACTGTAATATTTTGTAATGCAATAAATTCTAATGGATCGTGTTGAAATATCAATTGAGTAGGATTCTGAATTGCATTTTAAATATCGTGTTTTTCAAAATTAGCTTTTTCTCCTTTGGTAATTGAAAATGATATTATTATTTTTTATTCGTGTATTTAGTTTATTGCCGGCGCTGTATTTTATTTCTTGTGTTGTGCTTACAATAATGAAATTTTTACTTTTCATACCACAGGTGTACCTGAACCGCTCTCTGCTAACGAACTACTCAATGCAAAATGTGATGCCATTTGATGACAACATTTGTTTACGAGAACCATGTGAAAACTATATGAGATGTGTGTCTGCTTTATATTTCAATAGCTCGGCTCCGTTTGTTTCAACTGAAACTGTTTTGTTTCGTCCCATACATCCTGTGAGTGGTCTGAGATGCAAATGCCCTTCAGGATTTGCTGGAATTGGATGTGAAAACGAAGTGAATTTATGCCACTCATCTAAATGTAAAAACGGAGGAAAGTGTATTTCAGTAGAAGGCGGATATGTATGCAAATGTGATGGCAATTTTGCAGGTACGATTTTGGTACTTTATTTTCTCATAACACTTTTTACTGGCGTACTATTTGGCATGTACTATTTATGATGAAATTGTATGTGCCAAAGTATTTTGCTCGATTTTGCGAAATAAATATATAATGCTAATTTGAAAACTAATTTCTTTTATAAATAAAAGAAGCCAAGTTAGAGTTTCAACAAATGGCTGTAATACTTCGTTGGAGAAACATGTTTCAAATCCCCCGTCTGTTTAGCAATGTTATCTAGACGCTTATCATAATAATCCTGAATTGCAATAACCTCAAAACTTTTCCTGGTATAATAATCCACAATAAGTCGATAATATGCTTAAAATTTTGTGTTCACATCATTTGATTGATGCTGGTTTTCTTGGCAAACGAATTTACATTTACTCAAGCTTGTAATCTACTTTTGTACAAATTTAAACTCTTGTTTTGAAATATTAGACGTGGGATTATAGCGAAACAAAGTCACGGTTCATTAAAATAATCCGGGACTTAATCTGTCTGGTAAATTGTAGGAACATATTTTGCGTGTTATAATTTGTTACACTATTTTTTTTCTAATTCCTTCATCAATTTTTATCATTGACTAGAATTTTAAAGCACCTGGCTTTTTATAATTTCCTTGCAGTATTTTTTTCCATCGTTCACGTAAATGTAAAAAAGTCCCACCGACTTTTTCATGCCTGCTTTCATGGTCATTTTACTCCTATTGTCTAATCTAATATTTGTGGTGATTTTAACAGGAAAACATTGTGAAGTGAACTTGGTCGGAAGTCAGTGTAGCGAAGCACGAGGCATCTGCAGAAACGGGGCCAAGTGTCATCCTTTTCCAGCAGGTGGTTTTAGATGTGATTGCCAACTGGGTGGCCTTACCACCAATGAAATGACACCATTTTGCGAGCTTAGGGGACGATCTTTTCGCAAGGGTGATTTCGCTATGTTTTCGGGTATCACAAGACAATGGAGATTCACTCTCTCTTTAAGGTGGGTAAGAAAATGAAATTTACCCCTCCGTGACTGGTGCAACACACCTGTATACTGTTTTGTTGTGAAAGTTGATCGATATGCAGCTTTTGTTTTTATGCATTTGAGCTTGAAAAAGTAAATTGATAGTTTTGTTTTTTCTCTTTGAATATTATATAGTGTTGTTGAATATTTGTGTGTTCTTCAGAAAGGACGGTACATCGCTCTATATTTTATATTAATTGTATTTTATGTTAAAATATATACTTATTTCAAATGACCAAAAATCTCTGTGGTAAAAGGTGGATAGTCATGCCATATCTTAAAACTTCTACCCATGCAGACAGGTATCCAGATGCACAGAGACTTATTGCATTAATAGGTATATTATTCAAACAATCACATTCTATGAAATTTTATAGCCTTGAGTGATTTGATGAACCAAGTATGAACTATGCATGAAACTCACTATGCGATTCATTAAGTTTTCATTTAAAAATCTGTTTTGGTTTTTGGTGATCGATAGTTCAGCGTTATAAAAAATTCACAAGGTCATTCTGCTGAAGACACCCCTCATTGTTCCCTGTTTTAGTATTCCTTGTTTTAATAGAGTGACTCACTGGTGCCACATCAATAAGATTTTCAGATATGCTAAATTTTTATCTTATGTTAGGAATTGCTTGTGCATTGACATTGAGAGTATTGACAATTACATTGCAAATGCAATGCAGCAACCTAATTCCTAAAAAAATTTGATCTTGGAAATTTCATAGCATTTGTTCAATGCATTTCTAATATTTACAAATAATACAAGTGTAATTTAAAATAAAAATTTCAATTTCCTTCAGTTTTGCTACAAGAGAACGAAACGGTTTGTTACTTTACAATGGACGTTTTAATCACCAACATGACTATCTCTCACTGGAGATTGTTGAAGGCCAAGTACAATTGAATTTTTCTACCGGTCAACATTTTACTGTCGTTAGTCCATTCATTGAGGGAGGCGTGAATGACGGACATTGGCATACTGTTCTTATTGAATATCATAATAAGGTATAAATATATATATATATATACATTTGTCAATTGATGAAAACTAATTTTTCAGATGTTTTTCCATCATTTAATTATTCAAAAATTTTTTTTTTAAAATGCAAAGTAGAAATGCATTTTTTAGATGGTATCTAAAATAATTTTGTTAAAATTAACTTGAGAAGATTGTTTGCTATTATTTGTTATTTGAATAGTAGTAAAAATAAAATGTCATAAACAATACATAAGCGGAAGAATATAAATACTAAATTAACTGCCGGTTACACAAATTAAAAGACATTGGTATGATATCGAAGTGTATCCGATTATAAATGAGTAGATAATTGACAAATCTTATATTTTTAATTTTACCTTGGCTATGATATAAGTATGTTTCATGTACACTTTCTTGTGTATTCATTTGGAAAACCCAAAATGATTTATTCACAGAAAAATAAATACAGTGTAAAGAATTTAGTTCAGGATTGAGAACAACGTTTTAAAAAATTTATGTAATTGGTTAATGCGGTTTTATCTCAAATCGTGAATCATGCATTTTTTTATGATTTTAAAAATGTGGATAACCTGGGTCGGAACCTATTTGCTGAAGTTTGTCACAGACTCACAGTAGCCAATATTATTATGCTGTGGGTGTTTATACAGTCTAGCTAACGTGACCTAGTTTATATACCTACAAGTGGTTTCCCCAAAAGGAAACTGATACATGACTATGATTATGTTTTTGCAATATCACTGAAGTGGGTGTCAAATATTTTAGAATATAGGGTTTTTGACAACTGTCATTATACGGCATTATTATCTGTGGCGTAAGCTTGATTGAGAACATTATTATTGTTAAGAATCATTGCGACAGCGACATGCGTGCGAATGTCTGGTATTTCCAGTAGTCATAGATACAGCTGCGATGCGCATTAAAGAAAAATGCATTATTTCCACCAATTTTCTGCAACTTTGACATGCCTAATCCAAATCTTGGCAATCGCGGTTTTCCTTATTTGTCGCTAATTTTATAATTGAATTGGATTTGCTTTTAATAGAATTAAGGTCTCAAATAGGAATTTAAAATATTTTAGTGGGGATCATGTATTTTATATCACTAATTCCTATTTTTCACAAATGAAACTGTTTTTTTTCTGTCTTTAATGTTTAGTCATTTACTCCTAGTAAACTACTTTTTAAAAAGCGATTTACTTTAACCGATGATTTCATGGGGCTTAAACTCTATCACCCAGCAAGCTAGATATTGCAATCAACCGTGAACACCTGAGCACGCAGTGACCCAACAAATGTCTAATATGATGGGTGACGTCTGTCTCTGATATGGGATTGGAAGAAACGTTTCATTTAAAATGTTATTTTACGTGATGGTGCATGCGTTACGAATATATTATGCCTATTAGAGAAATTTATCTGAAAAAATATTTATGGTCATATTTTGGTTTATATCAATGTAATTCCTCCTCAGATGTCAGAAAGAAACCTCTGTAAGATATTTTTCTTGTCTTTCATACTGCATCGAGCATAAATCGAATCAAATTGACAAACTTTCAACACTAAATTTTGATCTTATTATTAACACATCATTGGCACTGAAAATTTAGGTTACAGATTTGCTACTTTAAATTCAAAATTGAGTAAATTCCTAATACAAAAGTATGCTCTGCATGCTGGGATGTTTTGCGTTCAGGGTATTTTAAATTCTTTATGAGCAATTCTTGATTTAATTGTTCTCAAAATTTTCAATGTGTAATATTTTGAGTCTTCATTAGTGTTTGAAAACATCCATTATTCTTAACCACTGGAGCGAATATATGAGAATTTTGATTTTACGTTATACAATATTACGTATATGTTGCATATAATTATCATAATCTTATGGACTAGTGTCCGATATTGAAAGTTGGTCAAGCGTGCTTATTGTAAGGCTTATCTTTTATTGTTATTGTTTATTGAATCACGACTGAGTGAATGTGAGAAACTTTGTCATGGTAAAAGATATTATGCAGAGTATTTTAATAACATCACACCCTAATATGTGACTGTCATACATACCATTACGATCTGTTTTTGACCCATTAAATAAACATTTTATAATATTTTTGTTCACAAATGTTAGGCTGGTATTCTTATTAAATTGATTAGTTGAATATTTTTAGCTGAGTATTTGATCGCAGTTGTATTTAAATTTAATACCACTTTTAAAATATGCCTTCTGATCTACAAATCTCAAAATATTTTTTTAAAAGATGTTCATTTTGCGGCTTGTTCTGATATATGACAAATTTAATCATATTAATGAAATGTTTTCATAGGTCGATATTGTGAAAAATATTGCTATTCCCTTATTAATCTTGTATTATAGTAAAAAAGGCAAGTTTTAATGCAGTATAAAGTTTATAATTCAATATATGGAGAAAATTTTTGAATAGCTTCTCAATCATATCATCTCTTGTATTTTCAGCCTGAACGAGAAGTTCTTGGTCCTGGTCATACTGGTCCATCAAACATTAAAGTCGTTACGGTCACAGTTGATCCAGAAAGATGTGATCCTGCAGTCTCGTTAAAGTGGCATGCTTCGTTAGGAAATTATACTTGTTCAAAGACAGCAGAACAAGGTGGAACAAAATCGTAAGTACAATTTTTTGCCGGATGCGTGACATTCTGAACTTATTGATTTTTTTCATATTTTTTGGTTGACACTAGTGAACGAGCAAAACTGCATTTTGCTCTCTGGGCAGTTTTTCATTATTCATATACTCCCACAATATTTAAATTCCATGAATATTTCAATTTCAACAGTTGGTAAAGTAAAGTGTTGTTGTCTAATATATATTTTGTTGTGATTTTCAGATCTCTAGACTTGACAACACCACTCTTGATCGGTGGAGTACCAAAGCTTCCAGAAGCTTACCAAGTGAGGTCAAGGTATTTTGTTGGTTGCTTACGTGACATTGAAATTGACCATCGTCGCATCGACATGTATAATTATGTTGCAAATCATGGCTCACAACCTGGATGTTCTGCTTTGAGAAATCATTGTCAGGACAATCCTTGCTTCAAAGGAAGTTGTGAAAACTCCTGGGGCACTTTCAAATGCAATTGTCCTGCAGATCATGGTGGCAAAAGATGTGAAAGAATTCAACCAGTTAATAGGTAATATTGGCAGTTATCTTAATAATATCTACGTACCGTATAGCCTCGCATAAAAAACACTTGTATATAAGCCGACTCCCTAAAAACAGCCCAAAAACAGTGAATTTATACAAATTCGCATATAAGCTGACCATACAAATCGTAACACGCAGTAACCACCAATAGTTGCAAAAGAGAATTAATGAAAATGACAACCATTATTGTTATATTTTACCTTTATTAATAACAGTAAGAAGTGTCTCAAAATCATTCGAATTCATCCTCACTATCACGCAAGCGATCATGTGTAGGGCAACCAATCACAGACTGTTATTGCTACTATAGCGTACACATGCAAGCGATCATGTGTATGACAACCAATCACAGACTGTTTATCGTTGTCATAGCGTACCAAGCGTTGCTACGCGTATGTGCTTGCACACTTTTATTGTGAGAACTTAGCATGATTCGAGTTGTAGCTGTTGGAATTAAGTTAGCAAAATGTCTCATTTTGTTTGAGTGCGATCGGAGTTATGCGCATCTAAGTCGAATTTTTAGTGCGATCAGAGTTATGCGTGTATACGCCGACCCCTCAGCTTGGCGAATTTTTTTTATTTCCAAACTCAACTTATATGCGAGGATATACAGTAATTAAAATTAGTCAATATTTCTAAATTTTACAACTTTTCGTGTTAACGATTTACCACCAGGTTCAATGGTGTTGGTTGCCTCAAACATCAACAAGTTGGGGTGCTTCCCAGTCCAATGTCTCAACCATGGAAACATTATCTCTCAGTTCGAACGACGCAAACAAATGGTGCAATTCTACACATTAAAATAGCAGGAGATGTGGAGATCAAACTGTCTGTAAGGCATTTTTAACAAAAAATACATCTAGTTGAACTGTAGTAATACACCAGGCTTAGTATCCTCCGTACATAATTCTGCACTAGGTTAATTTGAATCTCAAGTCTTTTTGCAATCCAATGAGTTGGTTTATTCTTCGATGTTAAGTAGCTTCGAGTTCAGGATTTACTTTGAAGTAACCAAGTTTTTCTTTTGAATTTCACAACATTAATTTAATTAATTGAATTGAAATTTGAATTCAGGGAATCTGCTTTGGTGTCTATGCTATTGAAATATGAGATCTAACATTGTATTGTTTCCTTTGTGTCATCAACTGTGATAAAATTTAACTCTCTTTGATCAGGTACAAAATCAACTTGTAACGTACTCCGTTCGTCTAAGTCGAAGTAATTATAAAGATCAAGTCGAAGGATTCAAAATAAACGATGGAAAGTGGCACGAGATAACAGTAGAATGGAGAAAAATTGATAGAAATATAAAAATTGATATCAATATTGATGATGGTACAGCAACGGTAAGTTTGTTGGTTATGACGATTGGTATTTTTTTTTTAATTCAAGAATTTAGTTGTTGTACTGCTATCCAACTAGAATTTATTGTGCTTAACATATCACTTGCTTAAAGTATCAGATGATGACCACAATTCTTAAAAATTGAAAAACTCTAAAACGGTAAATTACGTATTTGAGTTTGCCCTAATTAAATAATCCGATTTTCCCTGCTGCCCCTCAGGCTGGGATGTATCAGGCGTGTTAACATCGAAAAGGAAGATCTCAATCTGAGTAAACCAACATGTATAATGCTCTATGTCAGGTGTCCTCAAACTTTTGATGTTGTGGGGCTCTTGAGAAGGTTGACTATTATTTACGGAGCCCCACAATAAAATTATGTAAATAAAACCAAAAAACATAATATTACCTACCGATTAATGTTACTGTGTAAATTGAAATTACTTTATTTAATAACCTGATGTATTTGCTGCTTTTGGATAGTTACAAAATGGGACAAGTCAGTATTTTAGTAAGTAAACGAATAGCTCACGGAACCCCTGGCTTTCTCTCACTTTGCACTTTGAGATCCTATGCTCTATGGGAGTGAAGTATTGTTCGGAGTAAAGGTGTGAGTGAGAGCCATATCGAAAACTTTTGATCAGAATCAATTTTTTTTTTTCAGGACTCTTTCATTATAAGTAATCTGCCTTCAACCTTGACATCTTCAAGAAGCAGAATAACAGAGTTATATCTTGGAGGATTCTGGACTGGTTCAAAAGTCACAAATTCATTTATAGGCTGCATTCGTGGTTTGGAGTTTTCTGCTAGAAATTCTGTTCAGTCTGTACCATCAGAGTCTTTAAGAAAGACAGCTGGAGCAAGGGTATCTACGGGTTGTAATGTTGGAAATCCATGTCAATATGCAAAATGTCCGCTACACAGCAATTGTGTTCAAAAATTCGACACATATGAATGCAAATGTAATATTGGTGAGTGCAATTAAAAATGGAAAAACCTAACAATATTTTAAAATCAACTTTTATGTTGAAATATTACCGAAGATCGCATATAAGCCGATCCCCTAAAACGACGAATTCATAGAAATCATCATTTAAACCGACCCTACAAATTGTAACACATCGTACACACCTATCACAGCAAATGGTAGCTTTAGTGCAATGGGAGTTTTGTGCGCATAAGCTGGATTTTTAGTGTGATCAGAGCAGGGTTGTCCAAAACGAATCGAATATTCGAATATATTCGAATACCTTTTCGGCTGATTTTCGAATAATTCCGAATAGTAGCCACTTTTCGCCGTAAACGTGGTGTTTCGTTTTTTTTTTTTTTTTACGGGAATCTTTAAACGACTTTTTAAATCGGCACTTTGATTGTTTATATTCTGTGCGACCGTACGTCGCATAGTGTTGCGACACATTTGCACGTTTGCGTGGGTGGACATTGCCGACATTCGTGTACGAGGCTTTTAATTTACAAATTCATTTCCATTACGTCGAAAAATTGAGAATGTATGTTTCTTTTATTTCTATGTGGCCTGCTTATTATTCGCATGAGTCTTCTCAAGCATGATTTGTGTAACCTTATATTTGGGTCTTAGGGTCTGCCAATCCTGATATTTAATCGCAGGCTGGTTATCGTTACTTTCACGGCCACCAAGATAAAGTGATTTGTGACCCTTTCGTTTTGCCGATTCAGCAAAACACGACAGGGACAGGAAAACTCAGCTGTGAAATAACCCGTGGACGTACAGTGTAGTACTTATCACATTCCAAAATTATTCCAACATTCGGGTTAATAGGTTGTCCAAAATGATTGCCGCTTTACAACTTAAATTTACCGCTCAATTGTTAAAAATAGTTAATTCTGTGAGTATGATTCTACCAAACTAACATGATCTGGTTCGAAACATATAAAATTATTAGCGAATTTTTCTACCCGGCTTATTGGAGGCCTATATGGAAAAAACCCTTTTTTGAGTGCTAAAAATAGACATCATCCTATTTTCCATGTGAACTTATTAGCCGGGAAATACGGTATTTATAGCCGTAATTGTTACGATATCCAATAAATTGTCACAAGTTGGAAAAACAAGTCGATTTATTAGAAAATAATTTCTGGCAAATAATTGTGATAACGATAGTTAAAGGTATCGATCCTTTCCAGGATGATTTTTTATAGCGCAAAATAATCCAATCCATGACTGGTACCAGCATTTAAAATGTCATGCCGTATTAATTTAATTCTGTTCAACGTAACTCATGGTTGTATCGACAATCTGTGGACATAAAATGTGTAGTAAACTGACCGATATTATCAAATATTGATTCCTATTTTTATATTGATAAAATAATGAAAGTATTAATACCAAATACAACGGGTATTTGTGGACATGAAATACGTGGTAAACTGCCCAATTATAATTAATTTCGGATTCGTGTTTACAAAATAATAAAACTAATAATTCTAAAATGCAACGGCGATCTGTGGCCTTCAAATGTGTGGTAAACTGCCCGATTTACCAACATTTGAGTTATGATAATAGAATTAAATTAACACGGTAAGGCATTTTAAGTAGTAGTATCGGTCATGGATTCAAATATTTTGCGCAGCACAAAATCATCCTAGTAAAAAGTCCATATTTTTAAATACAAACCAATGGCAACCATTGTACAAATTAGTTCCCAAGAGCGGGATAAAATATAAATTCTTTTTCCGACTTGTGACAATTTTTTGTGAGTACGAAAATAAGAATCAAAACTAATTATATTCGGCACAATATCACGGCAATCTGTGGACATAAATTGTGTGGCAAACTCGCGATTAATTTTAATTTTTGATTCCTATTTTCGTATTTACAAAATACAAGGCGATCTGTGGACTTACAATGTGTGGTAAACTACCCGATTATAAATAGTTTTTGATTCCTATTTTCATATTTATGAAATAATAAAAGTATTATTACTCAAACATACAACGGCGATCTGCGGACTTAAAATGTGTGGTAAAGTTCCCAAATATAATTAATTTTTGATTCGTATTTTTGTACTCACGAAAAAATTGTCACAAGTCGGAAAAATACCTCATACTTTATCCCGCTTTTCGACAAATAATTTGGATAATGGTTGGTATTTAAAAGTATGGGCGTTTTACTAGGGTGATTTTGTGTTGCGCAAATATTCAAATCCATCATCGATACCACTATTGTCGTATTAATTTAATTCTGTTAACATGACTCATGGTATATAAAATATATACTGCAATAATCTGCAAATATGAAATGCCTGGTAATATAGCTAGGTTGTAACTTGTAGATAGCAGTTATTCCATTGCTTATTGTATGGAAATTCCTACATACATTTAGATAGGCTTAAATTAGTGGATTTTATTTTCGAAGTATTCGAAATTTCATATTCGAAAAAAATAATTTCGAATGTATTCGAAATAGTGAACTATTCGGTATTGGCCATCCCTGCATCAGAGAGAGTTAAGCATGTATGCCAACCCCTTAGTTTGGAAACTTTTTATTGATTTTTAAACTCTGCTCATATGGGAGAATAGATGGTATTTCATTCATATGTGTTGTCAATACATTTTCATGCTATAACATTTTATGCATAGTAATATTCTCCTAAACGGCATCATTCGAATATTTTTTCACAATTTTGTTCTATCTGGTTGAAAAACGATTGAAACTCAAAAATTGTCAGTTAATGAATCTTGCGTTTCTTTCTCAGGTTATGTTGGAGATAGTTGTACCAGCACTTGCATTCTCAATCCATGTCATAAACAAAGCAAATGTATTCAAAATTCATCAAAGCCATATGGATATGAATGTCAATGCTCCAGCCAGTTGTATTATGGCCGGACATGTCAGTTAGAACATATTCAACCATGTCCAAAGGGATGGCATGGATATCCTATTTGTAAACCATGCAATTGTCCAGTCGAAAGAAACTTTGATGCTGACTGCAACAACGATCAAGGAGTTTGTAAATGCAAGGTATCTAGTAATTGATTTATCACAGCGTTTCTCAAACTTTTTTTGCCACGGAACGCATACGCGTTTTATCTCGCCCCGCAGAACACAAAAATTAGAAGATATAATTGGTGTATGATTTCGAAAAATTTAGCCTATGGTAAAATTGAAAAGTTTGCTGTATACTTTGCGATTAAAAAATTAGGCCAACGGTTAACGTTATTGAACGGTTAACGAAAGTGCTGTGCGAGCGATCCATGTTGTGTCAGATTTAGAATGTATTAGGAATTCCAGATTTTAAAACATTTTTAGGAAATATTCGTATAGTCGAGTATTCGGCTTCTGTTTCATTTCAAATGAATTCTTTGTTTTGTTGTTAATTGATGTTTTATGGAAATATTTTTTTTTCTTTTTTTTACAGAAAAACCACTATTTCAGTTCCAGAAAGAATATGTGTCTTCCATGTAATTGTTATCATGTTGGTTCCATCGGTTTGAACTGCACTGATGAAATTGGTCAGTGCAAATGTAAAACTGGTGTAGTGGGAAAACAATGCAATAAGTGCTCGAGCAAATTTGCTGAGGTATGATAAGTACAAGGTTATGGTTTTATCAGGATAGGATAGGATTTACATATTTATCTGCTGGAGAAGAAGCCGATAAGGCAGCTTAATCATATGGCAAACCACGGTCTCTCGTCTAGTTACCAGTCCAGGTCGGATGTGGGATTAGTTAGCCAGGTATTTATTTTAGGGAGCATGGACTTGATGGTAGAGGAAGTCGTAATCGACCAAGGGCTACGTGAGCCACCCTACGGCAGCGAAGAGTCCAGCAATCATCCCCGCATGGGATTCCAATCAGTGAACCCACGCAGGGTAATCAGAGATGCGGTGGCGAATGTATTCCTAACGTTTTCCGCGAGCAATTTTTTAAAGAAATTTGAATATTCACCATGTTTTTCTTTTTTCCTAGGTAACGGACATTGGATGCAATATATTGTATAATGAATGTCCACAAGTAATCGAAGATGGCATTATGTGGCGACGTGAAAAATTTGGAATTACAACTCCAGCACGATGCCCTAAAGATGCTAATGGTATAGCAACGAGATTTTGCACAAAAGAGGATGGATGGTTGAAGCCCATGATGGGAAATTGTACAAGTCTGCCGTACTTCGATTTGAAAAAAGATTTGCAGAATTTGTTGGGAAATCCAGAATATATCAATGAGCATAGGTAGTTTCTGTTAACAATATACTTGTTTAAAATAGATTTCTATTACTGAATATTTGCTATGCTAGCCGGGCTTTATAACCTTAACATGATGGAGCTGTTTGATTAGGTATTCTAGTACTCATTCCCCCAATCCCATTTTATTTATTTTTATTCATATGTGGCGTTTTCATCACTCCGCTCCGAACATGAGCTACTGTTATGTAAAGAAATGCTTTTTTTAAATGAACCGAATCTTGTCTACTCAATTTAATATACCCACGTTGAGGTGGGGGGCTTGAGATTTGTGAACATGAGGTCTTTATCTTGCGACACCTGTACAGTAAGGTCCTATGCTGAGATGTAAAATATTTGACAAAAAGCTTTTTCTGGAAATGGAGCTTTTGACACCTTTAGAAAATGATTGTTTCCTTATCACGCTTTTGAATTGTATTTTGCAGTGTACGAGCTTCTTTGGATGCAGCACGTCGATTGCACAGTGCTTCTATCAGTACTGATAAGTTATATCAAGGAGATGTTTTGATGTCTTATAAGATGATCAATAAATTATTATCAATGCAAAAATCTCTCAATGGATTTGATTTGACGGCATCAAGAGGAACTGATTTCAATGGTAAATATAGTCCATGCTAACATTTTTGAGTGCATAATGATATGTCATGCTATTGTTTTGCGTTAACTTTCACTGACTGATTATTGGATGCTTAGTGTGGAAGTATGGGTTGTTTTGTTGAATTTGTGTTGTTATTAGGAGAAAAATCCTCTTGATATAATAAACAATCGATTTCAATTTTTTGGTAATTAAAGATGGAAGCAGTTACAAGAATGCTATTACAGTATTCCTATTTTTTCTTGTGGAATTTGATAATTCACCAAAAGTATTGCGGTTTCATTTTATTTAAAGGGGAACACTTTTTTATTCTGTATTTCCTGACTGCCTCCATAGTGCTTGTCCGCTGATCTTTTCTGCTAACCTTGTGCTCTCATGCTCTGCATACTGATGCATGAGCTTCGTGTTTATATATTCAAGCATTGCTTGCACACACTGTTATTTCATGGGAATTCTTATCAAAAAGCGTTCGACTTTTATTGGAATAGTCATATCATATTATCGCTGATAGCCAGAGATGGCAAAACAATTTATGTTCAATTCTAAATGATTGACAAATCATTAGATTCTACAGTATTTGCCAAGTGATTGGCATATTATTTCATATGGTTGCAAAATTGTATAGGAAAACATTGTTTAGGAAAAAGTTTTTGGTACTGTAAAAATACCAACATCAATCAGAAAAAATTCAGCATTTTGTATTTTTGTTTATCCCTTCTAATAAGATGATCATCACCTTGATTTTTTAACACTTTAGTCATAGATATATTTTTATTATAAGAAACCTAATCTACCTTATCAAATGTTCGATTGTTGAACTCATTAAATCATCTGTTTCAATTTTTTTTTTACCAGATTACTTGATTGAAGCCACTTCTCACTCACTTGCGACTGATAATATGCAACATTGGAAGTCACTACAAAATGACGCTCGTCACAAGAATCAAGGACCCGAACTTGTAAACTCTGCATTGCTTTTGCGTAGCTATGAAGAATATGCAGCAACTTTGACTAGAAATATGAAAGGAATATTTTATAAATCAATCGCATCAGAGTCTCAGAATGTTAGATTGCATATTCAATTGGTTTCAAATGAAAAGGAGGAACATATCAATATAGGTAAGGTTTTTTAAATGTTCTTGTAAAAATTCTTGTATTTTCTATGCCAATTTTACGTTCTGGAATCCTCCCAATAAATGAGTCACTGGCCACAGGCATACATTCCTCTGCTGGCCAATGCATCATAGTACACAATGTTCTCATCCTAACTCCAAATGGATTGGTAGTTCGAAAGGCTCATATCAACCCTCCTTTTTCGATGGTCCTGAGCGACCTTTTATACCTCTCCTAGAAAATGTCATAATTCATCCAAGTCACGTTGGAAAGCTTGTTTTCGTCTCTTCACACTAACATTCGCCCGAGACACACAGCGCAAATTCTCCTCATTATATGGCGTCGATAGGGAGAAAGAAATTCAGAAATATTTTTCTAGCTATTAGCGCTTTGGTAAAAACAGGCGAGATTGTAGAAATATAAAATACCATGGTTTTGACCACTCAGATCGACCACGAATCAGGGTTGAGTGCTTAGGATAATTTAATTTAGTGTGGAATGATTCTGGTCGCAACATAAACCTGAAAATAACACAAGAAAGCAATGCTCAAATATATGGACACGTTAACCAGAGCGAAGCAGTCTTTACCATTGACGCTACTGGTACCCTCAAAAAATTTCTGAGTTTTGCATAGCAAGAATTTACAGAATCAAACTGGACAGTCGGTGTTCCCATAGATAAAATATTACAGCAAAATTTTGGACGAAATATCAGATTTCATACGAAAATTAGAAATATATAAAAGTAATTGTCTTCTGGCGGAAAAATTAATCTTTAATCACTGAAAATTTCAAAGCAATTGGTCAAACGATCGTTATGTCCACTATCTTGTCCAATAATATTGCCACAATATGACAAAGGATGACAGGTTTCCCAATATGTTTGTCTATCAGAGAAGAAGGGTTAAATCATCGCTTGTTACTTTTCCAACAGCTTCTCAATCCTTTTTAAATTGTTTGCTGCCTGAAAAAAGCCAAGTGCCATTTTTTGTCATTTGTTAACAGAAGAGCAAACTATACCCACATACTTCATGTGAACATAACCATCGGCATCATTTGTGAAATGATCATACTTGATTTCCTCATGATCAACCAATTTAAATACTGATACATTTTTTAATACAGGTTCTAGTTCCAACTCAACTGGAAGTGGACGATTTATCAGTGTGGTGTTACTCCCGTATGATAATGAACATGATGTTTCTATTCCTGACATGGGAACAGTGGGAGTCATTGAATTCTCAACACTGGGACCAGTGCTGCCAATGCAATTTCATGATAGTAGATTGGAAATGAGGATTCCTCAAAAGTATGTTGCATGTGTTTATTGTGTGAAAGTAAAAATGTCTATAGTTTGGTTGTTCTATAATTCTCTTTTTGAATTACTTTATGATATATATAAATATATAAAGTTGTTGTGCTATAAATCATGACATATGCCTATAAAAACCCTTTTATGAATATCATCATATTGTATTTTATGTGGTTTGATTCATGTAACCCAGTGGTTTTCAAACATTATGCACTACTGGGCCAAATATAAACATTCTCGGTAGCGTGTGGGCCACATCAAATACCACCCGTAAACAGTTGATACGCTGAACTTCAAATTATGACACAACTGCGATTTCTATACAAGTGGTAATTACAACTAACGGTTGTCCCATTCGGAAATTACTACAAAACAAACATCATAAAACAGCCATTGTTATAACATATGTCTATATGCAGATAATAATAAATTTATGAGCATCTCTGGTTTAATGAATTAATAGTAAAGTCGTTCGAAGGCCAAAAAAAATTTGTTCATTGGCCCACAAGCCGCAGTTTGCCAACTACTGATGCCCCAATGGTTATGGCTCATTAAGTGGTCAAAATGTAATAATTGTTCAGTAAACAGTACATTTTCATTGTTCTTGTTCAAATTATGATTTTCCAACAATATTATGATATGCCATACTGATAGTAATATTATGATATCTTTCGTTTTTTCAGGGCATTTATCAACAGTGCTGTTGTGACTATTGTTACTCATAGTAGAGTGAATCAAACATCGAGATCAAACAAGAAAATTGTTGAAATAACTTTTCCATTATTGAGAAAAGATGGCAGCGATCCACAATGTGTGTTCTGGAATATGACATCAAGGTATTAACTGATGTATATTTGTCACAAGTTGCTTGATACCAATGTTTTGGAAAAAGCTTTAGATAAATAACCATCTGTTATTTGGAGAACTGATATGTTTTACATATGGATGTTAGTTTTCGTCTGCAAATATCTCAAGAGTCTTTCTTGTTTATCTTTATTGCTCTATAGAGCATGGGTTTTCAACCAGGGTTCCGTCAGTACAGTCTATGAGATGCTCAAGTTTACATGTGTATATTGTTTAAATATGATCAAATATGGGGTGTCCATAAAGTCTCAAATTTTTTTAAAATTGCAAAGGGAATTTATCGATACCATATATTGTTTTGGACCTCACAATGTAATAAATGAGGTGAAAATACTTATCAATTACTGATTAAAAAACAACAAACCTGGTTAAGATATATTGAGAACTGACTTCATAACATAATTGAAATAGTAAAGGGACTTTATGGACACTCTGTTCTGTACATTTAAGGTTTCCCACTCTTAATAAACTAATTCCAACCACACTTTAAAGGCCATTTTGTTGTGCCGATATTAATTAGGTTTGCATTCATATAAACATTTTAGTTTTATTTTATAATAATCAAATGGTGTTTTTGCATAACACAAACTATCATGCAGGGGTTCCTCGAGTCTCTAGAACTGATAAGGGTGAACTACGGCCTGCGGGCCTAATCCCGCCCAGTGGGTAATTCAATCTGGCCCGCCAATGCTGACACAACCAAACTAAAACCAAATTTTGATGTTTTAGCTTAAAAATAGCTCAAGGAATTGGTTATTGCTTATTGTTTTCCACTTTTGCTTTTGTAACACTGTAAATATTGTTCATAGAATGTAACTTTTATGTCAAACGTCTGACAGTCTAGGTGGGCAAAATTTTTGTCCCCTGGTCCAAAAACCGTGCCCATCCCTGCTCTAGAATATTTTATGGTTCCGCTCCACCAAAAAGGTTGAAAACCACTGTTCCAGAGTATTAGTCAGATAAATTAAATATTTTAATGAATCTGTTACTATAATATGTATAGTAATAAAATGAATTTTGGATATTAAGTTAACTTTTTTTTGTTTTCGTATCCAGAAATGGAATGGGCGTTGGAGGTTGGTCACAGAAAGGATGCACAACATATAAAGAAAACAAAACACATGTCACATGTGCATGCTCTCACCTTACAAGCTTTGCCATTGTGTCTGATGAAGAAGTCGTTAGGTATGACATGTGGAATTATTCATGTTCTCTAGCTGCTAATGTGGGCTATAATAACATACCGGTAGCCAATTTTAGTATTTTAATTTCCACTGGTGTACCCTTTGCAACATTCAGAATACTAGAGGGTATATTAGGCATCTTATGGTCTAAATCAGGGTTGTGCAACCTTGAATACAGGAAGGCCACATTCAAATACTTGGAAGAAACCACGGACTGTACCTTTATTTAACATAGTTTCCGAAGTAGTTGCAAACACAAAAACTTTCGTTATTGGCCTGATGACATGCGTTGTTCGCTTTGCACAAGCTAGCTGCTAGGGCATTGTAACGTAACGTATTGGGATTACTCGCACATACCAGATTAAACTAAATTAAAAACTTGTTCCAAGGATCGCACACAATTCAAAATTGACATGTTTCAGCAGGCTGCACAATTTTTCCTTGTGGGATGCATTTGGCCCGCAAGCCGCAGGTTGCACACCCCTGATGTAAATAATACCTTCATTCTGAGTCCATTTTTCATTAATCCTTATTGGGTCCACGTTCGAAATTTTTACATGTCACCCATTTTTTCCAGTGTCATCGATGACCTGCCAGTCAAAATTATACTTTATACGAGTGTTGTCATAATCCTTTCATGTATCATGGTCTGCTTGGGATTTTCTTGCTGCCTTGAAGATGTCAAAACAAATCACGCTAAAATTCACAACAACTTTGCAATGTCTGTCTTTTTCTCGGAGCTTTGTTTTGTTATTGGCATAATGGTGAGTAGCATTATTCGTCAATCTACAACAGCGTTTTTCAAACTTTTTTACCCTGGAACAATTTTTATCTCGCCTCACAGAACACCAAAAAATTAGAAGCTAAAATTAATGGGGGGTATCTTTAAACAATTATTAGCTTATGGTGAAATTAAAGTTTGCTGTAAACTTCACGTTGACAGTTAACAAATTAGGCTGACGGTTAAGGATATTGATTGGTTAACGAAAATGCTGTGCCTTCCAGGCACGAGGCCTGTTTAGATAGCAAGGCCTGTTCGTGTGTTTGTCGTCAGTTGAGAGACAAAGTAATGACCCAAAAGTGCCGAAATTGCCATGGTGAGTAATAGTGTCGCATTTTTGATTCCTGTTTTATGGAACACTTCGAAGAAGCTCGCGGAACAGCAGTGTTCCACGGAGCAGAGTTTGAGAAACGTTGTTCTAGAACATTATTGTACTGTGTCTATTCCAAAATCTAAATTCTGTCATTTTATGAGATGCAATCAAATAAACTTTTCTGTTTTTAGCAAACCTCAAACACCTATGTCTGCATGGCAGTAGCTATTTTCATCCATTTTTTCTTCATGAGTACTTTTGCTTGGGTATTTGTGGAAGGTCTTCATTTGTATAGAATGTTGAAAGAGAAAAGAGACGTTAATCGTGGAAATATGAGGTAAATATTCAGAATTCTGACTCTTTCTGATTATTGATGTCAAAATTTGAAATTTGCGGTTGTATCATAATAAAGTTTGAGTTACAACCTCATTACATGTTGACAACCTCATGCTTAATTTATTCCAGAGTGTACTACCTTTTCGGTTGGGGAATACCTGCAATCATAACTGCACTTTCTGTCGGGCTTGATGCCAAAGGATTTGGAAATGCAAATTTCTGTTGGATAACAACTGACCACCTACTTGTATGGAGTTTTGCAGGTAATATGCCTGCCTTCTACATACTTGATTTTTTTACCAGGTTCAATAATAAAGAGATACTTTCGATAAACTTAAAATAGTTTGCAGCTCTCCATTACTAAACAAACGTGTTAGATTCTTTAACTCGGAATGGAAATATCATCAGAAATATTGAAAGATACCTTTAGGGCAGGGGTGGGAAAATTAGGGCCTACTAAAGTGTTTCATCCGGCCCACTTGTGCCTGCTAAAATTATGACTATAATTTCATGGATTTAAATTTCTGCCTTAACAAATACCTATTGCATTACATCAGTGAAATGAGCAGGAAGGCGATTTTTAAGGACGCCAGTTATTTGTAAATAAACTGTTTTTTATTCATGGTTTCATATTGAGTTTTCAACCTCTGGCACAGTAACCAAGTCTTTTATCTGTAAGTGACCCACTTAGGAAAGTAATTGCCCATCCCCACTTTTGGGACTCGTCTGGAGATTATGGGACAAACTTTTTTGCAATATCGATTTATTTGCGCTATTTAAATTGATCTGTAATCGGTGAAGTTTTTTAAATATATACTTTAAAATCACAGGCCCTTTGCTCTTCTGTGCTATTGTCTACATCCTTCTGTTCTTCATGACGCTGGGACAATATTTCACATCAAAGTTACCGGACAATAAACGAGTTGACACTCGAATGAACCTCCGGGCTTCTTTTGTTCTTCTGCCAGTCGTTGCAGCACTCTGGGCACTAGCTCTTTTTGCAGTTAATGAGAACAAAGATGTTTACTACTACCTGTTCTCCCTAACTAATATTCTATTGGTAAGTGATTTTATTTATGAAAATCAATGTCTTCTGTGTATTAAAATCACATCATTCATTGGTATGGAATATTGCATTAAACTCAAATTTTTTTAATCTCCTCGTCGGAAGGACCAAGATAATATATAATTTTTTTTATCATGGAGAGATTTTCTTAAGTGTACAATAGTATGAAACAGCGATCTGTCTAAAAAGATTTTTTATGTCAATTCCGAAGAAGTTTGATGATTTTGTACAATGAAGTGAACCACATTCGAATATTTATAGTAAATTTTCAAATATAATTTGAAATATCAACTCTCAACATGCTGATGTTCCTCATGGTAATAAGAAACAAATGCTGTTGACTGCTTGGTATATCATCCCATTAAACATTTTTAAAAATATATCGTGTGAAATCCTGATTATTACCAGTTTCATATTTATCACAGGGAATATTGATATTACTTCTGCACTGCGTTTTCAATAAGGAAATTCGGAATGCATTCCGTAATGTAAAAGAGAGAAGATGGCAACGTGCTGAACTTAACACAACCAAACAACATTTATTGAAGAATGTATGTAGTTTCTTACTTGTGTGATTGATAATTGCTCTGAACCAGGGGTCGGCAAATTACGGCCTGCTGGTGGATCCGGCCCACCGAGGTGTTTTTCCCAGCCCACTCGTGTCTGCTGAAATGATGACCATAGTTTTTAAGGATATAAATTCCCATTTGATATATCAACGAAAATAAAGTCATAATGAACCCAATTTGAAGCCCAGTCATAATGAACCCAATTAACTTTTGTGAATAAACTGTTTTTAGTCATAGTTTTTCATATTGAGTTTTGAGCCGCCTACCCAGTAACCAAGTCTATTAAGTAATTGCCCACCCTGGCTCCGAACAATCACTCAAACATAGTAATCTACTTTAGATAGATATTTTCAGCAAGTTGTTACTTCAAGGTTTTCAAATTTCTGATTTATTTCTTATTAAGTTGCCACATCAGTTTAGACATCATATCCACTTTCAAAATACGAGAGATACATTTTCATATTTGTTATACTGTGTTTCAGTCTCTCTCTCAAACTCCTGACACAAGTAATGGACGTGGACGAGGCAATATTTATATAAGTGCATCATCAACTAGTACGACTAATACGGCTAACAGAAGAAATAATCATCAGGTATACTTTTGTCAATTTGGAACAATATTTTGCTACAAGCTCAATAGCTGATTGCAATGTAATTGGAATTGGTAGATTTGTTGACGTGAATTTAACAGGGTGTCCATAGAGTTCCTTTACAATTTCAATTTTATTATGAAGTCAGTTTTCAATAAATTGTACCAGGTTGTTGTTTTTTTAATCAGTAATTGTTTTAATTTTAAGTATGTCTGTGAAGGCCAAAACAATATATGGTATCAATAATCCCATTGCCATTTTAAAAATTTTAGGACATTATGGACGCCCTATATTTATTATGATTACTTACTATGTTTGCATTGTAAGTGTTTTTCTTATTCCCTTATCATGATTATTTTTTAAAAGATTTTCAGTTTTAAATTTTCTATTTTCATATTTTGTTCACAGGACTCATCTATGTTCCACAATATGGGAGATTCAGATCACAGTGATGATTCTGATTCTGATTTATCGAACAGTTCAATATCACTTGCTTCTACACATTCATCAGATGAAGACGAACTGGAAGAGAAACCAACCTATTTAAACGTCAACAACAGCAGTAATTGGCATCATAGAAATGGTCATCTTCCTATCAGAAAATCACAACAAAGAGGATTGGTGGTTCATAGCACTCCTAAAGGTTAGTTGTAATTATGTTAATGTCCTGAATATTCAGTCAATATCATATGATCGCAATATTTTTCACATTTTATTATTTTATGGAAAATTTAGTGTTTACTAGCGCAGAGTTTTAAATTATATAGCCTTGCCCTTGTCACACCAATGACACAAACCGTGTTTCCTGGCTATTAAGTCTATCCGTCAAATTAGACACATAAAAAGATGGTTCTTCCATATAGCCCTATAATAATAAGAGAAGAGTAAATTAAGAAGACTCGTGCAAGAAATAAGCCCGACCCCAGATAAAATAAAATCGTATAGCCGCCTAATAAGACGCCTCCCCAAACCCAGGTCAAAAAATTGGGTCCAGAAAAGCTACTTAATAGCCGGGAATTACGGTATTTCCTTTTTCTATTCTAGCATCATAGTTTGTTATCCATGTCTTTTTTTTTTAAAATGATAAAAAAATTCAATTTTGTTCTAGTCTCCGAAAAAGATCTAGACAACAACTTTCATCCTCCTGCTTACAATGGTGGTAGCGCATCATCAAAAAATGACGGTTACAAAAGCAGTCTTCCAACACTATCGGAAACGAATGAAGAGCATCCACCTCCGATTGAAGAACCTCATTATCTAGCTATAAATAGCTCAAGGAAAGATCAAGGGAAAGAAGAAAAAATTGAAATGATTGAGATGAATAGTACGGATTCATTACCTAAAAAAGGTACGCAACCCGAGTTCTTGATTTCTTTTGGTTATTACTTTTATTAATAATTTTGAACCATTTTATAACGAGATCACTTTTTACTAGGTATTTTAAAGAATGGTAGAAGGAGCAAACCACCAACACCGGTCAGAGTTGATAGTTTGCAAAGAACTCATTCTCCGATTGAAAATCATGAGTATGGCTCAGATGAAACTAGTAAGTCATTATTTCTGTTGACAAATGTTAAAATATTTGATAATTTTGTATGATGGGATAAAAATTTTAAATCTTACTTGGCCATTAACTGTGAAATTGGATAGCTAAATTGCAATCTTGTGATTTGGGAATTCAAAATAAATGCATTTGACAAACTATGATATTATTGATAAGTTGAATAAAAATTTAATAATAAGTAAATAACTCAATCGGGCAGAACGTATCAAATCATCAAGGACAGACTGTCCTTTTACAGCTGAATGAACAGTATTTATACTAGTGAGGCATGCAATGACATTACAGTTAGTAATAATTACTGTAAACAAAAACATAAGATTCATGGAAAACTATTGAATTATTAATTATGTTTTATGAGTTATTCAAAAAATATATGGATATGTTGATACAGATCTTGATTCATAGTCAATATAGCCGGAAGATTGCGTCCCATCCTCTACCCACTTTACTACTCCATCAAGGGTTGTTGCCATTTCCCAGTTACTGTAATATCTCCTTGATTAATACAATTTATTTTATTGTTTTTTACCAGGTTTAATAACAAAGACAAATACTCTTGATAAACTTAAGGTAGTTCGGAGCTCGCCATTACCAAATAATCAAGAACAAATGTTATGAAATAGTTCATTTGGAGAAGAAAAAATCATTCATATTGAAGTGTGAGAAAGGTTCTGATGATCGTTCCAGGATGAACGTTTGATGGATCTGTCTGTACTCCAACGCTCGTTAGACGAGTGACAATAAAAAGTGCGGACAGGCATTGATGAGCTTGCACCTGATTCAGAGAATAGATCAGAGGAATCTATGTTTTTATTTATATTTTCTGTATTTAGTTTTTACTACTACAATATCCTATTATTATTATTACCAATGTGTTTTTGATTTCTCATTTTCTTGCTTCTTATAACTTTTTTTTTGTTTTGCTTTATTTTCAATTATGACAAAATAATTGTATTTTGCTTCTTGTATTTTTTGATAATAGTCGAGTTAGGATATTGTTTACATTATGCTTGTTTTCTATGGACCAAATGTAGATTTACATTGTTTGTAAACTTTCTATTTGTGTTCAAAAACGTCGGTGAATTTTGGGAATCTATTTTTGCACATTTTTCACTGTGATTGGTAAAACAGGAAAACATATTGTTCATTCAGTGATAAATCAACAAATTCTTCATTGAAATTTCTTTTGACCACATGATGAAATATTGGTTATATCAAAATTGCACTAAATATTAAATCGCTGATAACGGAATGAAATTATTAAACATTTGTTATTCAGCGTTATTCTTTTAAATCAATTATTTTAATGTCTCAAATTTTGAAATAAATTATTCCGAAAATGAAGTTTAATCAATTATTTCTGCTACTGTTATTTCATACATTTCTTTTTGCTATTTCCTGACATTCTTTGCTCCTAATTTTCTGAAATGTTAATTTTAATTATTGGTGTGGATCACAATCTAATAGGCCTATTGGTTATTGTTTGTTTTGATTTTCAAAATCTTCCTCCATAATAGAGGTGTTTTTTTACAACACGGAAAAAGCACTGAAAATTGACATTTTAATATAATAGATACAGGCATAGTATTCATTTTTAAAGGCAAAGCTTAAAATTCATATACATAAAACTTAATGTTTCAGTAAAATTTTTCAAATTACTCCAATCTTTAATACTCACTATTGATCATATGGAGGGAAGACACTCTGGACAGAGTTTTTGATGTATTTCCAAACTCCATAAATAAAAATGGGCGGTATGTCAAATGATGTTCTTGAACTTACAACTCTAAATCAATTTATTTGAATATATATTTTGTGTACTCGTCGTTTGTTATTAATACTATTTTTCTCTTTTTTATTGTGATGGCGCTTTTCATTTCCATCTCTGCATTTTTAGAATAAAATGAAACTAAATACGCCTCTGGGTCATTACTGATCGATCTTAAGATCGGTAAGTATGTTGATAGGTATTTGTCTGTATGTCTGTTAGATGAACGCGATATCTCAAGAAGGCGAGGTTGAATCTGCTCCAAATTTTGCATTTGCATTCATCATATCTCGGACCAGAAGCCTATTGTGTTTGGCGAGTTATTAATTAATTAGTGATGGGACACGCGGTGTCACTATAGAGTCATGAATCTAAACCGCAGTTTCGAACGATAAGTCTTCGGTCTCCGACCGATATTCTCGTTCTCTTGAACAGAAAAAAAAATATTTCAGGTTACAAGGCTTTTTGCTTAACCAAATTCAAACTAGTTAACTTGCACTTGTTGAGTGTTTCAAATTTGTAAGTATTATTTCAGAATGTACTCTAAAAAGTATCTTATTCGATCTTGGCCTCTCCAGGTTCCAATACATGTTACGTTCCTTTTGGTGTCTCCTTAATGTGGAAGTATGCAAACAGACTTATTTTTCAATCTTAATGCTATTGTTTCAGAATAATAAAAACTTCAAGTGGTGACGACCGCTCTGCACACAGAGGCCTACTTTATTAAACTCTTAAACAACGCGTAATAAAAACGTAAAGCTTTTTGAGTTTACGTTAAAAGTCTTGATATCTATTATCAGCATCGAAAGTAGGAAATCCCGACTCCGAGGAATTGAAGATTTTGACTTTGCGCAGTTTGAAAATACAACTACGAATTATCTCGGGCGCTATTTATCACGTCTGAGCAAATAAGTATTCGTTCCCAAAATATTGGGCTAACCAATAAATACAAACATTGAATTGTTGCATTTGGTAATTTCACAGACCAGTTGGTTTGCAACGTAGAAAACGTCAACAATGGAAGGATACAAAAAAGATTGTTGAAACAGAACCATACCCGAAAGATTCTATCGAGAATGCTTTGAAGCTGGTGGTACAATTAGAAAGTCATCGAGATACAGAGAAGTGATTTTCATCATTTTAACTATGACATTCATCGGCGTAGATCAGGCCTGCCCAACCTTTTTCGTCTCGCGGGCCACTTTCACGTGACGAAATCGGTCGCGGGCCGCAAACGTTTGTACCAAACATTAATACCATATAAGTCCTGATTTTGGTTGTAGGTAATTACATAATACATGAAAGGCGAGTTTATTAACATGAAATCAATCAAATTAATAATTGCTTTTTGGTTACTGAGTAGGGCTGGCAAATTATTCGAATATTAGAATAGCGGTTTACTATTCGAATAACTGGTAAACGGGGCGTGGACATAACACTCTCGGGCGACCGAATCAAAGAATCAATCATTACACAACACACTTGCGTTTTTTTGGCGACCACGCAAGAAACACATCACGTCAAAGTTGAGTGTTAATATTTGCGTTATAGTGTTTTTATTCATTTATTTTAGCTACGATACTGCTTTAATGTTTAAATGAGCATAATGTGCGTCGAAGTCGCGGCAATATCAAGTTTTAGTGGGCCGTTTCGTAAAATTTGAAACACCAATACAAGTATTTAATGAAGTAACATAACGAAGATTTCTGAACGAATAGTCGATATATACTGATTCGTGACTAATCAGTAGCAATGCCATTACGTCAATTTTATCAGAATTATTGACGAATACGCAGTGACGACATTTCCAAAATCTTATTTAACGCGAACATAACATGAACAAAAGTACAAACATAAAAAGACAACGAGTCCGGGGACCAGTACCCAAGATATTGTCGATAAAGACGATCAAAGCCGACACAAAAGAAAGCAATCAGAATGAATTTAATTTGAAAACTTAGGCTCCAAGTTCATTCCTATATTTGCGCTCAGCGTTTGTTCCCAATGATCGCACAATATCTTTATAGTTCGTCGAACAGAGTGCACAGTTTTGCGAGAAATAAAAAAAAAATGACGTTTATGTCCACCAGGGTGCAAGACTTGACACATACGTAATAATAAAAACCGACATTTGAACGTAGATAGATGGCAGGAATAATTACACCAAAATCACGAAAGATTCTTCTACAGTAGTTATATAGTAAAATGTATGTAAAAATTTAAAGTCTGCTTACAAACTTTATAGGGCGGGCCGCAAACAACACTCCGGCGGGCCGCGGATTGGGCAGCCTTGGCGTAGATCGATTAAATGGGAAAATGCAAAACGTGAATAACACTCCTAATTATTATTTTCTAATCGGTTGCCCCAAAAACCTGAAAAAATGACATTATTTTTTTTTAATTTTGCTTTTTATGAAAAGGGAAGGATTTCCCCAAAACCGACTTTTGTAGAAAAAATATATATAACATGAACAGCCTTAGAGCAATCAAAATTTGTTTTGTCTAATTCAGGTCTTCACATATGTTGTCAATTCTCTTTGACCTAGATAACCAAATACAGACTTAGTACCTCGAGCATAACAATGGTAACACAAAATACTAAACTTCAAAATGTATATTTTAGATCAAAGCAAGGCTCAGGATGGGCATATGCAGAAAACTGATGAATACATTTGAAAGATATTGTTGCTCAGAAACAGACTCCATATAAGCTGGTATTATTCAAACATAGAAATGAGTAGAAAATTTGTAGAAACATCAAATATTATTAAAATTTGGAAACAGGGTGGCATGAACTTCTATCTAATTTTATTTTCCCGTCTCTTCCGTGCATTTATTTTATATATATATATATAGTTTTTAATTATTCACGTTTTTTTAAAACAAACTCAAGATTGTTTATACTAAGCTATCGCTTCTTCCACACTTGGTCAACCGCACGTGTGGCACAGCAAACGATTGGTTGGCTTGACGTTTCAAGTGTTAACTAATAATCAAATAAATAAGTAAAAAATACGCTTTTTTAAAATAAATTACTTCAGAACTCGGCCATTAGCTATATATATTTTTGCACAAAATTCATAAAAAACACATTTAAATGAAACAAACAAAAAAGTTTGCTAGAGCAAAAACACGATGAAAACAAATACATAACATATTTTGGTTCGCGGGGGCAGTTTTGCTAAACCAATGTGGTTTATAATTCTCCAACTTCTTTTTTACTATTTCAATTCAATTAACTGGCTGGCTTATTTTAAGGACATGGAACGGTAACTGGATGAACGGCTATGGTTCGCTATGTGACTCGGCTTTTTTATTCAACATTCCCGAGGTAAACACAAAAACAGACGAGAAAATTGAGCTGACAAATGAACATCGGTGCAAATGTACATGGATGTAAATATACGCGGATACAAATGTTTGTGGTGGCAAATGGACGTGGGTTTATATGCTTTGGTGCAAATATTCTTGGTTCAAATATTCATGGGTGAAAATGTCAGCGAGTGCTAAAATTTGTGGATGCTATTAAAATAGAAAATTATTAGTTGAGAATAGATTCCAAGGTGAATATTTATTGTTCGATTAAATATAATACATGTCATATTCAAGCAGGGAGACATTGGTGATGTTGGTGTTCTGACTGGCGTCTGGTTATATACCAAGATGCTTGGTTTGATAACAGTCATGTAGAGCATGGTTTCCTTTGATATGCTTACCGGTTGGTTCTGCTGGTCGCCGGTTTAACGTTATATTTCACTGGCATAGATAGACTTGATGACAAAGGCCGTTTTGAACTCTCCAATTTGAATGGATTAGAATTCTTTCTAGGCGACCGCTTGGTTTCCGGGGAGGTTGGTTTGAAATTTGACGACAGCGCTTCTTCATTGGAACTTACTGGCGTTGCTACCAACATATTTCCAGAAATGAATCTCGGAGTATCTTCTCTAGTGCTGCGAGGTGAGGTTGGTCGACTTCCCCGTGCAGAAGATGGTCGGCTGACCTGCGGCGACCCTGATGGGGAACCTCTCGGGCTCGGTGTCGGGGAAGTCGCTTTTTTGATGGCGGAGTTCCAAGCGTCCAGGAAACGTTCTTGTTCTGCTCTCTTCAACTTTTCCATCCATTCTTTCTTCTTACGATCTTCCCGTTTACGCAACAGAACCTCTTTTCGGCCACTCAACAGCTCTCTGAAATAAAACAAAAATTGTATATACATATATATATGCGAATGCCTTGAAGCCGTCGTCAAGAGACATTGTTAAAAATACAGACTTAATTCGCAGTAGATTTTCATACAATACTATATGAACGAGAAATTTAGATGCAAATCAACTTTTTATGGCTTTTGCTTTACGTGCTATGGTAAATACTCACATTTTGAATGGCGCTCATTACGTTAAACATTTACAACTCTCACCTGAAAAATATGATGCTGCACTGCCACCCCTATCTATAGCTCTGATGTCGTTGTTTTTCAGTATCTACCGTTAGAACTATACTTCACCTGGCATAAGTCTTGTACTGCATTTTTTGTACAGCCTGCCACCTTGATTTTTACTACAATGCCATTACAAATTAAAAATTTTTTAACTTAATATATTGTATCCTGACCACTTTATGCTGAGTTTAAATAAAAACAAAAACGCTTTCTCCGGTCTGACACTTTTTCTTCTCGTATCTTCTATTGCAACTGCCTGGCCAAAGGTGAATCGTCACTAGAAAATGAGAAACAATTTGCTTTCGGAATCGATTGATAGCTTTGTACATGCAGCTAAAATATTGTTTTATTGAAAATGTCTTCAACTAGACGTTGAAAGTCACAACAAATGACACCACATTCGGTATCTTGATATCAGTATCGCTAAAAAGTTTAATCTCTTACTTGTAATTGATTTGTCCATCAACATCATAATCCAAATTCGACATGAGTTGGCGCATTTGCTGATTACCCATTCTTATTCCGGCATTCTTAATCCCATTTTTAAACTCTTTTGGTGAAATCTTCCAACTCAAGTCTTTGTCGAAATTTCGGAAAAGATCGATCAAACGTAATCTTTTTTTCTCCAAAAAATCCTGAATATGGTGATTTATGTTATTTATTGAGGAGCGAGTAAAGGAAAATATGATCAGTATATATATATATATATATACATTATAAGACACCTAATATGGGTGGCCTTCTAGCTAACGCCCAATTTGAATAGAAGAATTTCAACATAACTCTGATGACCGGCCAATATATTAAAAATAAAAAATAAATGGAAATGAATATTTATGAGCTTGCTCATTGAAGACTGATTGTGTGGAATTGATGTTTGTTTCTATACGCTGTATTACGAAAATACAAGTGATAACGGAAAATTGATATAACTTACGGATACGGTTGATTTGAGTTGTGCAGGACTGCTCTAAGCCAATCGTATATTTATGAGATTGAGGCAAAGTGCATTAAAAAAACCCATACTTGCAAGACATCCATAGGATCCGCGTCCATGCCACAGCTATCAAAGTCCGTTCTGAGATCTTCTGTTCTGTTTATATTATATCTGAAGCTGTGTCTGCTGCTACTTCCACGGCTACGTTGGGCAAGTTCTTGAGCAAGCAATTTGAACTCTTCGTTAACGCTGACGCCCTGTTCGGCAAAACCATAAAATAAGAATGGGGGATCCCTCAACTGAATTATCAATTGAAGCAATGTTTTAATAATAACTATACATTTGCTCGTTTACATAATAGTATTTCGTTACATGTAATTCACTTAATTAATTGAATGGTAATTCAAAACCGGCCTTTAAACGCTTACCGTCAAGTCTAAATCTTCCATTGCCGATTTTTCATTATCAGCTATAGCCCGAAGTAATGCCAATGCCCCATCTGCGTCAATCGGATTGTTTCCAATCTTCAGTGTCCTTAATGTGTCATTTACACTTAGACCTTTGGCGAGCAAACGAGCACCTGTGGTAACAATGGTAGTTAGTAAATTTGAGTTAACTTTAGATTGGGGATACCAAAATCAATAGTGTGAAACAGTTATTTTGATGAAAGAAAATCGCAAAGAACGAAAAATGGTTATCAAGCAGGGATCTACCCAAAGTTATGAAATCTAATTACGATTTTAATGGTCGCGAAGTAGAACCATCAGAATGCTGTCAGTATACATGAGTATGGCATGAACGCATTTACTATCCAACACCCCCTACTAGAAATTCTATCAGAGAGCCATTAACCCACCAACAATCTGATTTTCCCGTTCGACCCTTTCAATGCCGATTTATAATAACGCACGTGAAATGTAAAATTTTTATTGAGAACAATGCAGGTTGAGTTTATATGTATGCTTAATATGGATTCATGATATGAAAATAAACTCAACCTAAGAAAGGCTCTCGATACAAAAAATCCAACTTCAATCCAAAAATCCGACCCGCTCAGACACTTTTCTCGCTCAGACAGATTTTCAGGCGTCGTCGTAAACATTTCGCGGGGGTCAAAGGTCGGGGAAAGGTCCAAAAATCGCTTTATTCGGTCACAATCATGGTGATTTACTTGACGGCATCCGGAGACGGAGCCGTAAAGTTTTATGCGCTTATTCGGCGCGTGGAAAGTCGCGCTTATCAGTCGTATATTATTACATATTCCAAAGGGGGCGCAGAACACCCCCCTCCCCTCCCTGGTTACGCCCCTGACCCATCGTATTACGACACTTATTACTTGTATTACTTGTGTTGAGAGATAATTGTGGCGGAATTTAGATTAACGATGTCGGTGGACTACGTGACAATCACGCTGACGATAAACAGTCACACTTTATAACAAAAATTAGTCGTGTCATATATCATGTCCTAGGTTTGTGGGGGTTTAGAACGGATTAGAGCATTTACAGGTAAAATGTGTCTCTACTAAAGAAATTTTCTATATACGAAGGAGCTTCCGAAACAAATTCATTTCGTAGGTAGTGTTTCCACTAACTAACAAAATAAGGACGTATCCAAAATGAGTCCCAAATTTTAAACAATGCGGACCAATTTGTTCTTTAAAATACAATTGTAACAATACAGTGACACATCTTAAAAATAATAAAGGTATTGAAGACCTGAATATATCACATGGAGGTACTAGGTCTGGGGAAGCTGAATTATCTCCATAATTTGTGTAGCCTTCCCAACTGATTACAGACTCGTTGAGTTGGAATAGGTACATGATCTAATACTACCATAAATATAAGCTGCCCAACATCGATAGGTTAAAAACCTGTCGTTAGAACATTGAGTTCACAATTACAATTCAATACCTTCTCCTGTTATCCTGTTGTGACTCAAATCCAACCAAGTGAGAGTGTTGTTTGTTTTCAAAGCTTCCGCCATAGCTGCTGCTCCATCATTCGCAAATCCGTTCCATGAAAGATCCAGTTTTTTAATTGTAATATTGATTTTCATGCCTGCACAAACTGCTAACGCACCCTAAAAGTATGTTATCCTCTTTTTTCAGAACTTCTATAATAATTCTCTTTGTAAATTATATAACCTGAAATTATGCTCAAAACATGGTTACAAAATGTGATTATACCAGACCAACTACTGAAAATCAGGCGATCAAAATTCTAATCGATTTTAGTTCTGTGGAAAGCCTAATCTTTTAAATAGTTATTTGCTTCCATTAATGTTACATACCTTCAATCTTAAGTGATTCCAACTCAAATTTAGATATTCGATAGACTCGTTAGCAGCAATACCTTGCCCAAGCCATTCTCCACCCAACTCACAGAAAGCATTTTTGCTCAAATCAAATTCCTGTCAATGTTAATTGATGTGTTTAAATGAAAAATTGATTCAAGAGATTATAGGCTTACAAAATAACTAGCTCGTTTTGTTAATACGCCGTACTTTACAGAGTTGACCTGTTGCGGAGCTCGAATTCCGGTTAGTCCGATATTCAACTCTATCAACTGGAATTTCACAAACAATACAGTAGAATACAACATTCTATAATGTTTATGCAGTCACCTTTAATTTGAAGTTTGCTCGAAAAGCATCAGCAAAGTACATTGCATCTTTATCTTTGAAATCATTTGCTGATAGATTAACTGATCGCAGTGTCGTGTTTTCCATTAACATATCACACATGTATTCTGCCCCCTTGCTTCCAAGCTTATTTTGAGACATATTCTAGAAAAACATTATGCATCGTTAGATATTATGAAAAAAAAAACTATTTCTGTTTTACTTGTTTTCGTAACCTTAACTTAGTTGCAATGATTTATGTTGAGCATGTTGGCCAAAGTTTTGTATATTTTACTGTGGGTTCAATTATACTCAAATATATTTCACCGTAAACGATCGAAGAAAGAGATTTGTAAATATGCAAGAAAGAAATTTGTAAAAATACCTATTTTTTATTTTTTATTGGGGTCCTTATAAAATAAAACAATTTGTAAATATACACTGTCAGTAACCAAGCATATGCCCGACAGCGACACTTTTTAAGTTTTAAGCACATACCAAGTCTGCAATATAGCAATTTTCGAGAAGCATGTCGGCTAAATCTTTGGTGCCATCTGCCGTTATCCAGTTATCTTCAATATTCAGATCTGTTATTGAAGTGTTGACCTGCAATTGTTGAATATCACAGTACCTTGCAAGCGGTATATCAACACGACTATATTTTAAGATAACGAATAAGAAAGTTGACATGCATATAGGCAAATCCGAGTAAAATACAGTAAACCGAGAGGAGTATATAAAATTATCTCGACTACGAGTTGTGTATACTTATAAGTTATAACAATCATACTTACAACCAATGGAGGAGAAATGGCTTTTGCACCTCTTGGTCCCAGTCCATGATGGCTCATATTTAGTGAGGGATTATTCATATGAGCTAGAAAATATGATGCTGGCACTACACCGAGTTGTTCACATGACCTGAGATAGATGTCTTTTCCTGTCATGCTGGTGTAAGCTTTGGGCATGTCATCTAAATGAAAACCAGGAAAGGTATTGCTAATCAACGTAATATTACTTGGGTATTTCGATTTCTACGGATTTGAACACATGTCTGTGTAACAGCATGCCAAGTGAAATAAAATGACAGAACGTTCATTTTGTTTGAAACTTTCGATTATTATTTCTTGCTTTACCTTCAACATCCAAGTCTGTATCGTATGCGTCAGAATCCGTTTGTTCACCAACTGTTGCATTTTCAATGGGGGTTTCTTCTTCACGTTGTTCCTGCTCTTCTTCGTCTTCTTCTTTGATACTTTCATGCACTAAAGAACTTTCTTCCTGATTATTCACCACTGGTTGAACTATTTCGGTACTGTTTGGCATTTTGGTATGCTGTACGAAATATGAAAAAAAAATATAATAATTCAATTGAATACTACCAAACGCTAATCGAACAAGCGATAACAGCTAACAGCAAAGCTTGCGTCAATGCATCAGAAAGATTGAAACTTTATTATACAGTTTTGATGACATAAAGTGTAGGAACTGGGATTAACCTTCCGTTCACTGGCACGATTTAATTACAATCGTTTACTGTGGTATTCACTTTTGATTCACTGTGGAGTATATTTGCGTGTATAAAATGATTACTTTCACTATCAACCATAGTTTTATACTGTCATAAATGCAGGCAATAGATGGGCTGTATAAACAGCCACATTCCGTGTACAGGACAACATATCAACTATTTTTTCTACTTTTTGCAAGGTAGGAATAGACCTTATTTACCGGCACGGCGCATTTTTTTAACATATTCATTTTGGGAGCATTATCACGTTGAAATATTGAACATAAATATGCTTGTAATGAGTTAAACGGAATATATGACAAAATGCATACATAGCTCCACTGATGCGATGAAAGAGAAGAATCAAGTAAACAACCAGGAAGCCTTAACTTCGTCTCACATTAGGCCTCGAGGTCTAATACGCATTTAATTACCATACGCTTAGCTGGAGTTCTTTCGAACACCAAATTATTCACTTTAAGCGAAGAATGAATAACACGTACAATTACAAATGTTCTGGACAAACAAGACGTCCATATAGTGCTAGTGAATAAAGCCGTTTAATACCAGCTAATATCTCTGGCTTGGGAATTACTCCAAATGAGCTATTAATTATTTATATTATCATCATTACTTTAGGTTAGTCGTATCAATGCTTACCTTCACACTAGCTTTAATTGGTTTCACCATATATTGGATCAAACATGAAAAAAACAGATTTGCGAAGACAATGGGATTTATTGCGTCATAATAATTACTAGAAGATTACAGGATTAAAATCACAAATGCGGTTAAATCATCTGGTCTGCTGCATCAGGTCATGATGAATAGTAGCGTTATGATTCAGGATGTTCCTCTTCTAAAACCAAATAAAAGAGGCAACCATAGTAGCGAATATCTTATAGCCTATAGTTCAAACTGCATAGTATGCGATTTTGATTTCTTTTATTCTGAATTTTCATTATTGAATAAAATTATATATATATATATCAAAACTTTAGTTCTGAAGTTAATTTGAGGCCTTTTGTAACATTTGTAACGTAACGTTATTAGTTTCGTCTGTAAAACCGTGTAATTACCACATTATGTTAGGTGTATATACCAATGCAGTCTAAAAGACTTAACGTAGGCTACTGCTAAACATTCTTTCCTATTATTTTGTCTACATGCCAGCCTGATATTCCTTTTTTTGTGAAGATCATTCGCGTGTTGGCGACGCTATATGATTTCAATTTTTAACACCGCAGGAGAAAATACTGTATAACACGGCGATGGCCAGTGTTCAGAAGGCAATTCAGTATCGCGAAAATGCGTTCAGAAAATTGTATTTGCTACTAACCAAGCTGTTCAATATACCCTTCTGTTGAACTTAAATAAAAATGTTAAACATTTGGCTGACAAAACTGAAATCATCTCAAACCTCAGATTTTGATCATCGGGGTATGCTTGATTTATGTTGTGCAAACCATAAACCTAGATTTATGTTGTCTCATAAACCTAGAGCTCACCTTCAAAGCGCGAGGCCTTTGATGTAAATATAAATATATAATATCTATCTATTCTGTCTTGCCTATACTTCATACTGAACCTATGACCTGCCTCGTAAACCACGATGGATAAAATAATGACGTAGGTTTAGAAAACAAGTAAGCAAGAAAATGGTTTATGCAGTTCCACTCTTCAATGTGAAAAGAAGATGATACTGTTGGTAACTTTATTATCCCAGTGAAAAAGAGCCTTCGAATACGGCGAATAATTAGTTTGCAGCCCATTTATCATAGTCTTATACATAGAATCTGTTGCTAAGTTCATAATGTTTTCTTCCGCAATTATAGGCTGTAACACAATCGCAAATAGCAACGCGCGGCCCATTAAACACAGTTTTACACAGATAAACCTCGTGGAGATCGCCGTAAATATTTGAACAACCAGACAATCACACTCATCTATTATGTAGGAACATTTACTAGCGTGTCTTGAACAAGAAAATATTGAATTAAATTTGATGTTTTATTAAACCGCATACCACAATTTATTACCTAATTGGCTCGATTGTTGACTTGGTGAATAACTTAACATAAAGGCAGTTTTGTATGAAACAGCCGTCACAAATTCAATGGACGGGCTATTGATTTATGGAATAAATCGGGCGAAGGCTAACCCCCAATACATTACGATTCACGGAACCCTACAATACATTCATAAAATATTGTTACTTACCGATTAAAGTTCCTGAGTAAATTAAAATTACTTCATTTAATGACTGGGATATATTTGCTGCAGTGTACTTAAAAAATACACTTGACAAACATATTAATAAAATAATGTCAAAATGTGGCCACAGAGTGGTAATTGAAATATGGCGTTACATATTGGAACTCAAACACAATGTCATATTGAATAACCTCCTAGTTGCCACATTTTGACGCTAAATTTTATTAATGCCGTTATTGCTTCTTACAAAATTAACCAAGTCTATATTTTGATAAGTAAACAAATAGCTCGCGGAGTCCCCAGGTTTCTCTCGCGGAGCCCTGGGAAACGTATAGTTCACTTTGAAAATCTATAACCTTGTTCTAACCATTCTTGCTATTGTGGTATTAGTAGCTAGTTAGTTATTAGTACTAGTTTACTGAACGCATCAGTCACAAATTAAAATTCGTTTTATTTTTTACTGAAAAATATGAGTAAATGTTCAGTAAAACAATTTACTCTGTTGAGTTACATCGGCCTGATATAAAGCGTTATAATTTCCCATAGTTCAAAGTTATTCATCGACAATAGGCTTGCACGTAATTTACAAATTTACGGACTTACGGAATTATTTCGAATTACGCAAGCGAAGTCACGAATTACGTAAAGTCGTAATTATTGGTCGAGGGCTTTCGCGATTGAAACGAGCTCTCTTCAGAGCAGTCAATTCCGTCGATTGTAAAAAATTAAAGTTTAAGTAAAAGAAGTTAGAGTTCCGGTATTCGCAGCCGTTTTCCTCTCTCTTGTTAGGCAGATGGGGAGGGCATAACGCGTCATTAACTAACCTATTATCAACTTATCTAAGATGGCCAATGTACATATTAACCGTAAATAAGGAATAGAATTGTGTCGAGACCGATGGACGCCAACACACCTGGTTTCAACTTCTTCGGGTGAAATGAGTGAAGAATGTAAGAGATCAACTTATAAAACATGGTCTATTTGTAAATGTCGTGATAATTAATGTCGCGCTTATCAAACAGCAAGAGACGGAAGAGAAATTGCGTAATGAACCAACGCAACTTAGTCCTTTCGGCATCGGTAAAGCGATTGAGACGGCAGAGAAACAACATTACGACGGGATTTCCCGTGTTTATTCTGCGCGAAATCCATTTTCTATTACAAAATCTTGATGTTCTGTTACCGGTTTCATCGTTATATATCTGTCCGGACTTGGCATTGCTCAATATGTTTTCCACAATGCCTCGCAAATCGCAATATGTCGGCCAAATATGATTACCTGTCTTTACCAAATGCGGCAACTTATTTTGATTTATCGTCGACCTGAATACCACCGGCACTCGACCAAACTTGTGTCAATCTTGGCAAATAGGATTGTCGACTTGAGTTAGAAAAATAAATTAATATTTTCATGAGTGCAAAATAAATGTCACAAAATGCATTGTTTTGCGATATAACTTTGTATTTTCGGAGAAGGCATGTCATATAAGTACGGTATTTTAAATAATGCGCAAATAATTAATATTTGATCTAAATTTATCGTAAATAATGTTATAACATTTAGGCCACGAAATGATTTAATGTAAAATGAAGCATGGAATTCGGAATATCGTCAATAAGTCGGCATCAATAATTATTATAAAATGCTAACTAAGTAGTAAAGTCGGATATTGTAAAAAACGGTGAAATAACAAGTCTTCGTCACGAGGCAAGCGAAAGTATAATCAAACGAGAGAATACGCTTGTAGTTGATTAATAAATTAGCAACCCGGAATTTTTATTCAATACGAAAGTCGTATTAATACGTCAATACGATTTTAAAAAAGTGAACTATCGTTTCTTAAATATATTACCAGTGTTGGTAATGATAAAATTGATCGCATAAAAGTTGGTGATAAAGTTGATAAAGGAAAATCAAAGCTAATACAAAAGATAAAAATCAGAATAAAATTATTTTGAATTCACTCCTTGATATTTGTCTTTAACATCTGTCTCCGGCGTGTGGTACTGCCGGGAATATGAAAACCAAACTTCGATGTCCCATTCGGAATAGAAGTGGATTAAATTGGTTGGTATCCTAGGTTTAAATGTGTGAAAAAAATATCGCAATTACGGGGTCATTACGTAATCGATTTGGCCGTAATTACGGAATTGATTTTTGTCAATTACGTGCAAGCCTAATCGACAATATTTGTACAGGATGCATAAGTGTATTTATTTACCTCGATAGCTCAGCACGATGCACCAACTGCCGTGTGAATCTCTGCCATTAAGTTTTTTTTGTTTGTAAGTGATGTCTAATACTGCAAGAACTCAAGAATATTACTCTGCGTGGGTTTGCAGGTTCGAATCCCATGTGGGGTTAGTTATGTGCAAGAGGATTGCAGGACTCCTCTCCGCCGTAGGGTGGTCCACATAACCGCTGGTCAGTTACAGCTTCCTCTAACATCAAGTCCATGCTTCCGAAAAGAAATTACCAACTAATTCCATACTCAACATAGAATGGTAACCGGACAAGAGGCCGTGGTTCGCCACGAGGTTAAGCCGTGTTACCGGCTTTCCTCTCCCCCGGGATAAATATGTAAGTCCTATCCTATTACTCATTCACAACAAATTTAATCACACTGGATCAATCCATATTCATATGATACCAGCAATTACCAACGGCGGTCTCCACCGTAACACGTTTATCGATGAGGTAAGACAAGAACTTCAATCTAAGTTTTCATAAACCTTACAAAGATTGCTTTTTACACTGCGATTCATTACGGACTAAAAATTTTTTTCCAGTAAATCATGAAAATAAATTTAAGCCACAGAGTAAAAACTAAGACATGTAGATGTGAAACACACCGCCGTTGAAGAGCGCTTATCTGAAATGAGAATTAAGTATAGTTAAGAGAATTAAGTATAACGTGTTAGAAAGGAGGGAAAGTGATTCCTGACGCTCTATTGTGGATGTTCATACAGTTCTTGTTCATTATTATGTATGTATGCTTATTTGCCGCAAAAACATAACAGTATCTGCATAATAATTAAACGGTACTCGTATAACAGAGACGGGATACATGTTCAAGACCTTACTGGTCTAAGACACGGATGTGCGACATGCGCCCCAACAAGTATAAATGCAGTTTAGGACTGCTGCGTTATAGTAGAACAACAGACATGAAATATACAAATAAAACTCCAGTACACAGGACAAAGAGGTACGACATAACCACGATAAGTACAATAGTCAGTTTATGGCACGTTCATGTCCCAGATTCTGGTGTGAAAGGATGGGGATAGGGTATAAATAGCATTTTTGTGTGTTTTTACAATAGATCTTACGAAACAGGTAAACGAAAAGTCATTAAATAATTAATGTGATGGGAATGCGGCGAATTGACTTTTGTCCTGGCCTTTTGGGGTAAAGAGAATATAGAGCTCGAAAAAAAGATTGACTTGGAAAAAGAGAAGGCCAAAGATAGCCAGTTACGAAGATGTGAATTTATTCCATAGATTAACGACTGACAAAAATTCACATAATCAAACGAATATATATATTATGATGTTCATGCAAAATCATCTGAAAGAACCTTCAACGTTATTATTTTCAAAACATTTAATATATATTTAGCCTATAAAGCCGAATGGTATATTGAGATCTGTTCGAGTCTTCTGTAGCTGATTTCGTCGATAAGTTTTTAGTTCGTTTTCTATTTAGTGTGGTGAGCTCTTGGTTGATTTAAAAACTAACTATATATATTTCACCAGTCCATGGGTATGCTAGACCTATAGAGTATACACATTAACATCGTATTATTTTTCAATTATTATATAGTCCGATATTCTTCCTCTTGTGACTTTTGTCTTTTTTCATTTATACAGAATGACTTATGGGATCAAGCAATTGATTATATACTTTAGTCCAGTGTTTTTCCAAACTTTTGTCTGCCAGCGCCCCCCTTGGACGACTTTCTAACTAGCAAACGCCCCCGACAAAAAAAAATTCAAAGCAACATCATTCTCCATTCATCATTAGTATAATGTGAAAGTTGAGCCTAGTGAAATACCTCCAGCTTGAACCAATTGGTGGAGGCTAAAATCCGGCTTCATTTCAGTCAAAAACAGTCTTGAGTCTTGTCTGACACTGTCGAGAGAATCTGTCTTGATATGTAAAAGTGCAGTCAGTGCACTAAATACACGCTCTACTGAGAATAAGCTGGCAGGGGCAATAAAAAAACTTTTGACCCGATCTCACACGTGAAGATATTATAATTTGATTCTGTTGCCAAAAAGATTGAAGACTGAACATGGGTTTGAAAGTATAAACCAAATGATTGTGGTGTATTTTCGTTTCTGGGCATTCAGGGTTATCAAGAAAACGGAAATAAAAAAATTCTTAACTATATTCAAAAAACCTATTAATGGTATTTGCGCTTGAACTTCTGTTTGCGTATGATTGTACTAAGAAATTTTGCAAAATTTTCAACCACTCACTTAGTTTTTTGCTGAAGCGCACCTTCTGCTGTCAGGACATGGAAAAGAAAGATTTAAAACGGTGAATACAAAACATTACGTGGTTGTGCCGAGAAAAATCTGGACATGACTTGAGAGATTGATAGAGATGACCAGCAGTGGTTCCAGCATGACATGACGACCCCCCATAATATACATCAAATAAGATGCTTGCTCTCCTGAGGAAAAGTTAGCAATGACATCCAGTGGGCACCTTAATCATTGAACTTAAACCTCTTAGATTTTGATATTTAGGGTGTTCGAAGGACAATCTGTATCAGGACAATCCTCAAACGATTGGTGAATTCAAGGCTGCAATTGCAGAAATAAAGTAGAGAAATACCCAAAGAAGAGTGATTGACAATGTTGCAAAAAGAATGCACTTTTTTTCTTCAATGTTGAGGAGGGCATTTGGAACATATTCTAGAAAAAACATATTTTTTGTGCAAAACGCCCTAGATTTTCCGACACCTTTAGGTACAAACATACGCAAACAGAAGTCCAAGTATGGACAAAATTAAATAATTCACTTTAATTTCGTAGAAGTAATTGAGAAATTGATCGTTCCGTTTTTGGGGACCACGCTGTATAATACTGTTTTTAATAGAAAATCAGTTGAATATGCAGCTTAAATCACTGTATTCGATAGTTTGACGCAACATAAACGATTGAATTAACCAACACAAATGATAAACCGACATTAAACAATGTCAAACACAATTATAACAAGAGGGTGTTGTAGGCTACTTACACTACCGCTTCGAAGCACCATAGAACCCGATCGATAGTAAAATGAAACTGTTATTCAATACAGTACAACGAAATGTGAAGTGCATGGTGAAGAAAGCATATGCCGTATGCGCTAGACTAGTATTATTATGAAACAATACGGATTTAAAAAAGTCATAATACCTATTCTACGTTAAGCGAGAAATTTCCAACACCGAAATCACAAGCAAACTAGTTTGAACCGAAACATAGGAGTACATGACATAAAATATCACACTTTTTGTAAGTTTATATCAGCGCCCCCGAATTGCCCAGTTTGACAGCCAGCGCCCCTCAATTGCCATCAACGCCCCCAAACCATAGCAAACGCCCACAAGGGGGCGATTTCGCCCACTTTAGGAACCGCTGCTTTAGTCGATTCACGGACTACCAGTATCGTATGCCGACTTCAACTCTCATGTTTTCTACCAGACGTGACAATCGCGTACACCGTAATCTGACTTCAGTCGACTTTCGGTACTAAAGATTGCAAGTTCTTAAAAAACGCAGTGTGTGCGGAGTGTTAATACTACGGTACCCCTCTAGATAACTTGTTGTTACGAGGTTACACTGATTCAATACGTTCATTTCCTTGCTATTTTGACCCCACTCCCAAGTTTTTGCAATATGTGTATTTTTAACGGGAGGCGGACAACTCACCAGAGACAACACCACCCCATTGCCCAGGGTTATAATCTAAAACAAGTTTATAATGTCAATTAGTCTCAATTAACAAACATTAACTAACATTAAAAATTATTTATTGCAGGCAAACAAACTCAAATTTCTAGATAAGAGGATAGCCAAATATGTCGGCCAAACCAAATCTGATAGTGGTTCCAAAATCTGATAAATGATAGCCATCTGGCATACCCCGTTACATGTTTTCAATAGCAACGCTGAAAAATGAACAACAAAAGATGTTGCAGGGCATATGAATGATAAATGGGACTATGATCCTAGTCTGTCAATTGGATTTCGCATTCCAGCATATAATTTTATACCAGGATGTGAATTATGTGTGATTATAGATAAATAACTGGCTGAACATGACATGCAATAAGATGATGCACAGAAATTAATTCACTTTGCGCTTGTAGAAATACAAATAACCTAGATTGATTGGAGGGTTCTCAGACTCCGCAACCTTCTCATCATTGAATAAAACCCATTTGCCATCCTTCTTAATGTGACAAACATAATGACCACATAAAGTTGAACTTCCCATGTGGCTGATGAAGGCAAAAAGTTCATATTGTCCAACACCATCACGAGTTACACTTTCCTCAGATTGTGGTACTTCCATAGGAGTCGCTTCCTGCTGTGCATTTGGATTGTCACCCTCTCCAACAGCAATAGTGTCCAACTCATTAATATGGCTGAAAATCCAATCCGCAGCTCTTTCTAAATTATTGTTAGTCATTTTCAATGCTTTGATCGCTTGATCTTTGGTGAATCCCATACACACAATCATGTTAATACTCTCCTCTGAAGGGTCCGCAGAGCTTGCACCAGCAACAGCACCAATTGGCTGTGGTGGAGCAGCAGTAAGTTGAAGTGGTTCAGAAAAGTCAGGGTCCGAAATATGCTCCATCAGCCATGTCATTGCCATATCGGCACCGCAGTTTCCTGTGTAGTGAACTGCTTTCACACATGCTTCATATGGAAACCCAGTTTCTACAAGTTGAGATATAGTTGTAGGGTCTGCGTTCGGCTGTGGTTGAGGGACGGTCTGCTTTGTTGCATTGTTTTGCGGTGGCTCGATATCTGGTAAACACTCTTCCCCTTCTTGAAGACCTCTTCCTCTGAACTTTTCCAGGTCTAATGTTTCAGGCATATTCACACTAACCTGAAGTTTTTTTGGTACCCAGTCATCTCCTATTGAAAATTTTTTCAGTTGAATCACCAAATAATCTGGATACGAAGCGAACCTAGTACATTTCTTAGCAGTTGATTTTTCTTGCAATGCAGGACTCCAAAAATCATCTATTAAATCATCCTGTAGAAAAGCTTCAAGGCATGATGTGAATGGTATCTCCAACCTCACTTGCTCACCAACAACAATACTTTTGTCTTTCTCAGCAGCTTTCTTTTTCGCTTCATATTTTTCAACTTCATTTTTATTTATAGCAGCATGGCAAGGGATTGGGAGATCTAAAATATACTCTGGTTTAGTAGAATATCGGACCTTTTTGCTCTGCACACATTCTATTCTTTCCTCTATCAGAAATTTCAAATAGTTCGATGGAGAAGCACCAAGTAGTCGACTGTTTCTTTCAATTAGACATAACAAATGTAAAAGAAATTCTTGAGCATCTTGCTGACGATTAGAGGAAAACTCTGGATGCCCTCGACCCACTAGCCTCTTAAAACTGCCAGGTGATATTCCATTGTTAGGAACAGTTTTATCATCTTTAGGAGATTTAGAATAATCACCAGATGAAAGACCTGACAGCAATTTTGACATTTGAGAGTTGAAGTCAGAAGCAGGGTCTTTGATTGCCTTATTGAAAATTTCCATACATTTTGAATTGTAAATCTCAGAAAATCCATCCATACTGCATAAAACCTGCATTGTTGAATTAAGATAGCAAGTGTTTCCCATATTCTTCATTCCTGTTAAATGCGGTCCATGCAAAGGTTTTAGCTGTTTTCCAGATTCCTGAAGAATTTCCCACTCATTTCCTAATTTCTGATTCAAATCAATCTCTAATTCGGTCATCGTTTTCTCAGATTTCTCCATGTTCATCATATTAATTCCAAAATGAGCTAAATGATGCGCCAAGTTAGAATCCTGAACCATATCATCTTCATCATATGAGAACACATCTGCTCCACTGGATGTGATTGTTCCCAACTTTACGACTAATGGATATCCGGTTTCACGAAAATATTCCAAGGCATGCTCATTACCACCGGTGCCATCAAAGTATCGCCTGCCGCATAAAATCGTTCCATCAGTAAGATTTGCCCATAGATTGTTTGTAAGATCACATCTTGAACATTTCCAACCAGAAGGAGGAATACGTACATCATTATCAATCTGCTTCAAAGTGTTGCTGTGCTGCGAAACTACCCGAACATCACCTTCCCATTGAAGAAGTTCCTCCTTCCTCGTAGCTGATTCGGATGATAAAACAGCTTGAACACTCATCAGTAATATTGCAGGTATTTCTTCAATATTTTCAATGGGTATTTCAACAAAATCAGGTAGTATAGTAATTGTATTAATTTCTTCATACTCTGTCTTTTGCTGTTCATTGGCTTGAAAACCTCCTTCCACACCAAGAGCCAATCTGGTAGGTTTTTGCTCTTCTGTTTCAGTTGATTCCTCTCGTGGCTTTGGTTCAATTGGTGTCTTCCGTAAATGCAAAAACACTGAATTTCCAGTAGCTTCATGATACATTTTAACATGTTTTTGTCCAAATGAAAGAAAACTTTTCAAGCATACATATAAGCCAGTTTCTGTGTATGGTGTATCAAAACTCAAGCAACATTCGTCTTTATGAATCCGATCCTCTGCCTGTGGAACACGTACGTTTGGCAAGTAAGGAACTAAAAATTCGCCAACATCATCCATGTTCAAGTTTTAAAATTGACTTATTTACAGTGACAAGGCTAAATAATATATCTTATATTCGGTAAGAATCTGAAAATTGATTTTATTACATTGTTAATCATATCCTGTGTATCCTCGCATATAGGCCGAGTTTAAATCTCCAAAAAAGTTGCCAAGATAAGGGGTCGGGCATACATCCGCATAACTTCGATTGTATTAAAAATTTGGCTTTTACTTGCACATAAGTCTGATTGCACTTATTCTCTTATGCAATCATTTGATGTGATAGGTACATACGGCGTGTTACGATTTGTAGGGCTTTGATATGCGAGGATATTTTCAAACATGGAAGATTACCTTTATAAAGAAAAACTGCATCGATTAAAATATATCACAAATGAGCAACACATGTAAAACTTGCAAAAGTAATGATCCATAACCATCATGATTGATGATTCAAACGAGTATGAATCAATAGTTTCAATATATTCAAGTTAATTCATTCAATGTATAAAAAAATGGGGAAACACCGATTTCAGAATTTCAATTGTACTTCCAGATTTGCTCAATTTGGTATAAATTTCCTCAATAGAGATTTTCCATTGAAGTAGACAGGTATAGGATAAATGTATCACTAAATTTAGGCTTTTGAGGCAAAAGAAACAGTGATTTTCATCTTCGGCTAGATAGCAGTGTCTACCAATGACGGCACCTGTTGCAGCAAGCATCGGAAGCACTAAATTTTCATCAGATAAGGTTTATATTGTCTTCTTCCACATTGATCAACAATAATCCCACTCAGGTTTCAGTTTTGCATAAACATTCCAGTGTGCACATAGGCAACTACTTGATTCTTATAAGCTTTGTTTAACATATTTGCTACAAAATGCTATACGCTAATCATATGCATATGAAGCTTAGATTGTAAGAATCATATCTGTCTGGTGACGCTGTTTTGAGATAATTCTACATGAAAAATTTAATTCCGTCATTGCCGATAAGTTCAGCTTTTCTTCTATTTTCCAAAACTCTGAGTGCTTTTAAAAAAATTTCATCTTCTATTCCATGAAATTCTGAAAGAGAAAATAAAGATTTCAATAATTTTGTAAGACCAAGTTTGGAGTTGAAGCTAGTGCACAAATTTGTCCAATTTCTACAAAGTTTGAACACATCATTGCCATAGAAATAAAAAATAAATACGGTTATATAGATACTTGATGAATAGGTTATACATGAATAAAAATATTTTTACCTTGATTGGCTGATTCTTCTCCATGGCATAATTCAAATATAGTGAACACAGTGTTGACCATCCCATTTTGAAATATCTAGAAATAAAAAATTACAACATTCATGACGCGATGAGCAGAAAATTCTCCATATCCACTAGTTCCCCCATTTAGTAAAATAATTCAAATTGTTTCCAAGAGATTTAGAGGTCCAAACATTGCCAATATTATTTTTTAGATAGGTATCAATAGTGTTGTACCATCAACAATGGCAATTTTGCTTATTATGACAAATATCAACAACAATGTAGGCTTCTGAAAACTCCAGAGTAGATTTCGAAATTGAAGTTGATTTTTGTGACCAGAAAGATTGGATTGTCCCTCATACCAACTACTATCGAATGATATTGAAATATCTAAATAAGCAACTGAGGGTATTTATTAAAATCTGACGGCTAAACTTTCTTTAAAATCTTCAATCTAAACTTCAGATCTCAGACACTACTGGAAAATTCAGTACTGACCCATGCATAAATGAGATCTGCCCATTGATCTACAGTTTTCCAGATGATTGTGCATGTTGTTTTTGCCTTATCCGTCCACTCTAGATTCCCTTTTTTGTGTAAGGTATTCAAAATCTCTATCACTGCCTCATGAGATAATTTTCCTTTAAAAAAATAAAGAGGACAACAGTCATTAATATTCTGATTCTCTTGTGCACTTACATACCGACAAGCTCAGTAATATTATTTTTTCGTGGATGAACCACACATGAAGCTTATGCCAATATAAATTATTCAGAATGGTGGAAATTTATCAATTTGGCTCTAAAACTTGTTAAAACCCAATTTAGAAACTACATCATTCCCAACCTCAGTGGGGTAAGCGTCATCAGCACAGAACATGATCAAGAACATTTTTTCATTCAATGCTCAAAAAAATTTTCCCAACTGACAAGTCTGAGACTTACTATCAATGGTCTTATTATAAAAGAGAGGAGAAGACTGTACATCTGCAACGCGTAGAGTTGACTTGCTGTGATGTTTATGATAGTTTATAACAAGTTGACACCACGCGTCTATCTGCTTCGCTTTCGTGTCAGAATTTGGTTGAATCCTAAATATGAGTTGCAATTATAACACTGTTTGAAACCTACCAAAACAAGTATGCTAATAAGAAGTAGATTATTAATGACACCAAGAAAATTAGGCAAATCCATTATATATAATGCATTTTCTGAAGACATAATACAGTGATATCTGATAACACAAAATATACTAACGTGAAAAAAGGAGGGAAGTTGTATTGCCAAGGCCATTCAAATGAAGCAGGAGACATTTTAATATGGTAATATGTTATTTATACTAAACTATACATACCAGAGATATGAAAGCTAGTTAGCACAAGACAGATGTTATATTCTCAAACAAACTCTATCAATACAGCAATATGTGAATCAACTTTGTCAGAAAATGTTTCTTCAATTTTCTTTCAAATTTCCACAAAGTTTGTTTATTATAATGAAGTTCAGAAGAACATATCCCAAGTGAAAAAAGTTTACAGACTTTTCACTCCACAGATTTTTTGATCACAATAAGACATAAAGAAATAAGACAGTTTTAATGATGATTTTCAGTGGCCTTGGGTAGAGAGTTCAAAATAATAATAATATAGAAATACACATAGATTTATTCACAAATGTATGGGCCATTATCTGAAACATTCCCAACGTGTTCTAAAAACTGAAAAACCTTGTCAACTTTGTCTCCTCTCTTAATAATTTTTTTCTTCTTTAAATACTGAAATAAGGTAGCCGAAAGATCACTTTCCTGCTAACTATGATTTCTTATTCTCCAGTTTCCACACTTCATTACCCCCATTATCCTTTTGGTCGAAATGATCACGCTCTATTCCTATACTCATATAATTATATAGGCTACAACGCATACTAAAACGGAAAGGTACAGTAGTACTAGTAGGGATACTCAACTGGCGGACCGCGGCGCGGTCCGAATCCCAGACTTTTCGAGTGCTAAATTTGGACCGCAGCTGCTTCTTGACTTTAAATGCATTGTTCCCTTTTTATTCCACGTTCATAATGTAATGCATTTTTCGCTTAATCACTGAGGAAAAATTGTCATAGCAATATAAGTTTCTCGGAGCATCGGCTCACTTGTTTACTCAGCTAGCATTGGCTAATCAGCAAAATATCAGTGGTGATCTAAAAACTGAAGTTTTATTGGCTTCTTGGATCAATTTTCACATATTTTTAGACATTGTGTTGTGGCAAACATTGGCTTGTTTTAGTAGCTTATAGCATGCAGCTATTTGTCACGCTTGTGGACTCGTGTGTTTTTATATTATTTAAAAAAAATCGTCTTTTTTCGCAACTAATATATTTTAAATTTTCAGCCCTAAAAATAATTTAAAATTCTGGAAGACTTTTAAATATATATATATATATATATTTACGCGGCGGTGTGGCTCATCGTTAGGAATACGCTCGCCACCGCACCTCTAATTACTCTGCGTGGGTGCGAATTCCATGCGGGATGGTTATGTGCGAGAGGATTGCTGGACTCTTCTCCGCCGTAGGGTGGTTCACGTAACCGCTGGTCGGTTACGGCTTCCTCCAACATCAAGTCCATTCTTCCGAAACAAATAACTAACTAATCCCATACCCGACATGGAATGGTAACCGGACGAGAGGCCTTGGTTCGCCATATGGTCAAGCCGTCTTATCGGCTTTCCTTTTGTCCGGGATAAATATGTAATTCCTTATCCTTATCCTAGTACCATGGGGAGAATATTTCACCGGCGGCGAAGAGTGATATTGAGCTTTGCTCTTGTATTTTATCAAACGATGCATTTGAAATTTTGTTCGCATAGGTAAAACATATTCTTAGAATGACCGGAACCCGGTATTTTTTAAATTTTGTGTGACCTTTGGTGAAAATAATTAAGTAGCCCTGCGTAGTCTATCGACTCTACCTGTCAGTTTGTCTGATTCAACAAAAATAATAATGATTTCGTAGATACTTTTTTATACGGACATTTGATCAAAACTCACACCACGCAAGCATTGTTTTCTTATCAAAGTTACGAGCGGACACTAAAGTGTATACCGTAATAGTTAGGGTTTACATATTTATCCCAGAGGAGAGTAAAGCCAATAAGGCGACTAAGTCATATAAATTACCCGTGTTATTATCCTGAAACAAGGCCGTTGCCAATTTAATTTTTTCTATGATATTTTATCCGAAAACGTTGATGACGTGTTTCCCATCCCACTCAAATGTTGCTTGTCTTTGTTTACAGTATACGAACATTGGCATTACAATCTATTACTCTATTGTATACTTATTTTGACCTCCGATGGTATTCAATTGAGATTTACTGAGGTACCGGTACGTGTTAGAATACGCAGAATAAGGAGGACCACCAAAATATTTTTTCCATCGACTTCTAACCACATTAATTAAAGTCACTACCATACTGTTCCATCGTTATTTCAGACTTCCGGGTCGTCATTTTAAGTCAAAAATTTTTGTTTTTCTAGCGGCGTTGCAGGCAGAAAAACAATAAACTGCAAAATAGCGTCTAAATTCTAAATCTTGTATATAGTCTAGAACAGTGGTTCTCAAACTTTTTTAGTCCCAGAGCCGCATTTCAGACCTCAAAGTTATGAAGAGCCGCACAAATACAACGCAAGGTAAAATAGCAACAAACCTTAAGCGCGTATTTAAAATACCAAGTCATCGTAACAAAAACACACGTAACAACTAGGTCTGAGCAAAATATTCGAATAATAAAATATTCAATTGACATTTTACTATTCGAATATCCGGTACCACGTGACCTGCACCGCTCTGCTTGGACACCAAACTCGCGCGTCTCCAACTCAATCGTGATTTGTGCGAGATTTCCCAACGGCGCTCGCTATCAGAAAAAAAGTCGTTGTCTTTGTGTTATGGCGTTTTATGCTTATCTTTGCACTTAATGAACGTATCGTTTCAAATCATTATTTTGCAAAAAAAAACGTACCGACCGTTCCGTAAATTTATAAACATCAAACCAGATTAGGTATTTAAAATAAATTTCTCAGATTTTAAACTCCGCATGCTTGGTGTCATGTCATTAGCCGTTTCTTGCATTACCGAACATAAAGTTGATTGAAATTAAATGTTAAAATAACTTTTCGGCGTTTCATTGTGAAAAAGGCTATTTTAGGTCGTTAGAAAACTCTAGTTAAGTAAATAGCATGGATTTAAAAATGACCAAAAGATTTTTCAAAAGCTAGTATGAGTTACTTGTATGAAAAATACTCATTAAGTTGTAACCAGATAAGAAATGTCATGTCCTACTATCTTTAAAGCACTTTGTATTAGCTCTTTATTGATCCCTTCCATCCTTGGCCAAGTAATGTTTTGAATATGTAACATCGTAATCGACCATGCATGGCCGTTGAGCCAGGAGTAGAACGTAAAATCAAAGTGAATTTCGTTGTGACAATGCACACTGACTCGTTCACGAATTGTTGCGTCTATTATCATCGAAAATGATTACAATTGGTAAATTTCGAAGCATTGGGTGGTAATAATTAAGCCTTAAAGCATGACATAATCAAAATCATTAGGTGAAGTGCTGAATTTGCAAATTCCGTAGAGAAAATTGAGCATTACTCAGTAAGTATTTTAGCTAAAATAACCATCGGGGTGATGTTTTGTTGAAAAAAAAAATGTTAACACCTGAAGGAATTAGGTATAATTAGCGTCTGGCCCTCTATTAGGCACGAAGGCTTAGAAATGCCTTTATTGCCAATTTATTTAATCGCTTTTTTCAAATCAACACTCAGGATTCACGCAATCGTAAATTTGCTAGGTTTATCTATCTAATACTAAAATAACACGAACACCATAGAAAAGCATGAGAACTCAATTATCCTTTAAATATCTGCATTTCGGTTACCGTTCACTTTAAACAGACACGTTTAATTTACAAGCGGTGATAAGGAAGATCAAATCCAAGGCAGAGGATAAAACTCAGAATAAAATTAATTTGGTTTTGAAATCAGCCCTTAATGTATTCAACAGCTGTCGCTGATGTGAACGCAAGGGGATATTAGAATATGAAAATTCGAAATTCGCCGACCGCTTATTCTTGCAAAAAACGAGAAAGGGCGAGAATATAGAATACCAACTTTAGGATATCGCCGCCAAAACGATCGTAGTGACAATCAGCGAATATGATATAATTAACCATTAACCAGTAAAAAACGCTTTTTTGTCGACTTTTCAATGTTTCTATCAATTTCTAAATGGTGTATCGAATCGACCTCCGACGTTCTGGATCCCTGTTATGTATAAAAAATATTCAAATTATTCGATTCGAAAAAAGATTCGATTTTGCCCGCCCTAGACTAACAGCCATTTAATTCTGCTTTGATTTCTAATAAGTTTGTCAAAGCGGGTCGTAATCGTTGAGGATGCAAAGTGCTAGCTGCTTGATATGATCGCCAGATATTCCGGGAGTATTTTCGATTACTGGAACAAAAATAAAATACTCTAGAATTAAAATAATCATTGAGTTATTTGATTTATGCATAATATGCGGGAATGCGACAAACACTGAAAATCCACGGAAGCAAGCCAATGATTACAGCCATGTCTAAAATCTTTCCAAGTGAAAAGTGTCCGAGTGGCCGTGAAAACGCTCACTATTGCATCTTGTAGGTTAGTCAACGCTACGCAAATAAACACGGGGGAATCCATTCGACTAATAGACCTCAGCATTTTAATTTCGAGTCAATGATTAGTTTTCAATGAAACCTTTTTTTTTTAAAATAATTAATTTTTAAAGCATTAACGAGAGCCGCAGGAAAGATTGTTGAGAGCCGCATGCGGCTCTCAAAAACCTAGTTTGAGAATCACTGGTCTAGAACATAGGTTCTCAAAGTGCTCCATACGGAGCCCCAGGGCTCCGCGGGAAAAACCTAGCGGCTCCGCGTGCTATTCGATTACTTTTCAAAATACTGTCTTTGCTAATTTTGTAATTGTTCAAAGAAGCAATAACAGGTTTAATAAAATTTGACAACAGTATAGCCTCGAAATATGGCGAAGAGGCGGAATTCAGAAATGACATTATTTATAAGAAGGAGCGCAGCCAGGATTCTTAAGAGGGAGAGGGGTTCAAAATTGGAATCGGAAATTTTTGCGCAACATTCTTCGCGATTGAAAAAATTTTTTCAGTGGATAACGAGATTTCTGTTGCGTAAAATATTCAATCCATGAACATTGCGAGCAACATTTAAAATGTCTTGTCATAATATATAATTTAATTGTGCTTATCGTTACTCACGTTTGATCCGAGATTACTATTAGGATTACTAAAATAAAAGATTACTATTCTAAAATAATATAAAATACGTGATAAACTGCCAACAATAAATAAATTGGAATCGTATTTTTGCGATCGTATTTTTGCGGGATTTGTCAAACTCGATTTGTTCTTTCGCACTCGAGATTATTTTTAAGCAAGATATCGGCGTTACAAAAAGCCCTAGGTTAACGTTAAAACTCAAAAAGTACAATTTACAATCTATGACCGATGCGGGCATATTTAAAATGACTTGTTCATTGAGTTAATTGTGTTCAATGTAATAAATGGATAATTCTCAAATTACCACGGCAATCCGCGGACATGAAATGAGAAACAAAGTTAAGTGAAAGAAGTTCTTGTGGACTACCGTATATCCTGAACAACGCTGTTATCATAAGATATTAGAAACAAAGTCATGTTGCTCACAAAAGAACATACCTACTACCGGTGCCAGTAGTTTGATAAGATATTTGTGCCCTTCCCGATTAAATCATGATCGTAATCATGGCTGATTGCGTGGCAGTGTGGTAGATATAGCGAATTCCACAAATTTGAGCCGTTCTTGCAACACTAACTCCTACCGCGCAGGTCTGCCTCTCAGATTCTTTGCAAGATATCGCCGTTTAAAAAATCACAAGGTCTGGGAAAAATACGAACGATTGAAATTTATGTTATTGCACGCGGCTCCGTCGGTAGTCTCAGACTGGATAAAAGGTACATCGCGCGCATAATTGACTGTGTTTCGATTTCAGTTACTAAGATGAATAACCAAAGAAAATTTAACATAACACCAAATTTTGGGATTTACAATGTCTAAAAAAGCTTTTATCTGTCGTGAGTCTGTTGAAACAAAACTTAGTGTTATCCTCCGTTTTAAGTTTTAGTTTTAATCATTCATAATGCCGCTTTTCAATCAAAGAATTTGAGTTGCGGATTTACCTCTTTATTAAATATTTTAGCCTCTGGTCGCCGATCAAGCAATGACTATAATATGGTAACGATGCTTTCACATTGAACTCATAATTCCCCACGAGAACAAAAGAGCAATTATCGTCGTCATTGTGGAACGATACATGTATATAACGTGGGAAATTTTTGATTCAGGGAGAATAAACACCGACGTAAAAATGTTAAGGTTTTAAAAGCCACGCCACGCCACGCGTTATTAGCGAATTTTTAAGTCTTTTAAAAATATCAAAAGGGACAAGATTTGACCCCTAATTTATTAATACGTTTGTCAAGTGTCAAATTTACAGCCTTTATATATATATATAATTTATCTGTGAAATTTAGATTTATTTATGGCTTGTATTAACCCCATTAAAAAAGGTTTAACCTTTAAATTCGTAATGTACCTTTAACTTACTCAGGAATATTATTCGGAAAGTAACAATTTTAAAATTTATTTTGGGGCTCCGTGAATATTAGTCAACCTCTTCACGGGCTCCGCAAGACCAAAAGTTTGAGAACCCCTGGTCTAGAAAACAATCTGCGGTTGGTTGGTTGGTTCATTCAAATTCCAAAAAGGAATTTGCGAGGATTGGACAGATGAATTGTTTGTATTGTTATATCGTAAACAAGGGGGGCCGAACTTGGGCCCGTGGGCCAAAGGTGTTAACTGTCAAAAATTAAGAAATCTGATTTTCAATGTATATATATATATATATATATATATATATATATATATATATATTTGAAGTCTTATATTTGTCGAGTATGTGTTGCTGATAATCACTCTTTCGCATTAAACTTGATTTGTAGATGGAGATTATTGAATTGAGATTATTGCTCGATTTGCGACGTCTACACATTAATACCAAACGCAAATATTTGTATTGTATTGTTGTATACTCGTGAGGAAATTCTTTTGTCGGGTTCCCTTGCCAAATTTTGTTGAATTTCTCTGGGCACATGACTCCTTCTGCTGTTTCAATTATATGTATGACTATATATATATATTCGAATGAATATGCATGTGGGATTGACTCCATTTCCATAGGGATTGGCTGTCGGTATAGCCGTTACTAACCTTATCGACATAATTAGCAGTGCCACCTGTTTCTGTGGACGTGTCTGTTGTTTCTTAGCAAAAAAAAATGGACTGTGCTCTCGTATTTTTATTTTATATAAAACAGTTTTAGAGTTATCGGAAATGATAAATGATTTAATTTCCGCGATTAGTAAAGAGGTATTGACTACAGTCTTTCATAGATGAGGCCATGTAAGCATAGGTTAACATCATGGTGTTGGGTTATAAGTACTTGCTGTTTGTTGGTAAAATTCTTCTAGAAATTGGCTTGGTACCGAATGCAGGTGAGTTATAGTTCATTGTCATAAAAGCTTTGATTTCGGAATGTTTAGATGTTAACATACACCTTTTGTTGTTTAAACTTGTTCGAATTGTAAATAAAGTAATGTTTACAATTCTAATATTCTTCCACAACTATCTCAGTCTAATTAGCTCACTACTTCATGATATATTTACGCAAATTTTCAGCAGCGAATCCAGTGTTTGTAAACACGGGGAAAACTACATATACCGGCTATTTTACGGCAGTGGATTTTGAAACAGCAGTAAAAAAATGTCAAGATTACAAAGGAAGTCTTCTGTTTCCACGAGCCTTGCAAGATATCGTCAACAATTTTGTGTATCTACAGTCCATGCCTTCCGAAAGTTGGATTGGTGCAACCGACAAGGATATTGAGGGAGACTGGAGAAACAATGGATCTCGTTTTACGTTCTCTTTCTGGGATTTTGGAGAACCAGATTCCACGTCAGATGAATTAGATTGTGCCTACTATAGTAAATTGAAAAATTATAGATGGTCGTCTGCCGATTGCGAAACTACAAAACCATTTGTTTGCGAAGGCGGTGGTAAGATACTGACTTTTTCTCATTAGATGAATTATAGTGCCACCAAATTGTTACTTAGTATAGCGTAGTAGCCTACCATATAGTATGACATGTAAAAGCCGTTGTGACGAAGTTGAAATGTTACAACATCAAGTGAGGTTTCAACAGTAATGAGAAAATCGGTAGAACCGAACTGTTCGAATTTATTTAATATATTCTAGCTTCGTTGTCCAAGGTGCACATTAGCGTCTTTCACAAATGTCCAAAGTTGATACAATTAAGAAAATTAACATGCTCATACAGAAGCAAGGACGCTAATCTATAATATGAGTTTACAATTGATCACTCAATCAATTTTAAAAGGTTTCCGGTTTAATATTTCACATTTTTGGAAACTCCCTCAATTGTACACGATGCTATCAAATTATAAAAGAACGATTCGTTTAGAATTTACATTAATTAAAAATTCCAAACATGATGGGCCACTTCACCCGCCATTAATTATTTTCGTGTTCAAGTTCATATTTAATTATTATTGATGCAGAAAATCCAAATATTGCAATAACCGAAAGTAGCCAGGCTTCAACTCTCCACGTCCACACAACAAAACATGAACTCAAACAGACCACCAAATCTTCAGCTGCATTGTCAATCCCAATCACCCCAACAAATATATCATCGAAAGAATATGAACTTATTACAACAATGCAATCAACCGAATTTGTATCTGAAGTTATTGATCGTGCCACATTTTCAGAAGCGCCAAGACCACAAAATTTGACTTTTCAGACTATTTTTGAATCATTGCGCATCATGTTGGAGTCCATTGAGGATGAAACAGACGTATATAATTTTATTACGACCGTAGAAAACAACTTCAGTGAGCAACTTGCCGACGTTGCTTTCAGGTCAAATTTTAATGGCGTCTTGGAAAAGTTGTTACTTGGTATGCATATTAAGATAGTCAATTCCACCGATGTTATAAAAATCTCTTTTTCAAATCGAAATTTAACTTCATTGGATATATCTCTTACGAGCCAAAATGCTATAGTAGTTGTATCCGCATATAATAGGGAAATGAAGAGTTGGCGGAATTTCATTGCACGGCAAAAAACATCCAAGCTATCAATAGACAAGGAGATTTCATTACTTCCAATAAATGGAAGTATATTTCATATAGCGTCATATGAAAAGACGAATGGAATTGTACAAAAAACTAATAGCGCAGTAAACTTTACGATAAATCTACAAGGCGATCACACCGTACTGCAGTATCTTCATGAGAAGAAAGTTTTCCTACAAGGGGGAGTATCCAGAAGTTGTGCATTGATCAATTTACCCACCAAAACTTGGGAAGATACGAATTGCAAACACGCTGTTCAGGAGTACGGTCAGATTACGTGTAGTTGTGAACATACAACAACGTTTTCTGGCGTTTTGTCTTTCAATGTTATCTCAGTTTCGGACGATGTATTGGACCTTGTGATTGCTATTCAAATTACCTCAACGCTGTTTCTTTCAACCACACTTGTATTTTACTTTGTAGCAAGAAAACGTCTGAGGAAAGAACGTAGTTTCACACAAATCTACTTAACTTTATCTTTGCTGTTTCTGAATGTCGTTATGATAGTTGCTCAAGTGTCTAACAAAATTTCAGAATTGTGTATTATCACGACAGCGATGACACATTATTTTCTGATGACTTCATTCTGTTGGATGTTCAACCATGGCTACATATTATACATTAAGACTTGTCATAACCCGCTGGGATTTAACATGAACAGATATATACCCCGTTTACACGCATTGGGATGGGGACTACCGGGTGTAATAGCATCAGTCAGTGCTGCAATTGCTATACCAAATGAAGTTTACGTCGAAAAGTCGGAAAACTATGAACTCCAGGCTTCAAAAAATGTATCTTTTTACAATTTTCCTAAATATAGAACATGTTGGTTGAGTACGATTTCCCTGGTAAATTTATCCGCAATTGTACCTGTATGTCTAATTATACTTGCTAACTGCACAATACTGTTCAAGGTCACTTACGTTGTTTGGAAATTGTCAAAATCCAGTGAAAATTATCTTCCAAGTTCCGGTTGTCGAATGACGCCTCAACAATGGGATAATGCTGTTAAAGGTTTCAAGGCCTTTGCCACCCTATCACCGATTCTCGGATGCACGTGGATATTCGGCTTTTTGGTAAACATTCCAGATGTAGAAGAAGTTTTTGTTGGGTTTTCAAGTTTATTAAACGGAATTCAATGTCTATCTCTCTTACTAATTTTTGCTATTTTAAATCCGGATGTTCAACCGACAGCAGTGCGCCGTTATCGGGAACGATCCAGATTAAGACGACAGGCCACAATGTCACAATGTGACACGAAGCTCACGAACATGGGATCAAGAAGATTGCAGACAGTGTCTACAACAGTTCGATAAAATCAAGATATTCTGCACTCACTTCAACCCTTATTCATTCAAACTGTCTAGTTCAGTCGAAGTACTATGTTTTAAAGGTCTGTTTCAACACATCATATTCATGAAACTCGTCATTGTTATACACAGAATATATATACAGATTATAACTTGTCAAGTGAAGTAAAAATAATACACCTACAATAGCAATGGCTTAAAACTACTGAACATTGTTCACTATATTTGTTTCACTAAATGCGTTTGAAGATCTTACGTGGTCCAGAGAGACCCGTGACTATTTATATTCGTCTAGTCTTTTTCATTTAGCATTGTGTATCAAAACATCCGGTTGCCCGTCTTTGTAAATATATTACCGCATTACTAAATAACTATATAACCATAAATATTAATGAAATCAACTTTGGATTTTACCTATGTTATTAACTCGATCATAAATTTGCTTTAAGTTACCAAATGTGGACGTTGGCACACCCAGGATGTAGTGTCATAACTAGGGATGGCGGAATCGAGTCCGGATTCGATTACAGAATCGATTTTTCGCATTGAAATTCTCGAGGTTAAAACTTGGATTGAAAAGAAGGTGTAAAGTTTTGTGGCAATTCCTTCACATATATGTATAAACTGCTTCACTGCTATGTTGAGTTGCTACGACGACGCAAACTTCACTATATATATTATATAAATATATATTATTTCGATGAAAGGCGTTAGGGTTTATTTATTTTAAAAATCTCTGTGGGTTCTGAACGATTCGTTATTTTTTGTGCGATTTTGTCTCCTGTGACAGATTGAATACCCATACTACTTAGTTTCGGCCTTCTTGGCAGTCCAGAATTTGAACATCGTGCTCTTGTTTGATTTCATATGGTATTGCTTAGGTGGGTATGTGTTTTCGGTAAGATATGTCGTGGAATCGAAATTGAGAATCGGAATCGACAATTTAGGAATCGGATAAGAATCGAATACTTGTAAATACTCATACATCCTTAGTCATAACATAAAAGGATCACGAATATACAAACTACATAACAGCAATCACTCACACAAATTAGTAAAAAATCAATAAAAACAGATTATGTGATGATGGACTATATCTTTTTTACAACATCTAGGTAAGAGCTTTTTATGAATTACATAAAATATATATGCTATTCCGACAGTTTTCATTGTTAAAAGTTGACAAACACAAGTTGGGTAAATACATTTTCTCCGAACAACATACACGATTGAACCACCAGAAAATAGGCAAATAAGATATTGTTATCATTGAGATCGTATCATAGATAGAGCCATAAGTCTGGCACGGTTTTAAAATAGGGAGCCCACGTTGTTTCGAAACAGCATCATGGAAGAATGGTAAAGCGCATTTCTAGGCTATTTTTTGTTTCAAATCAACTAGCCTTTTTACCGCATGCGGGTTTTGTCCTTCTGTAACCAGTCTTTTTGTTATATTGTCGAAATAAATATTGGGAGATAGTGAAGCTCCTGAAGTATGCGCATCAAGATGTCGCATAACCTGAACCTTGACTTGGTGAGCATACTTCAGGAGGTCCGGGAGAGTATATTGAAAATTCATATTAATAGCCGAGGTATAGTTTGTTGGTGGTTACAGCAAAATTCATATTGATGGTTTGACCATTATACAACTTCCACAAGTTCTGATGTCCCCAGCATGGAACTCAAAGAAGACCTCTAATTTGAAGCGACTTTTTAAGCCTGGAAATTATGTTGAAGTCCATGCAAATTCCTGCTCTACAGCCCAAAACAACAATACCTGACGCAGTTTATCAAATCAAGTTCTTATTCATTTTTATCATTTTCTAGTCTGTGACAATTCACCAAGCGATTACAAGTTTTTTCATTATATGTCATCAAATGTTTCCTCACGAATCTCCATCAATCGATGTCATAAATATTGCATTGACCTTAGAAGGAAGGTTTTGTCATTCCAGGCATTTCATTCCAAACAAGCTATGAGCATCCACTAATATGCGAGGCCCAATTTATTTCAGGATCAACCCAAAATTGACAAAGTCCAGAAATAATGATATAAAAAATAAAATATTGTGTTCCGATTATACGATAATCAGTAATCACAACGTTGGAACTGCGATAACTGACATTGAATTCGGTGCTTCTCTGACAGATTATTATAACGAACTTCTTAATACTCAATACCAGTACCGATACATATCCTAACCTCATATGTATACATACAAATTCAAAACAACAAATTTGGCACAAGAATAATATTAATATAGCCATGCTGAGTCTGGACTATACAGGGTCAGCCCTAACTCGTGTTGCAGGTAGGAGATAGGAAGTGACATGTATTCCAGAACATTCTACACCAGGGGTTCCCAAAGTTGATTGACCGCGGGCAGGAAAGGGGCGCGGCATTAAATGGCGCACTCAAGCGCCCTGAGAAAATTTTGAAAAATAGACACTAAATTAGGATGCGAACTTGATTTTAGATACACCTAGCATCGCAGTTTGTTATGTAATAAAATTAATAATTAAAATAGTTAGGTGTTAGAATACCCGAGGAATAAAAAGCACGACTTTCAACAAGGAATTTTCAACTGATAGCAACTTAATTTAGTTGTATTTAGTGTAATATTGTATATAGGCTTACGTGTAATTAAGGTTGGCTTGAAATCAGATGTTCAAAACATGGCTCCAATTTGGTACATTGTATTCGCTAAAGTTCCCTCTTCAACAAACGGGCGAATATTTTTAGTGATGTTGTGGGCTACAATATATCATTTGACATTTTTTTGAACATGTTTGTTTGACTTTTGTATAAATTTACCAATAAATCAAATTTTGAAATACACCGGTCACTCGTCAACTGATAATAATTTAAAGAATGCTTCGTCTCATAATGGCGTTTACTGTTGTATTTCTCGAGAAGACAAATCGCTGAAGTTTAATTATTTCCAAATAATAAATAAGAACGCTGCCATTTATCTAAAAGACTTATGTTTTCAGTGTCTAGTTTTCGTTTTTAGTACATCTTTAAGATGTCCTAATATAGGGCTTATATAACTGAAATACTGCCGTATGTAATCATAATACCGGTACGTATACATAAGATACCGGTATAATTCAATTGTTACGAATATACACGTGCTTAAAATGCGATAATGATGTAACAATTGGCGGTATCTTGAACGCAAAAAGGTAAACACATAAAGTGCTAAACGTATTAGTATCTATTTACGGTTAAAGGTTAACATTAAACTATTTAAGTTTAGCGGGTCATTTTAAATCGTTACGCGGGCCCGGGGTCTGGGAACCCCTGTTCTACACGAAACATCCTAATTATGTCGTTATACAATCTCACCTGTCAATCAATTGAAACACCCTGCTGCAAATCGCTGCAATAACACATATACACATCATTCAGAAGAAAAAAACGTTTAAACATTTATAACAAATACAATATGTAAAATATTCAATCATATTTTAGTCATGTTTAACACAATTCCATTAATTTTCGCGGCGCGGGTTTCCACGTTTATCTGGTATGATTCTCTAAGTATAATTACCAATTTGTACTGCCCAGTCGCTCAAATTGTAACTTTTACCATGTGTTCTCCAGCGCTGCAAAATCTTCATCGCTATATTCAAGTTCGTGACGTTTGAGATTTGTAACAATTACCGGTATGTGCAGAAAGATTGATGAATAACCAAATACAGTACACAAAAACGACAAATGAAATTCAAGATTATTTATAAGGTTTAAGAAATTTGTAGCATGAAAGCCAGTAGCTTTTTACATGTGCCAAACAAAACAATAGTGCAAAAAAATTCATATGATTGCGGTATATTATATCACTCATCTAAAAAGGCTTTTAATCAGATCAGCACCCCGAACGTTCTCCAGTTGCACTGGAACTACTGCAAAACGTATTAACACACGCAAAATTATACCCAATAGGCAGAAAGTGTATACTATACTTGAAAAATTCATTTTAAGTACTATCATAGGAATAAAAGATATGGTTAATTCAATTTACCCAGAAGCACGTGTTTTACTGGAATCTTTGTGTGGCGTGTTTGCGCCACCAAGTGATTTGATATGTGGTCATTCTATTTCATAAACGTAGTGATATTACTTAATTATTATTACTGACCATGATTCGATTTATATTCATTTTAGCCGAGATAGGTTTCTGTAGTTTGTTCATTACAAGTCTATTTTTATTTTTGCATATGTCGGGCTTACAATAATTAACCAAATCCAATGGTTCATCTCAATACCGGGTTACAAATCTTCGATACAATTATCCGCTTTCAACTTCACAATATTGACTATTTCGCATTATTGTTCGTTGTTGAATTAAGTATTTTCCGGTACAATATTGGATGTTCGGAGTACATGCCATAAACAAGGTACGGTATATGCCTGCAAAGCTGCTATCCATTTATTTCAAGAGGACATGGAAGCTTCGACAGATCTCGTCGTCATGGAAGGTTTGAGCGAGTTTTACACAGAAAATGAACAAAACTATATCCTTGTTGCATATTATTTTGGAAAATACAGCATCCTCGAAGCCATAGGTAAGCCAACAGAAACATTCATTTTGATGTATCAATTCATATACCGTATCGATCGCTAATTGCAAATGACCTAAAAGTGTAAATTAAACTTATTCCCCCATACAATACTAAAGTTAAAATGCCTGTCGCAGGCGACATATTTCACGAGAAATTCCGGTGTGAGTAGTCGGTACAAAATATTAAGCGCGAGCGTTCGCTATATTCGCGGACATTTTTAGACTTTAGTATTGCTACCTCTTCAAAATAGCTGTCGTTGAAACCATTTTATAAGTTGATCAATTGGTAAATCGTCAAGACGTGGAAAATATTTAAGAATTTGGATATGAAAACCATAAACCCCATTTTGAAAGTTGTTCAAAGTTTATAACGCATATTATGTCATTCACACAGCATTGCTATCACATTGTGAACATTTGAAGTATGAAAGTTTGCATTTGCATGCAATGGCTTAACATGTGCTAACATTTTGTCTTTTATTTTTCATGTATTTTGGATTGGATAGATTATTAACATATCACAGGGGGAAAATGAATGTTATAATATATTTGATCTAAAAATATATTATTAAATAATGATTTTTGAAGTCTTGGGGTACAATTATTACTCTATTAATATTAACATATTCAATGTTGTGCAATAGCCTACTAGGGGCTTTATTTAATCCGAATCACAAATTATATCTATTACATATATTCAATATAGATTGAATGTTATATAAAATTGGATTAATCATATCTGCCCCAATATTTTACATGCCATTCATTAACATGAGAAGCAACATCTGATAACATGTTTGATGGTAGAATTTGTCTCAAATGGACAACTTTATGACTTGATATCATAAAGTAAGAGGATGGGGTCACATCACCATTTATTGTTGATATGTATATCGAAATTTCATATGCGATAAAATCATAATTAGTTGTGTATGTTCATTTTTACAATCAATTTTTACATCAATTTGCAATGTCAAGCAATATTGTAGACACATGTTTCTATAAACAAACATATCTAATATTGATAAGGCAATATGATCACAAGATTTGGTTGATATCATTTTCAGGAGTACAAAAATTATTGTGAAATATAGTGTTACTGAGCAATCCATAGAAAATAATATTAAATAGTTGGATTAAGCATATAATATCACAATGCATCACAAATGCTTGGTATGGAAGGGTCCAAAAAGCCAGCTCTAGTAATAATATTCATTTTGGTATGTATTGTTTCATGTGTTCATCTATTATTTGGATTGTTAATTAACAGCACTTTTCTAAAAGCTCAATACTATTGGCCCATTCGGTTGCAAGTCTTCCCAAAACAATTTAAATGCTGGTGTAAAATGGGCCATTTTATTAACATCATTCAAAATTATAACTCTTCATGCTTTTATAGTATGCTTTTTACAAAGGTTGATGATTGCCCAATATGGTTTAGCATATCATACATTGGGTATCAAGTTATATGAAGATTCCATATTTTGACCCAAATAGAGTAGATATATTTCAAAGGAGGTGGTGGAAAGTTATCTGCATTTGTTATAACATAAAACAAATTGATACATTTAGGTTATGGGGGAAATAAAATATGTGTTCAAGTTTTAAGCCATGACTTTCAGATATGCTATGTCTATTGCAAGTTTTTTTATTACAATTATGTTGTAACTGAATTTTCCAAATATCTTTCAATTTTTCTGATATCATTCATTTTTTTGACAATTTTTGGTCAACTTAGCAGATAAGATATATCAGTAACAACTTAGTACATTATCATTAGTTATTATGACTCTTGAACTAATTTGTAAAGCATTTTCATTTCAAGCACTGCACCAGATTGCAAGAGATTTACTAAAAGCTTTTAAAGAGAAACCAAATAACAGATCAAGAAAGTACTTGGAACCAGAAGTGCAATGTTGCATATGTAAAGAAAAGGAAGCCATTTTCAATGTGAGTGGATGATTTGTTTGGAATATTACTGAACGAAATGGATGCATTTTTGCAATGTATGAAATGGTTCATTTAATTAGGCGAGTACCAAAACACCACATTATTCAGTCCTCATGTCTTGCGAGTGAACTTGTATACCAAGGGCGAATGGGCCGAAAAAGTTGAAAATGATGGGAAGTGTTGTGAAACACAGCAATTTCTATGTGACTAGATACCAGAAAAAAGTATTAAGAGCCAAATTTATGTATAATTTATCAATAGTATACTTCGTAGTGCATAGTAGAAAGGTTTATGGAGATTGCTTGGATATTTAGGCTTGTGTGTTTAACATTTTTAGTACTATATGTTGCATCACTGTTTATCAATATGCTTTTTGCTCAAATGAAATGCTCAATTTGAACCGTTATATACATAATTGCACACCTGCATTGTGTAGCAGCCCTAAATTTTGCACGGTTTTGCTTTCAGGATCTATGGAAGCGATTCAGATCTGAGGATGCAAAAGAGCCCGATTGTACCAGAGGTCTAGTACTCAACTAGATTTGCTAAATACAGATATATCTTTAAAGCAGTGATATGATTCTATAAATTCCCTTTCTGTTGAACAATCACATATCAGAGATGTCACGCTATGTATTTTTGCATTCAAATCACTTTTGAACTTTTATATTGTTTGTTGCCATCCATAAATAAATTGATGTGCTGTCATGTGTTATACTGCAGGATTGTCAATATGAAACAATTGATCTCTTGCCCCATCTTGAGGATGTTCCTGACCAGAATCAGTATTTTTATGTTTTAGCTGTGATATCTGCACATAAATAAGCTTTACAGTGTAAATTCTGTATATTTTAAGAAGGATTGAGTCTTATTAGTGTACTCTCCTTTGTTTGTGTGTATTTTTATTTTTTCCTTTTAAACAGCACTTGATGTTATTATTTTTATAGCCTACAATGAAGTATTGCAACTATGGCAAGGAAACACAGATGCATCCGGGGTTGACAATTCTGCAGAGTTTTTTCAGAAAGAAAAATCTGTTGATATTGATAGAAGCAAAAGTAACTGCACTAATATTTTAATATGTTGATATTTCAGATGATGGCATGTTTCACATCTAGAAGTTTCTTTACATTTATGCATCATTCTACAAATATGATACATATTATTTGTTTGGCATGCAGGTGTCATGCTCGTTAGTGCAATGGCATAAGCTCTTCTTAACTGTCGTCTTTGCTACTGCAAAATCTGATTGCTGGCTTCATTTATTAGGTTAATACCATACAAGAATTGGCCATAGAAATAAACAAAGGTGCAAATATGTGCAAATTTTATTTTTCAATAAAATGTGCAAAAGCATTTCAAATACTATAAATTCAAATAAAATAACTTGTAGTTTGTCAAAAAATAAGATGAATAGCAGAAATTATCTTATAAATGTTTGCGCAATCCTGGTTTGAAGATAACGAATCCCATTATTGAAACTGAAATAGATTTCATTATTTCTGTGTAGAACTTATGACAAAGCATGGTGTAAATATCAAAGTCGATTATGATACAACAGAGGATTGGACTACGTTCATCAATTCAATAAAGGTTTGTAGTCTTGTATCATACATATTTGTTAGAATTGAGCCATGCATGCGCATAAATATCACTATTAGTTGATATTGGGATGACTGATTTCAATCCAGAACCTCACCTTGCTGTTTCCATTTGTATTTAATGAATATGGTGGCTTGACTCTGGAAACGGGATTTTTATTTGCAAAAGACAGGATGTTATTGTTTGTAGGTTATTGTATTTGCTATACAGTCTTAACATGGTCTGGACTTTTAACTGAAGGACAGGACATAGTTAGTCTTATCGACTTCCCTTAGAATGCATATGAAATTCTATCTTTTCCTTTTAGAGTTTATTGGAGCAAATTTGTTCAATAATATTTCAGATCAATGGTAAGCATTATTTGAATGTTATTTTTTGGGAACTAAGGCTATAGTAGTTATGGAGCAATTGTATAATGTTTGCTTAAGATATTATACAATTTAAATGACCTATTGACCTAAATGACCTATGACCTTAAAGTTCATTTGTAATATATAGTTGTATTCATCAAGGAATGCTTAATTGCATCTGTTTATTTTCAATAATTTTTTTTTAAATATAGATCAGAATATTGAAATATCAGAGCTTGTGGGACCAAACCAGATTAAGGGGTATGTCATGTTTATTTTTTCTTGTTTGTGATATTTCTATGATTCCAATTCATAGTTTATCAAGTTCATCTATCAGCATTAAAAATTACAAAGGTCTGTAAATTTGCATTTCTCGATGTATAATGATATTATGCATTAACATTACAAAAAAAAGGAGATATTTCATGCTTAACCGGCTAATAATTCTCTTATATATTAATCTTAAGTCTTTTGTTTTCATTTGGCAAAGTGTCAGAATCAGATCATGCTTGTTTCAGTAAAAGCATACATTGTCCAACAAAAATTTAGCGTTGATAAAGATAGCAAGCGTCAGAAAAACAGTGAATCAAAAGTGTTGAGAACAGGCTGTACATCCGTTACTCCGTTCCCGCCGAATCGGCAACATTTTAGGGTCATGTTATGTATGTTTTTTTTTTCCTTATTCAGACGTTTGAACAATGTTTACATGTCCTTACTGCAATCATCAAATGCAAGGTCTTATGCAAAGCATATGCAAAACTGCAGAAGTACAGGAATTCAGATCAGAGCTTCAAGAGACCCAAATGCAGTTATTGTAAGTCATTAACAATGATTTAATATAAATAATCAGGGTACATAATGTAATAACACATGAGGTTTTGTCACTGAGGTGAACTTAGGTGAATGCATGCAGTGTCTAACTGGGTATGTTAAGGGCAAATTTCCTTAAGACGATGTGAGGAGGTGTAACAAATGTTCAACTTTTTTATTTTTTTCGGGTGGATTTTACTAAATGGGTCAGACACTTATTATAACTAATTCTTTCAAGTTTCAACATTTTTTTTTCTAACGAAACAATATACTGGCAACCATTATAGCTAGAATCGTTTCCGAGTAATTCACAATTTTACCTACGGAATTTGCAAATTCACCATTTCACTTGACGATTTGGATAACGTCACGTCCTAATTATCAGTGCAAAAATGATCGAAATATAACGAATGTAATCACTTCCGATGATGATAGGCGCAACAATTTGCAGACAGGACATCGAAATTCACGATTGATTTTCAGTCTACTCTCATTCACGATTTTATCACTCAATCCGCCATGCATGGCCGAGTGAAATGTTCACATTTTTAAAACACTACTTGGTTATAGATGGGGGGATCACTAAAGAGCTCATAGAAAATACATTAAATGGAGTTTGACTTGTCATTTCTTCTCTGGTTTTAGTTTATAGGCGTCATACCATGTTTGTTCTTGAAAACGTAATTTCAACTTTTAATTTTAGATAATCACTTTTATGTTCGGGTCATGCTTGAAACGGCTGATAACTAATTTACGTACCGGTGTATCACATATGACTTAGTATAATATAGTCAAAGTTTAACCAAATTTATTTGAAATTTATTTATTTTTAGGTAAAGTTCATGATATGTCAGGGATGTTTTCCAGCAAAAAACAAAATACATCACAAAGCTATGCCTATTGTGGAGGTGTTTTCACTTCTTGGGAAAAATTTAAAAATCAATTCTGGTAATGAGACACCTGTGAATTCTGGTGTTGATGTCAAACACAATAGAAACTCAGAAAGGGAATTTGATGCGCTTGGCCACTTAAGACACAAAGATTTTCATGGGGTTTTGAAATCTAGATCTGGCCGCAAAAGAACTGCCAACAGAAAGTATAATACGTTTTTATACCACATGGATGAGATATTACCAAGTGCAAGGGAAAACGAATCTTCAAATTGTTACGTACAAAAGTTAAAAGCAAAAAAAAGGAAACTTTCATCACAATCAAATTCATCCAGGTCATCAATCGTAGCTTTTAAAGAAATTAATGGTGGGACATCGCTGCCTAGTCTTTCAACTGGAAATGACATGGGTAAAAAAATTCCCTCATCAAGCATGACAGATAAAGATACTGAGAGTTCAAATAAGAACGTCAGTGTAGTTATCGTGACGCCATCTAAACCACAACATATGCTACATACTTCTGGTTTCCATGATGTCTTATCGCCTGCTCCTAATCCTAATATGATTACTGTTACTTTATCTTCAAACAATTGCAAGAGTGAAATACAAAACACAGCTGTGAAATCTCATACTTCTGGTAATATCAGATTTATTAGTGGTATGGATGCTACTAAGGTAGTAACTCAACCTCCCCAACCAACTAAGTTCATATCAATTCCTGCTAAGATAAGACCTTCTAAATTGAATACAATGAGTACTTCACCCCAAGGTATGGTTTTGCTTCCACCTCCGGCAGATCCTGCAAGTAAAAAGCATGTCTTAGTTCCCATCTCTATCATGCCTATAAAATTCCCGCCTGTGAGAGTTAGAAGTATTTCCTTGGATGGTGCTGCTCCAGTTCAAAAAATTATTGTTCCTCTCGATGGTGGACCAGCACCGAAAATGATTGTTCAGAATATTAATGCCCCAACTTTTCAGCGTAAAGCTACAATTAATACCAGACCAAAAAAGCCAATTTTGGTGAAAATTGTAAATGATCAAATGATACCTGTGAGTACTTCTAATAGCAATTCTATATTGATCTCAAGTACTACAAACACTTTGAAACTACAAAACCAGGATTCGAAACCATCGATGGGTAATATTGTTGGCAATAACAGGGCTTCAAAATTGATTGATCAAGCTGTTCTAAAAACTATCCCACTATGTCAAAATAATGTGAAAACATTCAAATCTGTTTCACTGAAGAGTCCACCTGTCTTCGGAACAAGCTTTCTCGGCCAGAACGGGTCACATTTCGAAGCGAAGGTGAAACCAACAGTTTCAATACAAACTGCATCTAATATGCATTCAAAAGCCCCAAATTTTTTCACCCCAAATTCATCGTTGCCAAAATTAAAAAGGATAAGGCCACGTTCTCTGTCAACCCAACAATTTCATCTATCAGAAAATCAATGCATAATACATGTGGATAAAACTGGGATGTATTATATTCAAAACACTCAAGGACTCAATTCGAAAGTTAATAGACCAATTTCTTCTCGAATGATTCCTAAAGAGTTTGAATCTAATAAAACACTGTTCTCTCAGAGGGCACCACCCGCTGATTCTGTGATGAAAAATAAGGAACTCACTTCTACGTTTTCAGAAGATGTTATCAAGCAGATTCAGTTGTTTCCCTCTAACAAAATTCCTGCACCATCGTGCTCTGCCCAATTTACATCATCAAAATCTTTTGAAAAAATCTTAAACACTCCTGTTAAAAGTAAAGAGTCTAATCTAATATCACCTTCAAAACCCAGTACTAATTCTGCAATGAAAACGCCAAGTAAAAGAAAACCTGTCAAGCAACCAAGCAAATCCATGCCTACTGTTGTTGCGGAATATTTCCTCAGTCACATGCCTCCTGTAGAGCAAGATTTGTGGGGAAGACTGAAGAAACCTCCCAAAATCAAAAGGTAAGTTTATTTATTGCCAATGTTTATGTTGCAAATAAATTTTATTTCATTTCATTATAATTTTACTTATCTCTTAAACTCTTTTATTTTAGGAGATATCAGAAGTCTAGTTCATTGATCCCAATGCCTTATGAAACCAATTATCTATGCATAATTAAGACAATAGAACAACTTGGATGGAAAGCATACTGGTATAGGAAATGCAGATGTTCAAAGATTCGTGAAAGGGATGCTGAATCATATAACATAGAAGAAGGAAATCATTTGAGTCCTGACGACCTTGCCAAGTGGATGCCAAAAACACTTGGTGCAAGGTCCAAGAAAGCTCTCTTGGGTTATTTGCACCAAGACATGTCAGCGAGTGAAAATTTAGAAATGACTACACCTGAAATGAAGCATGATCTTCAAATACAAGTTGAAGGTGATGCTTTGAAAAGCACTCCTAACTTGGACTTGGCAAAACAATCTTCAGATATCCCATCTTCCTCCAAGTCTGTGATAAATTTGACAACAAAATTGAACAACTCTTCTGAAGAAACGAAAAATTCTATTAGATTAAAATCTCAAAACAATAAAAGGAAAATAGAAGAGTGCCAAAAAACTCCTATTAAACCGGTAAATATGTGCTTGAAGGCAAAATATCGCAAGGACAAAGATGGAAATTGGTCAGCCATGCCTAACTTTATGCATGAAAGCCAATTGAATATGGATAATGTGAATCAGGATACTTCTGAAAACTCTGTGATGTTGAATATCAAGTCCGGACTCAATTTTCCACCAACCTCATCTAAAATGATAGGAGATAGAATAGGGATGACTCATGATCATGGTATTAGGAGATGTGCACGTGCTACTATGATGCGGCGAAAAGCACTTGTAAAAAGAGCTCTAGATGCAGAAATGAAACATAAAGCGAGAAAAGAAGAAATGGAATCGATGGCAACTCGGTGCTTCTATTTCAATGCTAATTTTCATAAAAACATGTATAATTCATCAGGCAGTCTTGTTTTACCACATCCTATGTGCTATAAGGACGATCCAACATTAATGAGCAAAATATCTGCAACGCAAGAAAGTAAATGCAAAGTTGCTCATCATCTTTTAAAAAAAGAACATCAAGCTAGTTCTGATCTACAAAATCGAAGGGAAATAATGGCTGACGCTTCTATTCATACATATTTATCAAGTTCTTGGTGTGAATCCGTCTCTTCTAAGCTAAGTAAATTAGATAAACATGTATCACCAAATACCTGCAAAGCTAGAAACCAACAGAATACAGTTAAAAAACACAGCGACTATAAGAGTGTTCTTATCAGCAAACTTGAGAGCATGTGGAATCAGAATGCTACTTCAAGCACAAAAGATTCTTCGAAAATTGAGGAAAAGAGAGTTTACCAGCAGTCTTCATCATCAATTACTTCGTGCAAAAAGAGAAAATCAAAGCCCAAAAAATCATCTAATAGTAAAATCATTATGCAAATTACTCCTGATGTTGCAATCCTAAATTTGCAAGTTTTAAGAGGCAACACATGGAGAGATTCCCCAACCAGCGTAATTTCAGAGAAAAATGCAAAATTTATTGTTTCTGCAATTAAATTGCCAAATTGTACAGAAAACAAGCATTTTAAATCAAAACAAACAACAGCACTTTGTGAACCGAAAAGTGAAATGAATGAGGATTCTACTCGTTTAGATTCGGACATTCATAACAATATCAAAGATACTAATAATCCATCAAACTGTAAAGAGCAAGTTAATATGAACTCTCTTTCACTTCCAACCAATGATAAGACTGAGGATTTAGTTAACCCTAATGAAAAAACCCAGGTTGTGTTTTCTGAAGATGGGAATGTTACAGAAGATACTAGAACTGGACAAAATCAAGAAGATGTAGAAGATCCTTTTTTTGTTCGAAAGAGTATCAGTTCTAGTATAGAGACAGATGGCGTTTTTCAAACTGTCTCAGCAGTTGTAAACGATCACATCAAACAATGTGAAACGGAGGAACAAAATAATTGCAAATCTAGTCACATTTCCAATGTAACTGAAACTCAATATTCTGAAAACAGTATTTCAAGTCGAATTTCCACAAGTGAAAACGACAACAACGGTGTATTTATCGATGAACTATATTCAATCATTAGTAATTCAGAACTGAATTGTGAAGAGACAGTGCATCATGATGAAGTTGACAAGCAACTTATGATTGTGCAAAATGGTGATGAAAATTTTGAGCCATGTTGTGATGTGCTGACAGTCGAAGGTGATGAGGAGAGTCTAGATAGAGCTGGCATCGAATGTGACAATAAAGCTTCCGAAATTGAGCCAAATGAAACAGAATATGCTATTACAAATAGTGATATAGAAAGTGTCCAAATTGTCGGATTGCAAAAAGAAAAGAAATTTCAATCTTACCCTCTGAGCTCAAATGTGATAGCTGAGACTGAATCAACCCGGGAAATAATTGCACATGGGTCACTGATTAATGGAGAATCTGTGGAAAAATTAGAACCAGTATCATGTTGTAAAAAAGCATCTAAATATATTTCATTGTGCAAAACAGACACACACTCATCCATTATTGACTCTGTATTGAAAGACACAAATGGTAATTCAGATCTTTCCATGAATCTTAAATCAACAGCTGAGATCTACCATGACATGAAAAACATATTCAAGCGATTTTCTGATGCCTCATTTCATGAGGATTTCTCAGAAATTTTATTATCCAACCAGTTTGATGATATCTTTACTCATGGTCAGCTACGGAGGCGTTTTTCTGCCATCAATAAAATGAAAAAGGTTTTGTCATCAAAGAACAATTTGGGAAAGAAGAAGCGTTCTGGCAAAAAAAAATGTATAAAAACAAAAGCTAATAAAAGTATAGATAACTCAGAATCCTCAAAAGATCTGTCAAATTACAAACAGATTCCGGTGAAAGAGCGATTGCCCTCAACAGCTTGTATTGACAAAACAAAGCGGATTGCAGCAGATATTTTTTCAATGCAGACAGATTCAAATTCTTCCAATGCTGATGGAGACTGTATAATTCAGCCAGGCTCATCGACTGTAAATTTTTATAGTGAAACAAGTCCAGAAATTGTTCATGACAACATTTTTCCAAAAAAATCAAACAGAGAGGCATTTACTGACTGTGATTCCAATGCTGATGGACACCGTATAATTCAGCCAGGCTCAACGACTGTAAATTTTTTTAGTGAAACAAGTCCTGAAATTGTTCGTGGCAACATTTTTTTAAAAACATCAAACGGAGAAGCATTCACTGACTGTGATGTGACTGTTTCAAATTTCTCACAAACCAATGAAACCAGTTCTGTGAGTGAACTATCCGAAGTTTCTCTAGTAGATGCATCGGTTGCTAGAACAATGTCTGATAGAAATGGTTCAAACTCTAGTGAAAATTCTGTTTCGAAAAATTCTGATGTACCATCGGAGAAGATGTTTTCGGTTGGCTGTCGTCGAGGCTCAAGGCGAAAAAGAGAGAAACGCAATAACAATGACTTAGATGGAATCTATTGGACTAATGTAATTGCTCCTAATCAAGTTATAAAAGCAGAAATAAATCTACGACGTAGACTGATTAAAAGTGAAGGTGTCATGGGAACTACAGTAGAAAGAGGTATGGAAATAAATTCACTCATGAAATTTTTTTACAGATCTAATGTGTGCTCGTAAATAAATTGAATACGCTTACGCTTATTATGATATGAAATCTTCCAAAAATGTAATGACAAATTTATTAACATTTTTCAAAAATTCTGATAGACTGCCACAGATCTGCAGTGCGGTTCTCTCATTATGAGGCATATGTATTTTAAAGAATTTCTGATAATGGAGTCTACTATTCCAGCGGTTAATTATTCTGAGGTTTGGCATCTTTCAAAGATGGTTAAACACTAGATTGCCATTGACCATTCGATTTAGAGTACCATATTTGCAAATCGATCATGATTGGTCTTTTCATAAACATGGTTTTTCCGAGAGCGTATTCAATTTTAGGTTTTTATGATTGGGCATCCTATTCAGTGATTGTTCGGCATTGTCTATTTCACAGACACTCAGACTTTGAATCATTCAATAAATTACAGTTGTATATGTCTGTTTCAAAGAATAGACAACATCTGGTACATGACCATCTTTGTTTGAATTCTATTTAGTTTTGAGGCTTAAAGATTCCCCAACCTCGTATTGTATAATTTGACATATTTTGGTCATGCATCTCCTATTTTTCCTATTTATATGAAAAAGGATTGAATTTTACAATATAGATAATGTAACTTGAATTGAAATCATTAATTGTTTTTATATCTAGTAAATAAGCGAAAAGGGTTCAGTAGTCATCACATCTACCCACTGTCAACTCCAGAATCGTTGAATGCAATCATAAAAATAGACGATGGTTCATTAAGAAAATTTGCTCATGGTGTTTTTGAAGAAGATACAGATGAGGTAATGATAGTGAGACTAGGGATGGCCATAACCGAATACTTTGACATTCTAAAAAACATTTTCGAATGTGAAATTTCGAATACATTCTAAAATCCCTCACAAATTTAATTCACTTTTTTAAAATTCATGTACGTAGGAATTAAGCTTAATAATGTTATCATTGTAAAGCAGTTATAAATACAAGTAGAATGTGTGATAATATTTATATTGGTGGTTTTCTTGCTTCTAAGAAAATAGGGTATTCCCTAAGTATGCGCAACAAGTTGTCACATAACCTGAACCCTAACCTGTCAGGTTGTGTACCATCTTGGTGCGCATACTTCAGAGGTCCAAAAATAGACATGGTAAACATACAGTGTTCACATCTGTGAATTGTGGTGTATCTTATCACACACACTTTTTGACACCGTTAATTTTTGTTATAAATTCTGACTGTTTATCATCAGCGTGAGTGTTATTCAGTCCACCGACACGGTTAAATTGAATTCCGCCACAATACTCCCTCTACACAAGAATTAATTGTTGTGCTGGCACTGACTTGAAAATTTTTATTCGATGCACCGTTCGTTAATTCAGAAAAACGCAAATGTTATTACGCGATCATCGTTATAATCAAATGAGTGAACGCGGTTCCTAAATTTCCATCAGGCAATGACGAAGAATTAAGACGGAAAATCGAGTTTTATTTTTCGTATAAATTAATGCTACCAACTTAAACTGACCTATATTATCATAACGACGTCGGGATAACGTGAAATCCGCGATACTATAACAATATTTAGGAGATATTTTATACGCTGTAAATTACTAGGAACGAATGGAAAATTTCCTGTTATGTTCGGTCACTATCGAAACTGAGGATGAAAACAATTTATTCCAACACAATTTGCTTTCAGATTTACTGCCGTGGCCGCACAAACAATCTCAACTTAGTTGAAATAGACGATAACAATTGTGAAATATTTTTAATCAAAAACATCCTCGACGTGTTAAAAGCACTACTTGTCGGCGCTAATTAAACTCCTTCATGCCGGCTGTAATTTATTGCCTTTGATTACGATAAAACAAGTAATTGTAAAATGTTTTCAATCAAAACGTGTACTTCGGCGCTAGAATGTGTGCGCGATATTCGTTATTCTTATGAACACGAAAAACGATACTTGAAAGTCGCGATATTCGAATATTGAATTCTGATTGGCCAGCTCTGGTTTAGACTTCAGTATCAATTTCAACACAATAATACTTCTTGCATTAGAACTCTATCGTAAATATGATATTGTGTTCAAGTTTAAGCTTCATTTTCTTGAATTGATTGTAAATTTGAAATATTAGTCTCGTTTTCAACTGAGTTTACTCACTTTGTCCTGATACACATTGTATCAAACAATATCAAGCTTTATTGTATGTTGTCACTCTGTAAAATTGATGGAGAACCTAGTACTTTGTTATTGTAAGCTAGTTAGTAACTGTTTTGTATTGCCGATTCAACAGGATGAAGAATTCATTTCTGCTGAACCTATTCGTATGCTGTTTTCAAAATCACTTAATATTGAGAGGGTTCGATCTTGGATATGGGATTCAACCTTACCCAAACCACTGAATTTGCGATTTCCTGTGCATAACGACCAGCAGCCCACAGCTACACAGAAGGACTGGAGAATTAAATCAGGTTTGTAATTAGAGTTTTGATAGTTATATCAACATATATTTTCAATTAATTTTTTTGATGTGTTTTTTACAGAAAAAAGTAAAAAATCTACCTCGAAACACACATATTATTCTAACGATGAACAAACGGATGTTGATATTGAGAAAGAATTCAATAGGAATGTTGAGTGTTCTTCTCAGCCAGTGAGGAATGTTGAGTGTTCTTCTTCATCAGTTAGAGATGCTGAGTGTTCTCCATCAGTGTCTAGGGCTTATGTCCCATTGGTTAGATGTTCGATGCCAGCTAATGTCTTGCATTCTGCTGATAATGTATTTGTCACTGCTACAAAAACCCCAGCAGACATCGTTCCTTATCGCTCAGCAGCTGGTGAAACATATCTCATAAAGCGAAATTCCCCGGAAGCCAGCCGTCCTAGAGGAATAACTGGGGCGAGACTCGCGTCACTAATGCCACAAGGGTGTCGCGTCTACTCTAATAAATTGGAAGAAGAAAGCAGAAGACTTACTACACATGTCAAAAATCCTGAAAAGTTGTTGCAAGAACCGCAGGTCTTTTTGAAGAAGCTTAACAGTCCCCTAAGTTTTCATAACGAAAAGGAATGTGGGATGGAAATTAGACCAGCTCAGAGATTTCATCCAAATGAACATGTGATTGTTGACGCTGCGAAAGTCGTCGGAGGGAGTGGTTTGTTGAAACCGCTGCTTGGCAATATAAATTCTCGAAATTATTTTAAAAAAAATAGCGTAATCGTTGGCGATCATGCAAAAACAAAGTTGGCAACGAAGTTTGCAAGTGGATTATCCAGAGGGAACAGTGTGCGAAGCTGCCGATTGAAAAAAATCGACAGGAAAACTAACTCTTTGAATTCTACTTCTACGAAGAAACTGCCGAGACCGATTTCAGTGTTTGGTGAGGAGAGATCTAAAAGAATTTCGAGAATAACGTCTTCAACACTAAAATCTTTAACAAAAAAGGGTCCCGATGCATCAAATGCTCGAGGATTTGCACGTAGAAACCGTTTCCAACAGCACTCCAGACTTCTGATGGAGAAAGGGTCTGCCAGAAAAATGAGTTTACAAGAATTAAGGAGAAAGGTGTTTGTCGAGATGCAAAAAGCCGATCGACGTGTCGAAAAGCAAAAAGTTGAACCAAACAAAGATACAAGACGTAAAAGGCGACTTCTACAATCGATTTATTCTACCAAAGGTTCATTTATCAGTCGTCTTCTGGAATGCGATCCAGATGTGGTTCTCGCGAAGGACTGAAACATGACACACGTTTTTTTCAATATACATCTACCTGTATCATAATTCGTTAATATTTGTGTTCTTTGTGCGTTTCAAAATGCCGTTATCAATATGTAACTTGCAATTCAGTAATCAAAAATAAGTATGAGTGGACCATTTCTGGAGAAGCTGTGGAAGCTTAAATCGGGCTTTTTGCAATGCAGTAACATTCGCTGGACCCAATTTTTAACCAAATATTTTCCATAAAGTATATTCTTAGCTGACATGTAGTGTTCGCCTGATAGGCATTTGGGGGCCATCGCGTATATTATTACCGGTGGGTTGAGTCTGCGTTGAATGGCCACGTGTTTAGAGTCGCGAACATCCCTGCTGATGTATCTACCTGTTTTTTAACCTTATTTTAGCGATCCGCTAAAATTGGTCGTCAGCCGGTATTGCTAATTAATAAAGCCGAGAAATGCGAACTATTACCAGGGCGAAAATTATTTCATGTCTGTGCATTTTCTCTCATGGGGCGAAATGAAATTCAAAAAAGTCAAAACTACAACAATTGCAAATTGCCTGACAAAAAAAATGTGATGGAAGACAATTATTCAACGAATAAAAGGTGAATTTTATTGTTGCAACCATTACTCCAGTTGGGCTCAATTAGCAGCGTGTTTCGTTCAAATCCTTGCGGTCCCAGGAATTGAGTTTTTCCCACGTTCTCATTTCAAGTTGAACTCGTTAAAGCGCTCTAATTGCTTAGTAAAACAACAACAAAAATTTTTTTTTTTAAATAATCTCACTAACATTTTTCATACAAACCCTTGTCGTCCCAGTAATTCATCGAGTTTTTCGCAAGTTCTCATTTGAAATTGAATTCATTGAAATGCAATGAATAAGTAAAATAAGAAGACGTGATATTTTGTAAATATTCTTAAGAAAAGTGTTAAAGCACAATACTGTAAGGATGGGCATTTCAGAATACCAAATCCAAACGGTTCCGATAACAGAATTCGGTTTCTGTCTCTTCGGCACCACGCGATAATTTTTGTATTTTAGGCTCCTAATTCATTAATTAGAGAAGAGGGTTTTCTCTCGCGTCGATATCCTCGTTTGATCATACTTGCGTTTGATCGCATTATCCCGTAAAAAGATAAACTTTAATATCGGCAGGCATATTCATAACCAAAATACGGCAATGAATACCTAATGGCTAAGGTTCGATATTGCAACATTTTCGCCATTTCCAGCTCTACTATCTTATTAGCATAAATAATAATTGGTTTAGACGAGTGATTTACTGGTGATTACCTAATTGCAACACTCTTCAACTTTTATCAGAGTGCCATGCTTCGTTTTAAATTAATCGATTTTTGGCGCCCTACGAGTTCTCCCGGAATATTACGTGAAGCAAAAACTAGACGTTGAATGGTATCACATTATTCGCGGTTGATCTGGATCGAATGTTATATGCGAAAAAAATGGAATTCCATTACGACATACCCTTTCTAAAAACACAAAATTATATCGCAAAACAATGCGTTTTGTCGCGTTTATTTTATAATTTCAAAAGATTACATATTTTTCGGAGTTAAAGTCCACGATAAATTCGTTCCTATCGCCCAAGACCGACACGCATTCTTCAAATGTCGGTAGTATTCGGGCCGACGACGTATTCAAAAAAAAAAGAACACGTGTTAAAAGTCTGTCAATCATGGCCGGCTTCGCGGAGCCGAGTCTCCCTAGAAAAATTAATAATAACAGCAATTTAGGATTTGTAATAAAAAAAATCAATTCGTTATTACCTTTAAATACCATTATGAAGAATTCCCACTATCTGAATATATTCATATTGAATAGGATTCTGGATTTGATTTCAGCAATCGGAAATAGTATAATATTCTGAATTGCTCAATCTTACAAACAGGTCCTAAGTCAATTTGTTAATTGATTCATTTGTGAACCCTGTGCATTGTTGTTAGCAAAATTGTATTTCATGAATCGTTAATGTGTTTATTCAGAAACATGCCGTTTCCGTAATTGGAAGTGAACAATCACAATTCAACTTGTGGTGTCATTACGTTGTGCTGTAATTTTGATATTTTTATGTAGAGAAGACACGAGAGCAAAAAAGTCTGTAAAGCCATGTTGAAAAGTCAAGAGTGCCGTCATTATACCGACCGATTTTATCCAATAAAAAAATAACTTTTTGGTATGCTATGTAACAAGAATAAGAAAATCACTCTGGGGTGGTTTTAATTTTATAACGTCACAATATTATAAAGATAAAGACGGGCCAGCCAGCCGGAATAAAAGTCGCTTCAATCTCAGAGAGCAACAAAAATATTTGTGGTTTCATTTAGGTGAACACCAGTTTCAGATTGGAAAAGTTTTGTAAGAAAAATGTTCATATTTTTGTCGTTATGTGCATAAAAATAACCACTGTTTTATATATATATATTATATTTACAAACTTTGACTAACGATGTTTTGGGAAAGAAAACTTATCAACCGACGATATATCTCGTTCAAGCCGGTTTTATCTCACTCTTCCGAATTTTTTGTCTTTTTTTCACGTAGTTTTCCCACACGGACGTCAAATCAGGCTTGAGTAGGAAAACCGGTAAAATGCGTCTGAGTGGCAGTTGAGGGTTTTCAGTGAATCGATCGAACTTCAAATATTATATTAATTGAACCCAATATAATCCCAATAAAAGTTGTCATCGTGAGTTTACGTGTGTAACATTATCGCGAAGGAAATTTAAGTTATCATATTGTTCAGTAATTACCATAATCATTGCAATTAGCCGTTTAATTCCTACTTTAAACTAGAAATTGGCGACTCTCTTTGCTTAAAATTACAAAGAATGGCGGAGAGTAGCAATTTCTTGAATTATGACGCAAATGATCTGCCTATATAAAAACTCCTCATTTCAGTTTTTACATTCATTACGTAGAAGACAGAAACAGGTGTGAATAAATTAGAATGTTTCACCAAAAGAATGTATATTTCATATTATTTTTGGTATATTTAAGTATTGGTACGATCCATACCCAGTTAAACAAAAAAGAGTCGCCCAAAAAACGTACTGAAAAAAGAAAAGACCCGCAAACCGTTGTTGTGGTGAGAGAGGTGAAACCCGTAAACGGAAGATACCGCGATGAATCAGAAGAGGTTGATGATGAATTTCATGAAGATATGCGATCGTTTCATGAAGGCGATGTGCTGGATGATGTCAGTAAATCTGGCCCAGAGAGGAAGCGAGAAGCCCAAGCCCGTTCGTTAGGAGGTAAGATTGCTAATGTATAAGGATATTATTGAATTAGAATCTTAGGTTGGCAGTTTTTAGTTATGTTTCATAAAGAGAGGTAGGCTATATATAAAATCAAATATATCAATGTCCATTCTATCTTTCGGAGAGTTTAAGTTTAGTTGCAGTAGTCATTAGTCAAAAATAGTCCAGAAAAAGCTGCGATATACTAAGGTAAAATTAGCTCTTACTGTCTTTAAATTGCATATGTTTGAAAATTTTGAATCAAAACGATGATTTTAAAAATGCTAGCCAGTTGTTATTAAGCGCCAACTCGCGAAAACGTTCAAATACTCATGAAATATTTTGCAATGGTAAAGTAGGGGGGAAATATTCTGAGGTTTATGGTCGGGAAAATTAATCCATAGTATAGGCCAGGGCAATGAAAACACCCATAATATGTATATGATTAACTGCAGATATCATGCGATAAATAATCGTACTGTGGGGAGGGGAAGATGGCCCTACTCTGCGTGTTTTTACCCCAGTACTATAACATTCGCGGAGTAGACTGAACCTCAATCTGAACTCATCAGGGATCAATAATCACACGATTAAATGATATATATAAAGACAAATTTTGCAGAGTTGTACAATCGAATCGACATCCAAAAACAGATATATATATTAAAATATATATTTAATAAATTATACAAATTATACAGTTAAAATCCAAATCAGTAATGCAAATAATGAAACATCAAAATGTTTTAATCTCAACTTTGTCGTTCATAATGCTCCCAATGACCTATTTCAATTGAATTTGATATTACTGTTGATATAAAGGGGTTAAATAACATTAAAATCCGTAGTTACATTCCACATTCGCTACACTACCAAACGAGCTTTACGGGTCGAAATAATCTTTGTATAAAAATGTTAGGATTGAAAAACGAAAATGTTTTTGTCTAATTCAATTTTTTTATGAAATATTACAAAGCCAAGACATTTACAATTCTAAGTTCTAATTTCAATATAGAATAATAATTATCATTTGATTTCAGGCTTGGTCATTAACATCGATGGCTTACTATCCGGAGCCAAATTTGTTCCTGAAAACGTTTTTGGACCAAAATATAAAACTCATCTTATAGAAGAACCATGTACTCCAGTCGGATTCCCGTACATTTGTGAACTGCGTGAAATGATAGACAGAAGATACAAGTGCCCTGTTAATATTCCTTACTGCCAAAGGTTTGTCTTAGTTCTCGTTTGATTTTACATTAGTGGTGATCTTAATGACGATAAATGACGGAATTTTGTCAAGCTATCATTTTTACTCTTTGATTTCCTATAATTTATAACATCGAATATAAATATATATATATATATAGAAAATTTGTGCACCAAGATAATGTTCGAAGATTTGATTATATTTGATACATGTTGAACAATTACGCAGTGCGCTTATGCCTTCGGCTTTACGGAATAAGGACAATAGCTAATCTGAATTCTGCGATTGAATTTTATTGTCTTGAGCAGCAGTACTCATATTCAAAAACCCAATTCGTGAATAGCGACTTGAAGCATGACGTTGGTAGATAAATCGGATTTGATGGTTTTATCCGGCTTAGGCAAATGGTTAGCGGAAGCTTTGAAGGCAGATGCAATGCAAAATTTGTGAAGGACCCTTCAAGTTTACTCGTAAAAGACACCAATACTATTTCATAAACTAGAGATTGAGAACTTCATTCACTGCAGCAGCATTACATCCGTGTGTTGCAGACAGGGCGTCGCATCATATTTTAAAAAAATACTATAACATTTCAACGAAGCCATGTTCGACAACTACGGTACAATCACGCTAATTGATGCGTAATTATGCGTCGTTTTAAATTTAATTACCCAGTAAAATCCGGCTTTGTATGATATTAAGATTGGCTTGACCTTTTGTGCACACAATTATTTATATAATTTTTCGAAAATTAGTATTTTTTTTCTCAATTAATTTTGGAACTTATTTAGGAATCCTAAGTTGCGCAAGCTAATTGTTATAATGTATCCCTATCTGTAACAACTAATACATTACAAATTATCAAGATAAGCATGGCCATGATTCATTTCTTTTTTATATGAATAAGGCGAATGTATTATCAAGTCTACTTTTATGGCTATATATTATATTGTCAACGCCGCGTAAACGAAGTTTCATTTCCAACGCTTTTAACAGCATTGCATTTAATCTTCCATTTGGATTTGTAGAGTACTGCTATATATGTGAATTCCTTAAATTGGTGAATTGTGCAACGCACACCATACCGTTGCAAATTTTTCTGCTTTCGTATTCTCTCAATATAGAAACTTTCTGTAATATGCGACATGATCTCACAATATGGGTGGAAAAATCTAAATTTAAAATTTCCTAAATATCCGAATTACATATTAACCAAATTTTGTTTTATATATTTTGTACTAATAATATCCAAAGTTCGTTTTCATCCAAGAACAAATTGTTATGCACATCAAATCCTTGTTGTCCTTCCAATTACCTATATTTATTTTGATATTTGCAGAATTCCATGCGGCGGTAATCCTGAGTTCAACACAGATCAATACAAGTGCTTAAAACAACCTGGATGCTGTTTTGATGAAGTCTTGTACAACTACAGAAGATACTACGGACAGACTGTCTTACCAAGAGTACCGGTTTGCCACATGGCTGTGCGGAATCAATATTTTCATAGGGTAGCAAGACAATTCGCCGATCGAGTTAGTATTATTTTAAGCTAAATGTTGCTTTTCATTATTACATGCGCTAAAAATATTAGTTCTTATTCTCCCATTTAGCTTTTGATATCGAAATAATAAATCTTATCCCGCCACTTTGACAAGTATTAATTGTCGCAAGTTTATGGGAACTTATTTACAATTAGATGTAATTATAATATTCAAATTAAATGAGTATACTGATATTCATATGTAAATTTACGTAACAAAGCCTCAATTTTCATATGGCTTGGCCGCAAATTAATTTGGTAGTATCTATAACTGCTGCTATGTTGGCAAAACATAATTATATACAATCAATTTGCTAAAGAAAAAATTTCAGTTTCGTTGAATGCAGTGGTGAACAACAGCAATCTATTATCAACCTGGTTCCTTGTTGAATTCAAGATATTTTTTTCTGTTTCAGTATCGATCGTGGAACCCATTGCTGACGAGTTGTTTAATAAAGTCCCATAGGAACAGAATTGAGAAGAATTTGATGGAATGTCAAACTTTGGACATTTTGGAATATTTTGGATATAAAGCAAAACATGCTGGATGGAATGGTAAGATTTCTAAGACGATTCTCATTCAACCTAGCGTTAAATCGCTAAAATGAACTTTTCCTTTCACATACAAAATCGCAGTTATAGGGTAATAACGAACACATAAAAAAATAGTAATAACAAAAAATAACGGTGTCTGTTCGTTTTAGTCGATACTTACTCTAAAAAAGTTATGAGTAGAATAAGCCGAATTCATCACAATAGCCAACCCGATTTGAAAATTTGAAATCGATTGATTCACTCGCTTGTTTTCACCACTTCAAAGCAACAACATTTTAGCAATTGATCTTTAGGCCGACTCCGTGTCTATCAATCTTCTTTTCCCTTCAGATATCCTTCCGAGGGAATGTGGGTTAATTGGTGGCTGTTGGAGACCAGGGTTCGGATGCTTCTATCCTCCTCGTATGACACATATTCAGTTACGATCTTCATACGAACATCCCATCTATAGACCATACTCTCCGTTCGATCTGTATGGTCAGCCGATGTGTCGTCCAATGGATCCATACGCTAATTCAGAAGACTTTTTGTCGTCATATCATCAGTGTCTAGCATCCGGATGCCAATTGGATCCCGCAATGACTCCTAATGTTATATTATATCATCTTTATAATGTATCTTCACAGCTTCCTCGACACTTAGTCAACAGTTTCAAGTATGAAATCATGTTAGGAAAAGTTAGGCCTGACAACTGGAAAGAACAGCAGAAAAACTTTCTCAAATATGGAAAAATACATCCTTACGCATACACTCCAAGACAAGGAGGACCCAATGCTCACGCTAATATACCTAATTAAATCGTTAACCTTCTGGGAAAATTTCCTGGCCCAGCTGCCCCAATGGGTGCTCCAAGAATGTCAATGCAACCTAGATCATTCAATGTTCCACCTCCTCAAACACCATTGCAAAATCCCTACATGATGCTTTCTGTGATCACAGGTGGTCAAATACCGCCGCAAACATCTGCGCCTGCTTATCCCCATCTCCACTCGCAATTTCGGAATCCCAATCCAAACGCTTTAATAAGATCGAATACGATGATACGACCACTTCCAAATATACAACCAGTAGGTCCTATTGGTTCTCAAAGACATTTCCAACAGCCGTTTCGACCATCTTATCCAGGTGGAAGCACGCGATCAGGACCAAGTCCAAGAATAACCTTATACCCGATGCCTTGCCCGTATACCATTATCAGAATCCCAAACTTTCCTGCTCTGGATGGCAAAGTAGACGGCTGTTGCGATAGAAATTTATGCTACGTAGGACGTGAAACTGTTCGACAACAATATTCCGGAGCAGCAGCCTATTGGGGACCATGGGGGTTCTGGTCGAGATGCAGCGCACCATGTGGAAATGCTGTTCAAAAGAGATATCGTACGTGCGTTGGACCTCAACCTATCTCGTGCGCAGGACCCAGGGAAGACAGGCGATCGTGCTACAATTTACCCCGATGCAACGAAAAGACTTCAAAATGGACTCAGTGGACCTCATGTGACAGGTCATGTGGAGGTTACCGCGTACGAACTAGAAAATGTTTGAGTTCGATATGCCAGGGAGAGATGAAAGAAAGAAAGGCCTGCCCAACCGAATGCGCAAGATCAAGAAAAAAAAAGAAAGATGAGAATAAGAGAAAGAAAAACTAGTTTCCTGTTATCCTCGTTTGTTTATGTTTGTTTTTCTGTTAAAAAACTCAAATAAATTGAGTGCTTTTGATAATTGGACGTATTAGATAACTGAACTTTTTTGGAATGCATACTTCATTCAGGTAGGCATACTACGTACCCCTTCTAAGGTTTGCGAAATTTTAACCAGCATTTCCGAGCAGTGTTCACTTTCGAAATATTAAATTTGAAGTTCACTATCGCGGCGTGCACAAATGTCCAATTAAAAAATACATGAAATTTTCGTAGTTTCAGAATAAGATTAAATGCGTATCGATATTAGTTTATGGAAAATAAAGAAAACAAAGTCGATAAAAATGGCGCCTATCAGCAATTCAATTCATTAAAATATCCCACAATAGGAGTTAAATTTTGTTATTTTATATTGAAGTCTTAACTTATATCAATTACTCATTTTTAAAATGTAAAAAATAATGCGAATCGATAATAGTTTAAGATATATAGTATATAACATGTAAAATGCTGATGACAGACAATCCAAACAAATTTTCCACGTTTGTGACGCTACTGCCGTAACAATGTACTAGCGTTAGGACAGTAATGTGAATTCCGTCAACCTCTTACACGATACATCGGTTACATTTGAACGTGGGCTAATTCGATATAATTATTTCACTTAATATAGGGAATCGTGACAAGATATGCGCATGCATGGAATCGCATCTGCCCAAGTCCCAAATAAGTTGACTATGTTACCAGAATGCGCATATCACAAATATACCAAGTTTAAGATCAAATTCGATTGCAAACTATTTTCATCAATCTGACTAGTTTGCCATTTCTACTAGCCACTCACTGATGTATATATATATATCGAGTTGACCATATTCCTATGATACTTATTATAAGGCAGAATGTGTAATAAAACTTTGCTGTATGTGCATTAATATAATATGAAATAATTAACATTTTCAAATAGCTACATACCTCTGATGTTTGAATCTGATCAATCAATCAACCGAACCGAAAATATTCCGGTTAGATATCTACTAGTGACTGATTGCATAAAGTCATGTTCTGAACTACTCAAGTTTGGGATGAATTGACCTAATCCAGAAAAGACCTATATTTCGTAAAAGTATGTACTTGTAACATAAAAATTGAATATATCCAATATATATAAAAAACTACAAATTGAATATGTTTGAAAATTTTGATATTTGAAAAAAATTATCACAGTCATAATTTACGTACAATTATAACAAATCGCAACACACACTTTGAAGTCATGCTGATTCACGAACGGCATAAATGCCGAGAGAACCAACCACAAATGCGTGGAACTCCTCCGACATAACTCCTATCTATAGCGGCCTCGCCGTTGTCGAATGGGCACACTACATCAAGTACTACGACATGATTGGTCCCGATTTCCTCGAGAATCAAATCGGGCCGCAGCATCTCAGCTGTTCTAGCGACGTGCTCTCGACAAACTACGTCAACATCGCACCTAAAAAACCTGGCTGGAGTTAGGTGAGCCAAGATCTCTTCCTGCACCGAATCGTGCCGCTCCTTGTGGATATTCATGACTGGGCGACAGTAATTCAGCACATGGGGAAGAGTCTCGTTTGCGTAATCAAACTTACCACAAGTCACCCGTGGTTCCGCATATGCCGTAAACCGTCTACGAACGGATCGCAGCGGTGGAATGGAAGATTTAATCGAGCTTCCAAAACCCACGAAATTTGAAACTGAGCGAGAAAGACAAACGTGAAGAGAAAGTAGTTTGAGCAACCGAACCAGGAATGACAGGAAGCTCGCCCCACCGTCTCACCCAACGGGTGTATGACAAGTGGTGCAGCACTCGCGTCAACTTTTTGCCGCTCTCAATCAAGAGATTGTTAGTGGTGATCGTGAAGTTCCCCTCTAAGGAGACAGCTCAGCAAAGACCGATACGGCGATCCATAGGGCGCATTTGGCCCCACAGATCACCATACGGACCGATGCGCCCAGTGGTGGGATTCAAATTTTTTTGTCAGCGGGTTCCATCACAAAAGACACGTTATTTAGTCGGTTCTGTTACAAAAATTCATATTTTTTTTAGCAAATAAACTGATTCTTTTTAATTACTTCCCAATTAACATTTCAAAATAATGGTAAGTATCATTATGTCAAAATTAGCATCGAAATTTTTGATGATGTTGAGGATTGTCTATATTGCTCTATGTATTATATACTCGTTGATATCGAGCACAAGCAACCGAACGGACCATAGAGTCGGGAGAATTCAAAGTTTTAAACGCCTGGGCAACCCGAAATATGTCCGCTTCGCTTGACGGACTCCTCTTTCAGATGGAATAGGGGACGTGTCACCATCGATAGTTCGAATGGTGAACACGTTATCCCTGTAAACGTCAGCAACCGTTTCCAACATGTACCCCGGTGCAACAAAATGTCGCAGGACTTCGAGAATGGCACCATGCCTTACCGACCTAAAAGCATTGCGGATGTCAAGCCACGTCACATAAAGATTATGCTTATGTTTCCTGCAATGACCGAATCAAGCATTAAAACATGCTCGAAGACACCGTCGAAGCCCTTCTGTCTCGGGGCTTTCCCCTAGCTGCCCAAGACTGAAGACGACGTGCAATCACGGCTGCATAAATTTTATTTCGCGTGCGGCATATTGCGATGGATCCCGACGTCATTCATATTGCCCACCAAGGAATAAGGATTATCCTAGAAGAACGCCATGAACTTAAAATACGCCGAAAACTCCTGCAAATGTCGAAGAGCTTGGAGAGAATTTCACCCCGTTGGTCAATGCTCTTCTAAAATCCATAGGTGAGCCCATCTGGTCGGAAAGTGTTTTTAAATCCCGCAAAACCGAAATAACTTTCGCCGCGCTGAAAACAACGTCCTTGTCTACCACCACGTTACCGTGGTGGTAAGCGCTTTGGGACATCCACGAAGGCATCGTCCAGTCACCATCACCGTGGGGAGCCGAATCGATCTCCGTATCGAGGATGAAATAGAGCACCGCAGACCACCAAGTGAATCCGCGATGATCGACCTGATGATCTGATTTCTCCAGAAAGCCACCCTCAACTGAGGACCGAACCCTGGCCGATAACCCCGTTTGCCTTTCAATTGATTTGATTTGGCCCGTTTTCTAGGCTGCACGGTTTGAGGGCCGGCGTCCGGCACACTGGAAAATAGAGGCACGGGTAGACCAAAGTTCAAAGAGCCCCTCAAGATAGACGGACGCCTCGTCTGGTGAGGACATCGAGACGAGGCGTTCAATAACGCGGTAAAATACTTGCAATAAATAGTAATCATATACAATCGACTTTAAAAAAGCCTACTCACATTTATGAACACAGTTAATAAACATATTTAATTAGCAAGTCAAACCAAATTACTATCAAATAACTTGCAGCCTTCAAATCAGAAAGAGTTACAAATTATAACATACCGAATTTATATGCTATTCCAGGCTTAAAATATCACAAGGTGAACATGAAATCATTTGTAAATAAAATCCAATTAAATAAATTAACTGTAAAAACGAGATAGCGATCAGAGATCGCCGACTCATCGATCTAGCGGCGTATATCTTTTGCTCTGACTCAATAGCGACAGCGCGTGTCCCTATTTAAATAATAACTCGCTAATTATACGACATAATTCATCCAAAATCAATAGGCCTCTGGTCCGAGATATGATGAATGCACATGAAAAATTTGGGCAATTCAATTTCTGATATCATTGCTCAGAACAATACTCGTTCGAAAGAATCAAAGGCTTAGAGTTTGCAATAGTCCAAATTTTACATTCATTCAAATTTTCATTTATAGTTTAAATATATGGACCAATATAATATACTATATATATATGTATATATATACATCTATTTGCTGCATTTCGGTCACATGTTATTTTTTGCTGCAGTTGGGCTACTCGTTTTCTGTGGCATATGGTGAGCCACTCACAGCGTTATTTTTAGCGGTTTTCAATAAAAAATGGTATGACAAAATTTCACGCAAGTAATACAGTTCGTTTTAAATATAGTGGAGTTGGTGCCCAATCGTCGTCGCCCAATTCCGAGGGACTACGTTATTTAGCCTATTTGCGGGAATGAGGAACATCATTGGATATGGTCGACACCGCGAGCTGGCTATTTAATCATAGTCCATCATTAAAAACGTTCGCGCTTCCCCTAAATGCTTTGCTTGTAAGCCACTGCCCACCCCGTTGAATATATTTGTGAAAATATAGTCTGCAAAACGCTCTGCCCGGAAACAGAGCTCAATGACCTGTAAACATTGAAATCACTCGAGTGTGACTAGATTGACGGGTACTCGCATCCGAGACCCAAAAACCCGATTTTGCAAAAAAAAACCTCTTCCTTTGGCCTGATCACTTTTGTGGGTTTTGTAGACATCGTGACAGACCTTCTTGCCAAGTTTGGCACGGATTAGTTCCCTGTAAAATGTTCGTTTGTTCCCGAAACCCCGAATATACTTTCGTATCAAGTTTCGTCGTGCGTAACGACATCTGACTCCGACTGCGCTTTCGAACTGAAGTGCTCTCGGTTGCCTAATCACAAATGAGTTTCTCGTGTAACAGACGATATTAGACCATGCACATGAAAATATGAGACTACTCATTTAATTATTTTTATACTCGTAATAGATGACACACATGGAAAAATAATAAATTGACAGTATACATACTGAAAAGTATTGTTCAGGAATTGTTCAGAACTAAAATCTCATCGTCTACAAAATTATATTTTGCGAAGTAATTGCAATTTCAAAAATAGAATAGACTATTTTATTGAGGTCAAAGTGTAACCTGAAAAGAGATCTAATAGCGATATTTTGAAAGTTGTTCATAGTGGAGTTTTGAATACCACATGACAAAATTTCCATAATTTCATAAATTGGATTATCTGTTAAATGACTTATTGCTGAAAGTTACGAAGTCGTGAGTTGAACTTCAAACACATATAAATGAGCGAATTTTCAGTCAAATTTAATTTTTTTTGCATTAGTCGATGTGGGAATTTTATATTTATATCTTATATCTTTATATTTGACCTCGGACTCCAAAATGGAAAATTTGTTCTATTGCATTTGGATTAAAATTTTTAGTATATTCCGATATATTTCAACATAAGAAAGCTAAAAATGTTATCATCAATGAAATTCGAAAAAATTGGATTTTAAATTTATTTTTTTATCGTTTTTTTCGGCCATCAC